GGTTGCGCCTCGCCTTCCCCATGGACGACGCCGACGACCTCGTCCTCGACGTGCCGAGCGGCTCGCACGCGAACGCGCGGACCTTCCGCCTCCGGGAGGACGGCGCGCCGGGGCTGCCCCTCTTCGAGGCCAACGCCGCGGTCGACGGCGGCGCGCTCCACCTCGCCGACGCGTCGTCGGCCTTCCTCGACGGCGTCAAGTTCGCGGACAACCGCGCGGGCGGCGCCGGCGGCGCCGTCCACGCGGGGCGCCTCGCGGCCTTCGTCGCGAACAACTCCCTGCTCCAGGGCAATGCCGCCGCGGAGGGCGGCGCGCTGTACGGCGGCGCCATGAGCTCGCTGAGCCTGACGACGTCCCTCGCGTCGGGCAACGCCGCGGCCGTCGCCGGCGGCGCGGTCGCGGCGCGCGGCGGCGACCGCGTCGCCGTCGCCGACGCGATCCTGAAGTCGAACACCGTCGACGGCGACGTCGCGACGCCGCTCGCCGCGGGCGGCGGCGCCGTCGCCCTCTTCGACGTGGCGGACGCGACGCTGGACGGCGCGACGCTCCGCGGAAACGCCGCGGGCCGACCCGGCGCGCTCGGCGGCGCGGTCCTGCTCTGGCGCTCGACGTTGGGCGTCGGCCGCGCGACGACCTTCGAGGCGAACGTCGCCCACGGCGGCGGCGGCGCCCTGGCGGCGCTCGGCGGGTCCGCGCCCGCGGCGGTTTCGGGCGACTGCCGAGACGTCGCGGTCTTCGTCGACTGGAGGCGCACGACGGAGACCTGCCTGCCGACGGCGTTCCTGGGTGTGGTGGGTGTAACCTGCGACGCCTGGGCCGTCGAGGGCACGAAGGCCTGCGAGGGCGGGGACAAGGTCTTCGACTGCGCGGGCTGCGCGTGTTCGTTCGCGTCTCGACGACGAGGAGTCGAAGGCGCGCTACTTCACGATCACGCGGGACGGCGAGGAGCTCGGCCGCGGCGGCCCCGCGGCGGCGGCGCTGCGGCGCTTCGACTTCTGCCTGCCCCCGGGGAAGGTGCAGGTGCGGGCCTTCGACGACTTCGGGCAGTCGTGGTTCGGCGGGTCCTTCTCGGTCCGGGTCAAAGGCGGCGAAATGGTCGCGGGGCCGCCCGTCGCCGAATTTTCGTCGGCGCCGCTGACCATCGCCGTCGGCCTCGATCGCGCGACGCAGTTCGTCGCGAACGAGGCGACGGCCGGCGGCGGCGGCGCGCTCTACGCGGACGCGGCGTCGACGGTCGGCGGCGTGGCCGGCGACTTCCGGGACAACGCGGCGCCCTTCGGGCCGACGGAGGCGACGAGCGCCGCGGCGCTCGTCGCCGACCGACGGATCTTGCACGTCCGCAGCGGCGTGGCCGCGCCGCCCGTGTCCGTGACGCTCCTCGACGCGCTCGGCCAGGTCGTGGCGACGGACGGGTCGACGGTCGTCGTCGCCGGCGGCGCGAACCTGACGGGCTTCTCCGGCGGCAAGGCCACGTGTCGACATGGCGTCGCGACCTTCGCCGACCTCGTCGTCGTCGGCCGCCCGGGCGCGGCCTTCGAGCTCGACGTTCGCGGCCGCCGGCGTCGGCGCGGGCGCGGTCGTCCTCGTCGAGGTCGACGCGTGCGGCGTCGGCGACCAGCTCGTCGGCGACCGCTGCGAGCCCTGCGCGGCGTCCGACGAGTTCAACGTCTACGACTTCGGCGCGCGCGTCCAGGAGAACGGGAACGCGGGCGCGGCGTGCGCGCGGTGCCCCCGCGACGCCGACTGCGCCTTCGACGGCGGCGGCAACGGCACGGCGCCGCCCGGCGCGGACCTACGGCCGCGGCGGGGCTACTGGCGCTCGACGCCGTTCAGCAGCAACGTCGCCAAGTGCAAGTTCGAGTTCCACTGTAAAGGTGGCGTCGACCTCTGGGCGAAAGACGCGGACCCCTGCGGCGACCGGCGCGAGGGCGCGCTCTGCGCGTTCTGCGAAGCCGGCTTCGTCCACGACCGCTTCGACGGGTCCTGCGTCGACTGCCGCGGCGCCAAGAAGCGGAGCCTGCGCGTCGCCGTGGTCTTCGTCGGCCTCGGGCTCTTGTTCGTCGCCGCGGCCGTCGCGGTCGTCGAACGCGCGCGCGCGCGCTCGCTCGTGCGGAGCTTCGGGCGCTCGAGCCGCGACTTCTACCGCGACCTGTGGCCCCAGGCGAAGCAATTGATCGCCTTCTGGCAGATCTGCGGCTCGCTGCAGCGCACCTTCGACGTGTTGCGGTTTCCGCGTCTTTTTCGGCGGTTCGCGCTCGCGGTGTCGGCGGTGTCGCTGAACTTCTACGCGGCGCTGCCGGGCTTGTGCCGCGAGGCGGACCACGTCGACGAGCTCGTCGGGACGACGCTCTGGCCCCTCGCGGCGTCCGGGGCCATCCTGGTCGCGCACGCGGCGAAGACGCGGCGCGCGGCGGCCGGCGCGCGCGGCGCCGCGGCGCGGCTCTCCATGGGTTTGTTCCTCCTCTTGGCCTACGTGGTCGTCGCATCCTGCGCCGCCGTCGCCTTCGCGACCTTCGACTGCGACGACCACTATTCGCGGAGCGACGGCGAGCCCCGGTCGTCGCCGTACCTCGACGCGTCGTTTCTGCGGATCGACTACCGCGTCGATTGCGCCTCGAAACGGTACGCGCGCGCCAGGGCCTACGCGGCGCTTGATGATCGCCGTCTACCCCGTCGGCGTGCCGCTGCTCTGCTTCGTGCTGTTGTGGCGGAAACGGGACGACGTCGACCCGCCGGGCGGCGCGGCGTCGCTCGCGCGCCGCGCGCTCGCGGCCGACGGCGGCGGCGACGACGACGACCGGCGGACCGCGCGCGAGTACCTGGAGCTGCGGCGCTACGCCGAGGCGTCGTCGCGCGGCGCGGCGCGCCGCGGCGTCGGCGTCGCCGTGGAGATCCTGGGGACGGACTACGTGTGCCGGCGCCGGGCGCGGAACGACGGCTGCAACCACCTGGCGTTCCTCTTCGCGGAGTACGCACCGGCCCGCTGGTGGTTCGAGCCCGTGGACATGCTCCGGCGCATCGTCATGACCTGCCTGCTGCCGGCCATCGGCGACGGCGACACGGTGCGCCGCGCGTACGTCGCGCTCGCGCTCGCGCTGGGTTTCGCGTGGGTCTACGCCGTCGCGGACCCGCACGTCCGCGCGGCGACGAAGCGCTTCGCGCTTGCCATGCACGGGGCGCTGGTGGTCGTACTCCTGCTCGTGCTCGTGCTCTTCAACGAGCAGTTTTTGGACGCGCGCGGCGCGGGCTGGTCGGCGGCGGACGTCGGCGTCGGCATGGTCCTCGTCGCGGCGGTCTACGGGCCGGCGTACCTGCTCTACCGCGGCGCGTCCCGGGGCGACGGCCGCGTCGTCCTCGTGGGGCGCGCGTCCTTCGCCGCGACGTCCGCCGTGCCCTTCGAGGGCCGGCCCTCGGCGGCGGCCGTCGAATTGCCGCCGGTCGCGCCCGCCGCGGCGTCGCCGCCGACGTCGCCGACGCCGCTGCTGCAGACGGTCATGGGCGTCGAGATCGCCGACACGGAGAAACCCGTCGAGCCGGACCTCACCTACGACGACGACGAGCCGACGGCGGACTCGACGGAGCGGCTCCGCCGCGGCAGCGCGCTCCACGACCACACGCTCCTCGTCGACGACCGCGGCTTCGAGGGCGGCGAGTTTCCCCTGGCCGCGGCGACGGAGGTCGAGGAGACGAAGTATTGTTAGTTTTATGCTTGGGCGTTTAGGATTGCGAGGTTGCGTTTGGCCTCCTCGAGGCCCTTGGCGGCCGCGAGCTCGAAAAAGCGCCTTGCCTCCGCAAGGTCGCGTTCCACGCCCAAGTCGCCGTGATAATGTAAGAGTCCAAGATAGTATTCGGCAGCGGCGTAGCCCTGGGCCGCACTGAGCTTCCAATAGTAGACAGAAGCCTCCTTCACCATCGTTCCGTAATTGCATTGCGCGACCGCGTCGCCGCGGTCAGCCGCCAGGCGAAAAAGCTTCTCTGCCTTTTTCACGTCGCGTTTGACGCCGTCTGCGCCTTGATAATACAATAAGCCGAGCGATATCATTGCATCCACGCTTCCGAGCTCGACGGCACGCTTGAAGATTTTTGCAGCCTTTTTTGCGGATTTCACGAAACCGTACGAGCCGACGATATACCTGCCACCCAACGCATGGATCGCTTCTGGCACCTCGTTTTCCACGTGGCGACGAAGCCGCGCCGTATCTTCCTCTTTGGATTTAGGGAACGGCGTCCGACAGATAGGACACGGCGCGTGTAGAGATTTGGCCTGGCAAGTCTCGCAGATCCGGCGGCAGCAGCAGGATTGAGTTAGAATCCCATCATTCACATCCCATTCCTCTAGGCAGACCGGGCACCGCGACCCGTACCGCTCCGACGTCGGCTCCGGCTCCGGGTTCGCCTCGCGCCGCGCGCGAGCGGCCTCGTGTTCGGCCGCGATGCGCGCGCGGACCTCGTCTGCGCGCGACCGCGGCGCGGGACCGTAGAACACTTCCTCCGGCGGCGACGGCGGCGCCTCGGCCCGCGCCGCCTCCGCGGCGCGCTCGTTTCGAATCTTCTTGCACGCCTTGCGGTGGCCGCGGTCGCGCCAGTCGATGCGTTGACAGTCCGTCGAACAATACTGCGTAGTTCCACAGGGGCAGTTGAGCAAGGTCCTCGGTTTCGCCCCACAAATCGTGCACGTCAAACGCAGCTGTAGCGCTTTCGCCCGCGCCTTTTTCGCCTCGAACTCGCGTTGCTTGATCTGCCAGTCCATCAGAGGTTCGTCCTTCTTCTCCTCCATCGTCTAGAGCTTGCGTATGGCCCGTCGCTTGTTTGGAGCTCCAGGGGTGACGGTTCCGTGAAGCGGGGCGTTGTGACGCGGCGAGCGTGCGGGGCGCGCGGCTAGTGTTGAGGCGGTCTTTGTGGTGTCTGTGCTCCCGGCAGGGTCGGCGAGGGCGAGGCGACCTCGTCCTACTCCGTCGGCTCCGGGCGCACAATTTGCCACAAACAAAGCAGACGAGTCCTTAGAACGTACAGAAGAGGTCGTCGCAGCCGCCGCAGGCGCAGCTGGAGAGGGGCGCCCGGGACGCGCACTGCGTCGCCGCGCAGGGGTTCGCCGCGTCGCCGACGGCGTAGCAGCCGTCGTCGAGCCAGCAGTGCGCGGCGGCGAAGGACGCGTTGACGGGGTCCCGCCGGTCGACGCAGCGCTCGCAGGCCGCCGCGCGCGCCGCGGCGCCGACGCGGGGGAGGCCGTCGACGTAGATCCACTCCATGGCCTTGAGCGGCGAGAGGAGCTTGCAGTAATGAAACCCCGCAGTAATAAAAAACGGCACGTCGCCCCGGCGCACGTTCGCGATCGTGAAGGAGTAGGACGTGACGTCGACGCCCGAGTCGTTCCGCCGGAAGACGGGCGGCGTCTTGATCCAGGTCGGCCCCGTGAGTCCGATGGGCGCCTCCGCGTCGGCCGCGACGCCGAGCGGCGCGCCGGCGGCCTCGAAGCGCGCCAGCGCCGCGGGCGCGGCCGCGGCCTTCGCCCACGCGATGGCCGCGGCGTTGATGTGAGCGCACGTGTTCAGCGACGTCGCGTCCGTGGCGTTGTCGTCGGACGCGTCGAGTCCGTAGGCCTGCCACATGGCCTGGCGGCTCTTGAGCTTCGTTCGGAACTCGCTCGCCGCCACGGGCCCGTAGTCGCCGCGCAGGCTGTGGATGGGCATGGTCACGGTCGTCGACTCCAGCACGCAGTCCGTGTCGTTGCTATCGCAGGCGTTGAAGATGTGCGGCAGGTGGAAGGGCCGCACGTCGGAGACGTCCTCGAACGCGTCTTTCGTGGCGGCGGACGCGTTCGCGAGGCCGCTCGCCCCGAAGCCGCTCATGATGGCCTGGGCGCGGGCCACCCAGGGCGAGCCGCAGGTGCAGTCCGCCGGCGGCAGCGGGTCCGGCGCCGGCGCCGCGGGGCCGATCGACGCGTCGGGCCATCGCGGGTACGCGCACGTCGGGTTCGTCGGCCAGTCGGACTGGCAGGGCGCGCGCAGGTAGGGCGAGCCCTCGAGCTCCATGGCGGCGACGAGGGGCGCCACGAACTCGGCGGTCGCGGCGAGGTCGAGCGGCGCGTCGAGCGAAAAGGCCGCGACCGCGTCCGCGACCGCGGCGATCGCGGCCGCCGGCTCGAGGTCCGCCGCGAGGTCCCCGTCGAGCGGCCGGCCGTCGGCGAACTGGGCGTGGTTCAGGCCCTCGACGACCAGCACGGGGTCGTCGTCGGAGCCGGCCTGGCGGTACCAGGCCTCGGCGGCGCGCGTGGCGCGCGAGACGCCGTCCAGGCTCCCGGCGACCGTGAGCACCGGCGCGGGATGGTCCCGCGTGGAGGGCGGCGTCGTCCCGTTCGGCGCCGGCGCCGCGTAGTGGGCCCGGGGCACGCAGGCGCCGAGGAGCGCGACCCCTTTGAGCGCGGCCGCCGACGGTCGCGTTCGCGTAGCCCAGCGCCTCGGCCGCGTCGCCGCCGTCGCCGTGGCCCGCGAGCACGAAGGCGCCGGTGTGGCCCGCGAGCGCCAAAACGACGCCATCGATGACGGACGCCGGCGCCGTGTCCGACACGTCGGCGACGCGGGCGTCGACGCCGCGGCCGACGAGCGCCTGCGCCAGCGCGGCGTAGGCGTCGGCGGCGAAGGAGCGGTTCGCCGCGGGCACGAGCACGAGCACGGGCGCCGCGGTGATGCTGTGGAGCGACAGGAGGAGCATGCCGAGCATGGTGCGGGGCGCTCGTGCCATCCCGGGGTCTTCGGGCTGCCTGCGTCACACATCCGAACACGATGGAGAGGACGACAATACTCCCGATGGAGAAGACACCCGTGCGCCTCGTCGCGCTGGCCGCCGCGGCGTCCGCGGCCTGCCCGGACCTCGCGGCGCTGCCCAGCGCCGCCGCCCGCGGCCTCGACCCCGCGGCGCTGGCCGGCACGTTCTACGAGCAGGCCTTCTACGATTTCGCCCAGGTCGGCGCCACCTGCCAGAAGATGACCAACGTCGTGACCGACGACGGCGCCATCGCCCAGTCCTTCGACGTGCGCTACGGCCCGCTGCCCTTCGCGCTGCCGCTCGTCTACGAGCCCACGGACGAGCCCGCGGTCTTTACGCGGTCCGCGTTCCACATCGGATCGTTCCCCAGCGTCGTCGTCGACGTCTCCTTCGACGACGACGGCGCCGTGGACGCGCTGTCCGAGTACCTCTGCTCGTCGGTCGCCGGCGTCGACTACGAGGAGGTGCGCGTCTCGACGCGGGCCCGGGTCCCCGCGCCGGCGCTCGTGACCGCGCAGGAGAAGGCGCTCCTGGCCGCGGGGCTCAACCGGACGCTCGCGCCCGTGGACCACTCGACCTGCGACGACGACGCCCTGCGGACGGAAGGCAAGTGCTGCGACACCTGCGACGCGTCCCAGGGCCTCGTGAAGTACTACTCGACGGACGGCGTCTACGACCACTGCGGCGAGACGTGCATCAAGCCGGCCGAATTCTGGCTCTACAAGATCTTCGAGAAGAACCTGACCCTCGCGCCCTACGAGCACATCTGCAAGGACCTCATCTCCAACAACGGGAGCCACTACTCCGTCTACTCGTCGACCGTGTCCCACGGCATCCCCTACATCTTCACGGCGACGCTGGACCTCTACGACCCGGGGCCCGTCTAAAGACCGCTTTCTTTTGGTGCAACCGCGGTTGTCGGTGGTGCCTCTCGCTTCTCGTGCGCGCGCTGCAACTTTAAGGAAGGCACTGTCGACTATTGAGTTGCTCGAACGCGCGATTAATCTAGCGCCGCCGCTTCCGCTTGCCCGGCGACGCGGGCGCGTAGCCGAGCTCGCGCCGCACCGTCGCGATACGGAAGAGCAGGTGGTTGAGCTTCGTCTCCGAGCCCGCGATCTCCGGCCGGTCCTTCAGCCGCCAGAGCGCCGCCGACGGCTTGATGCACCGCGCGCAGAGCGCGTAGCGGCCCCACGCGAAGCCGAGCGAGTTCGACGGGTCGTTGATCGTCACGCCGCCCGGCTCGGCGCACTCGATGCAGACGCCGCCGCGGTAGACGCGGCTCCAGGGCACCCAGCCGCGCGTGCGCGTCCCCGGCTGGCGCCAGCCGCGCGCGTCGCATAGCGCCTTCCAGGTCTGGCCCGCGAGCGACAGCGCCGGCGCCGGCGCGTCGCCGCCGTCGTGCGTGAGCTGGCGCAGCCGTCGACAACTCCGACCGCTGCGCACGAGGCTTTTGCCGTCCAGGTTCCTCAAGATCTGCGAGGCGACGCCGTCGGGGAGGCGCCACAGCGCGCTCATCACGATCGAGCTCTCCGGTCAAGCGCACTCCAGCGCCGATGCTCGCGCTGCCCGCCGCGCCGGCGCCGACGGCGGCGTCGAGCAGCTCGACCGAGGCAACAACTCGAGGAGCTTGTAATTGAGGTCAAGCTTGAAGCACACGCCCTAACAGCTGTCGAGCTGCTCGACCGGGGCAACGACTCGTCTTGAGGTCGAAATTGAAGCACATCCCCTAACGCAGCTACACGTCGCTCTCGATGATGGAGCGGCGGAACTGCTCGCCGGGGAGGTTGGCCATGTGGATGGGCGTGACGTCGCTCTGCATGCGGGCCCAGTTCGCGGGGCGGTGCGAGAAGTTGGGCGTCTCCTTCTTGGCGCGCTCGTGGAGCTTCACCTTGTGCTCGATCTCGACCTCGCGCGCGTCCAGCGCCCGGTGGCGGCTCACGAGCTCCTTGTGGCGGTTCGCGTGCTCGTCGGCGAGGGCGCGCGCGTCCTCGGCGTGCTTCCGCGCGTCGTCGCGCGCCTTCGCCGCGAAGTCGAGCTGGCGCTCGAGCGACGCGATGCGCGCGACCAACTTCTGGCGCTCGCGGTCCGAGTTCTGGAAGGCGTGGTGCTCCTTCTCGTAGACGCGGAGGAACTCGTCGTGCTGGCTCTGGAGCTGCGACCCCGCGACGTGCGATTCCGACAGCTGGCGCTCGACGTCGCGGTAGCGGTCGTCGAACTGCGCGGCCCGCGCCTTGAGCTCCTCGAGGCGCTTCCCCAGGGCCTCCTCGCGCTCGAGCGCCGCGTCGCGGTCCGCCTCGGCCGTCTCCGCGCGGCGGAGCGCGACGCCGCGCTGCTCCATGATCTTCTCGGACCGCGCCTCCGCGTCCTCGGCGCGCCGCGTCGCCGCGACGGTCGACGCCTCCGTCGCCGCGGACCCCTCGTGGGCCGCGCGGAGCTTCTGCTCCGCGGCCTTCTTCGCCAGCTCCGCGACGTTGACGGCGGACGCGAAGTTCTCGAGCTTCTGCTCGAGCTCGGCGATGCGGCTCGCGTCGCGGTGGCGCTGGTCGCCGAGGGCCGCGCCCGTCGACTCGGCCTCGGCGCTCCGCAGCTTCGCCGCGCCGAGCTCGGCCTCGGCCTCCTCGAGGCGCTTCGACGCGTGCGCGGCGACGGTCTCGGCCTTGAGCCGCGCGGCGTTCGCGCCGTCGGACCGCGCCGTCGCGTCGCTCAGGCTCCGCTCCGCGGTCTCGCAGCGCAGGGTCAGCCGCCGGGCGTCGGCCTCGGCCTGCTCCGCGCGGACGACGGCCATGGCGTTGTTCTCGGCCGTGCGCTTCGCGTCCTCGAGCGCCTCCTTGAGCCGCGACGCCTCGGCCTTGGCGGCCTCGACCTCGAGCGCCGCGTTCTTCGCGGCGCCGAGGGCGCGCTCCGCGTCGCGGCGCGCGTCCTGGGCGCCGAGCTCCGCCTCGAGGCGCGCGCCCTGGGCCTCCGCGAGCTCCCGCGCGCCGTCGCCGCGGAGCGCGTTCGCCTCGAGCGCGGCGGCCTCCGCGGCCTCGCGGCGCCGGTCCGCCTCGTCGGCGCGCCGCTCCAGCGACTGGCGGTGCACCTCCGCGGACGCGCAGACGCGCTCCGCGTCCGCGCGCTTGCGGTCCGCGTCCGCGAGTTTGGTCTCGGCCGCGAGGCGCAGCGTCTCGTCCTCGGCGACGCGCTGCTCCGCGAAGCGCAACCGGCTCTCGGCGTCGGACGTCGCGTTCTCCGCCGTCGCCACCTTGGCCTCGAGCGCCGCGCCCTGGCGCTCCAACGCGACGACGCGCTCGTCGGCCGCGTGCGCGCGCGTTTCCGCCGCGGACGTCCGCGTCGCGAGCTCGCCGACCTGCGACTCGAGGCGGCTCGCCTCGCGCATGGCCGCGAAGGCCCGGTCCCGCTCGCGCTGGACCTGCTGGTCGAGCTCCTCCTGGGACGCCGCGAGCGTCCGGTAGCGCTCGCGCTCGCGCGCGTACTCGGCCTCGACCTCCTCGATGCGCTGGTCGACCATGGCCGTCGTCTTGGCGAGCGTCGCCGCGTAGCGGTCCCGGTCGCCCTCGAGCTCGGCCGTCAGCGCCTTGACGCGGTCCTCGGACACGCGCTTCGCCGTCGCCAAAATCTGCTCGTGCTCGGAGCGCTCGCGCTGCAACGTCGCCGCGTGCGACTCCTCGCGCTGGGCCAGGGTCGCGTGGGCGTCGCGGCGGTAGTCGTGCTCGAGCTGGGCGATCTTCGCGTCGACGCGGCGCTGGGCCTCGACGAGCGCGCCGTCGTGCGACGCCTTTTGCCGTAGGAACTCGCGCTTGTTCTCCTCCTCTCGCTTCGTCGCGGCCTCCGCGGCGGCCTCGGCGACCTTGACGCAGCGCTCCGCGTCGCTCTGGGCGCTCCGGCAGGCGGACCGCAGGCGCGCGCACTCGTGCTTCGCGTCGCTCGCGGCCTTTTGCGCGTCGGCTAAATTCGCGCGGAGGACCGCGTCGCCGTGCTTCTCGGCGCGCGCGCGCTCGCCCCGCGCGTCCGCGGCCTCGGCCGTCGCCGCCCGCAGGGCGTCGCGCAGGCGCGCGATCTCGACGCGCGCCTCCTCGACCTCCGCGCGGAGGGACCGGTGGCTCGCGTCGTCGGCCTCGCGCTTCCCGAGCAGCGCCTCGAGCTCGCGCTCGCGCGTCCGCGAGCCCTTGAGCTCCGTGGCGAGCTGCGACCTGGTGATCTCCAGGCTCCGCTGCGTCTCCCGGAGCGACGAGATGCCGCGCCCGCCCCGCGCCGCCGTCGACAGCAGCTGGTCCACCTCGGCCTCGAGGGCGTGGATGCTGCGCCGGTAGCGCTTGTCGTCCTCGACGGCGACGGCGCCGGACTCGGGCACGGCGCTCGCGAAGGTCTGCGGCGACCCGGCGAGGTACCGCCCCGGCGACGCCGGCGCCACCGGCGACGGGCTGCCGAGGCCGAGGTGGGCCATGCTCGATCGGGCAGCCTTCTACCAGCTTTTTTCTTGAACTTCTTCATCGACGTCGCGCAGCGGCCGGGCTGCCCGTCGCGATGGCCGTCGCGCGCGGACGCGCCCGCGCGTCCCCGCGGCGGCGGCGCCGCGCCGTCGCGGCGTCGCTCGCCGCCGCCTGGCTCGCCGGCGTCGCCGGCGGCGCGAGCGGCCAGCCGCTCAACGGCGACGGCACGGCCAACTACCTGCACCGCGCCGCGCCGCGCGCGCCGGGCCCGCGGCGGCCGCCGCCGCCGCCGCCGCGGCCGAACCCCGTGGAGCAGGCCGTGGCCAACGCCCACAAGACACACACGCTGAGCGGCGCCTGGCACCACGGCGCCACCGCGGGCTCCGCGGGCACGTTCGCCGGTCCGCTCGAGGCGGCGACGGCGCCGCGGCAGAACAGGCGCGACCACCGCCACGCGGCGCACAACGGTTTTTATGATTGCCCGGCGCCCGGCGAGGCCTACACGGCGGCCTACTTCCTGCACCGCGACACCTTCGAGAACGTGAGCGACATCCCGGACCCGCACTTTTGCTCCAAGGTCGCGAACATGGAGTCCGCGAGTTTTAGCATCTTCCCGCGCCACGGCCGCGGCGGCTGGAAGCACGCCGGCTCCGTGAAGAAGTCCGTGGACCTCTTCGCCTTCGCCATCACGCACCTGTCCTGGCTCGACCGCTACCTCACGCAGTTTGGGATGACGCGGCACCTCAAGCCCTGGTTCGTGCCCCACATCCTGGACCGCGTGCGCGGCTACGCCTGGTCCGGCACGCCCTACCACAGCGCCGAGGTCCAGCGCGCCGCCGACGCGACGCTCGTGCTCATGCCCTTCTTCGCGACGCCGGATCCGGGCCTCGGCGACGCGGGCCACTCGTCGCTCGACATGCGGCGCGCGTTCCTCGCGATGACCGTCCGGGGCGTGAGCCACTTCTTCAAGCACGTCACGGTCTGCGTCGGCACCGAATTCGACGAGCGCTACGCGAGGAACGAGTCGGGCCTGCCCTTCTTCGACGTCATGCGCGTCCCCGCGGACCGCATGGGCATGCACGTGCGCCACAAGGGCGTCGACCCGTCCATGCCCTTCAAGGCCGGCTGCATGGGCCTCGCGACGATCTACATGGCCAAGGTCCGCCTCGCGAACGACCCGCGCTACGGCTTCTTCCGCTACGTCTACTACACGGAGAGCGACCAGCTCCCGCACGTCCGCGGCCTCGGCCACATGCTCCGCACGCTCCAGGCCGAGCGCGACAAGGGCACCTGGGCCGTCTTCACGCCCCACCGCCTCGTGCCCCTCATGGAGGCGCCCGAGATCACGCGCAACGCGACGAAGCTCGAGACGCAGTGGGTCGCGCAGCGCGCGCGGTTCCTCGGCAACGTCGACGCGCGGCACGCGCCCAAACAGCACCACGAGGTCGCGGACCTCCGCGAGCCGACGACCTGCTGCTTCGAGCGCGCCGACTGCGACCGCGAGCGGCCCAACTGGGTCAACGTCACGGACCCGCGGCTCCACGTGCTCCGCTTCGCGACCGCGCCCTTCGCGGTCCTCGCGGGCGAGCCCGACTTCCACGCGCAGACCTACCGCCCCTGCACCGTGTCGGACCGCGCGCGCTGCCCCTAGGCTTAGTGCGAGTCCGGAGGGAGGGTCCTCACAGCGCGTCGTCGCCCGGCGCGTCCTCGGCGAAGGCCTTGCGCATCCAGTCCGCGCGCTTGTCCGCGTAGAGGCCCTTGACGGCGTTCTGCGTGGAGATGCACACCGTGAGCTCCACGCCGCCCGCCGCCGCGCCCCCCCGGACCGCGTCGAACTTCTTCTGCTTGAAGCGCGCGGGGCCGCCCGGCAGGCGATCCATCGGCCCCAGCGTCAGCAGGCCGCTCTTGAGCCAGTCCTCGTTGAAGAGCGCGAAGGCCTGCTCGCACTTGGTCCCCTCCGCGAGGACGACGCGCGTGACGCCGCGCTCCTCGCACAACGCGCGGATCGCGTTGGCCTCGGAGTTGGCCGCCGTGATCTTGTCGTGGCCGTCCGGCACGGAGCAGCGCGAGAGCACGGTCCACAGCCCGAAGCCGGCGCCCGTCAGCGCCGCGCACTGCTGCGCGTAGTCGGCCTTGGGGTGCTCCTCGACGAACGCCGCGGCGTAGTTCGACGGGATCTTGTGCGCGGTCTTGTTGTTCGCGGGGTTGAGCTTCCCGAGCATCGTGCGCTCCGGCGTCAGGCCGAGGCGGAGGCCGGCGATGTACCAGAACGCGTTGTCCACGCGCGCGTAGTACTCGCCGGCGAACGTGTCCGTCGAGCAGGAAGACGTGGAGAGGATGAGGGTGTGGAATGGCTTGCCGGGCTCCGGAGCGACGAGGCCGAGGCAGTCGACGAGCGTGCCGGCGGCGGCGCCTTCCGTCATCTTGCAACCGCAAACCTTCGAGCGCTTGGCGGCGGGCTCGTCTTCGGCCATGCTTGCTTGTTTTGCTCGCGGAAGAGAGCGGACAGAGCGCGGGTCTTTGCGTCGGCGATCTGTGGAAAATCGGCTCTGGTGGCGGCGCGTGATCGGTCGAAGACGCCCGATTTAATAGTAGGGTCACGAGGCGCGTACCATTCCCCCGTCGTCAAGGGGTGCTAGCGGGGCGGGACCCAGGGCACGGGCGTGTTCACGGGCGTCTCGGGCGGCGGGTCGTAGCCCTTCGGCGTCTTCACGGGCCCGAGGGCGCGGTTCGCGTGGTGGAGGTGGGCGTTGAGCGCGTCGACGAGCGCGTGGCCCTCGCCGTGGGCGCGGCGCACGGCGACGAGGGCCGCCTCGACGAGCGCCTTGGCCTCCGCGGCGTCGCGCGCCCGCTCCGCGGCGCCGTCGTCGTCGTCGCCGTAGAGCAGGCTCACGGCCAGCGCCTTGACGACGGCGACGGTCGTCGCGTGCGCGGCGCCGAGCGCGCGCCGCGCCCGGGGGAGCGCGTCGCGGAGCACGCCGCGCTCCTCGCGGACGCGGTCGCGGTCGCCGAGGCTCTCCGCTAAAGCGACGACGGCGTCGAGCGCGGCGCGGTCGTCCTCGCCGAGGAGCGCCGCGTAGCCCGCGGCGACCTTGCGCCGCAGGGCCAACGCCTCGTCGCACCGGCCGAGGCGCGCGCAGGCCGCCGCGAGTTTGGCCTTGGCGCCGAGCTCGCGGTCGACCTCGTGCGAAAAGTGGCGCCGCCGGAGCCCGACCTCGACGCGGCGCACGGCGGCGGACTCGGCGTCGAGCCCGAGGTCGCCGAGGGCGTCGGCGAGGCCGGCCAGCGCCGCGACGCGCCGCCAGTCGTCGTCCGGCGCGCGCTCCGCGGCGGCCCACGCCTCCCGCGCGACGCCGAGGCGCACCGCGGGCTCCGCGAAGGCGTCGCCGCAGACGGCGCAGCGGTCCCAGCGCGGGTAGGAGCCGTTCGCCTCGGACTCGCGGGACGCGACGCGCGCGAGGCAGGCGAGGTGGGCGTCCCGGCCCTTGGCGCAGCCGCAGGCGCGCACGACGCCGCCCGCCGCGTCGCCGCAGACGTAGCACCGGTGGCCCGGGCAGGCCTCCTCGACCTCGGCGACGCAGGCGCGCCCGACGTCGTCGAGCTGCCGCACGAGCGGCGCGCCGAGCCGCGCGAACTCCATCGTTTGGGCTGCCCCGAGATTTAACGATGTTGACCTATTTGATGAAGTCAACACCGACCATTTGCTCGCCGACCAAAAAACACGATGGACATGGTGAGCATGGCGAAGCGGGGCAGCGCCCTCGCCGGCAAGGCCCTGGACGCGGCCAAGGACGCGACGACGGCGGCCGCGACCGCCGGTGTCCGCGACGATGTTCCACGTCGCTCCTTTGGAACGCCACGCCACAGGTCAAGGTCGCCCTCAAGCACAACGAGCCCAGCGACCCGCTCGACGTCCTCGAGGAGACGGAGAAGCTGTTCGTGAAGCAGAAGATCGAGACCATGGAGGCCGTCGCCAACGCCGTCGCCGGCGCCGTGGGCCTCGGCGAGTTCGCGGCGCTCGGCGAGACGGCGAACAAGTACGACGCGTACACGAGCAACGGCGGCAGGCAGTTCAAGGTCGTCGAGACGAGCGAGCGCTGCTCCTACGAGGGCTGGGTGCCCACGGGCCGCGCCTGCTGCCGGCCGAACCACAAGCTCCAGCTCCACGTCTACACGCCGGGCAGGACAAGAGAGCGAAATTCCCAACTTCAAAGGCTCCTTTCTCGGCCGTTTTCCACTCGTTTCGGCTGATTTTTGGACGAGCGATCATCTCTCGGAACGGTCTCGAAGCGCGATTGCTTTGCTTTTCTTGGAACGCGCGCGCGCGGAACACTCACATTGAAGCGACGTTGAATCTCTCTTGTCCTGCCCAGGTCTACACGCCGGGCATGTTCGGGTCCAGGGAGGTGCTCCTCCTCGACCGGCCGTTCAAGTGCGCGGGCTGCTGCTGCACGTGCCACGAGTGCTGCCAGCAGACGCTGGACGTCGTTTTCCGGCGTCGAGCGAGCTGTTTCGAGCGCCCGAAAGCGTGCGCCTCGCAGGTCTACGCAGCAACCCCAGAACAGAAGGCGGCCCTCGACCCGGCCCTCAAGATCGCGACGGTCCGGCAGCCGCTCCTCGGCGGCGGCCTCGCGCCGTCCCTCGACGTCATGGACCGCGAGGGCAACGCGCTCGCGTCCATCTCGGGGCCGACCTGCTGCGTCGGCGGCGCCTGCTTCGACACCACGTTCACGGTCTGGTCGCCGGAGGGGCTGCCCATCGGCAAGGTCACGAAGGAGGGCGCGCGCGACTTCGGCGAGCTCGTCCAGCAGTCGCTCACGGACGCGGACAACTTCGTCCTGAATTTCCCCAAGGACACGGACAAGAAGACGAAGGCGGCCATGCTCTCGTCGCTGCTGCTGCTAGACTACATGTTCTTCGAGGACGAGGGCGCGCTCGCGTGCGACCCTGTCAACTGCGCATGCAAGTTCAAATGCTGCGACCTCTACTGCTGCGGCTGCCTGACGCCCTGCTCCTGCTCCTGCGGCGAGCCCGCGCCGCCGCCGCCCGCGACGGGACTGTAAGGCGGACTCTCTCCCGTATCCCGCCGGCGCACAAATTCGACGTAGGCTTCGTGAACTTCAATCTCGACCTTAACACCACCTAATAGGGACCTGAACCAACTGGAAGAACCGGGCTGCCCGATCTCCATTGGTGACCAGCGCTCGTGTTCTCGGAAATGGCAGCCATGAAGCTCGTGCTCCTTTCGGCAGCTGCGGCGGCGGCGCTGGACGTCGACATCCCGGCGTGGCTCGACCCGACGGTCTCCAAGGCGACGATGGGCCGCGTGGACCGCTCACGGCAGACGCGCCGCACGGTCCGCGCCCTGGGCAACAAGATGCTCAAGCGCGCGGCGGCCCGCCAGCGCCAGCTCGACGAGGGCGACCCCACTCCGGCGCCTTCCGGCGCGCACTTCAACATCAGCGACGACGGGATGGCGCTGCTACACGGGTTGCGAGGCCGAGCTGCTGGAGTATAACGCGCTCGCCACGCTCTGCAGGCCTCCCGATGACGACGACGAGGGGGCGTCCGACGACGCCGACGACGCCGACGACGACGACGACGGCTCGCGTGCGCGGATGTGCGCGGATGTCAGAGGGGTCGTCGGCCTCATCGGCACGTCCGCGGCCGCCTGCGCCCGATTCGTCGAAGAGTGCGACGTCGGCGAGTCCACGGGGACCTGCGCCGAGTTCCCGCTGGTCTGGACCAACATGATCGGCTGCCTGCGGACCTGCCAGTGCGACGACGTCGACGTCATGTGCGGCTACCAGGACGGCGAGCCCTACGCGGGCTCGACGACGACGTACGTCTACTCGAGCGACGTCTGCGACATCGACGACTACTCAGAGGTGTCGCCCTTGCCGTCGTACTCCTCCTGGAGCCAGACCGAGTCCTGCACCGATGGGTCCAACACGTGCACGTACATTGGCACGTACATTGGCACGTACATGACCGGGGAGGAATTTGTTGTCGCCTGGTGCTGCGGCGGCGACAAACCCCACTGCGACGATTATGAGTCGAAATCATTGTGCTCGAGCCTTTCCGAGAGCGAGAGGGAGAACGCCGCCCTGGTGAGGGCCCGCCTCTTGTTTATCTCCAGCGCAATCTTCTGGATTTCCGCCACCTTCCACTGTTTCCTGGGCTCCTACCTACGGCGGGATTGTCCGCGGCTGCTGGCGTGTCTGCGGGCGCGTCAGGAGGGGACGAAGGAGGGCGGCGGCATCGACATGGCCGAGGTGCCCGCGCAAGGCGCGGAGGCGCGGCGCGCCGCGGAGAGCCAGGAGGCGACAACGGCCGCCGCCGGCGCCGGCATGGCCTAGGCGCCCGGTCCGCCGAGGCTCCGCCGACTCGCTCCGGTAACTTCCTTAAAGCCGCTCAGCCGCGGGCGACGAGCTCCTTGAGGAGCGCGTCCGCCGCGCACGTCGCGGCCATGGCCCGGACGCGCGCGACGCCCGGCGGCGCGGCGTCGCCGTTGCGCGGGAGCGCCGCGGCGACGTGCGCCGCCGCCGCGCGCATGACGCTCGCCTGCATGAGGACGACGCGGTCCTGGCCGAAGGCCGGCGGCCGCCGCGGCGCCGGGCCCTTGCGGGGCGCGACGACGGCGACGAGCGCCGCCGCGGTCAGGTCGGCGACGGTGTCCGCGGCGTCGAGGAGCGCCGCCGCGTCGGGCCTGAGCCGCACGCCGAAGTCGCGCGCGAACTCGAGGAGGCCGTGGAGCGCGCGGCTCGCGCACCAGAGGAAGAGGTGGGGGCACTTGTGGAGCCCGAGGCGCGCGAGGTCGCCGACGACGTCCGGCGCGAGCTGGAGGAACGCGTCCGCGCGCCGCGGCGCGCCGCCGACCATGCGCGCGGCGAAGAACTCGAGGCGGCTCCGGAAGTGCGCCGCGTAGCGCGCGAACGAGTCCAAATCGAGCGCCGCGCCGCAGCTCAGGCGCCGCGCGGCGTCGACGTGCGCCGCCGCGAAGGTCCGCGCCGCGGCGTCCACGGGCACGGACCGCGACGCGCGGGGCCCGTCGCAGCCGCCGTAGAAGTAGAGCCAGCACGCCTTGAACGCGCCGCTCCGCGGCGAGAAGACGACGCGGTCCGTGCGCCGCAGGAACTCCACGAAGGCGACGTCGCAGAAGCGCGCGGCCTTGAGCGCCGGCGGCGCGGCGCCCAGAAAGGACAGGAGCGCGGGGACGCGCACCGCGTAGTGGAAGTACTCGTAGGGCTCGCCGACGCGCTCCTGGGCAGCACAAGGGTGATTCAACGTCGCTTCAACGTGAGTGTTCCGCGCGCGCGCGTTCCGGAAAAAGCACCCACGCGTCGAGACCGCTCCGAGAGATGATCGCTCGTCCAAAAATCAGCCGAAACGAGTGGAAATCGGCCGAGCTATGAGCCTTTGAAGTTGGGAATTTCGCTCTCTTGTGCTGCCCCGACGCGCTCCGCGGCGCCCGCGGCGAGCAGCGCCTCGACGTCCGCCGCGGACCGCGGCCGCGGCGGCGCGTCGGCGGCGGCCCGCGCCGCCTCGGCGCGCCACATGGCGCAGACGGACGCGCAGCGCCGCGGCGCGTCGGCGTCACCGCGCGGTACTCCGCGGTCCGCGACGGGTGCGCGAGGTCGTCGTCGTCGCCGAAGAAGCACCAGACGCTGCGCTTCTTGCCCCAGCGGTGGGCGACCAGCGCGCCGAGGGCCGCCAGGTGCTCGAACTGGGACCGCCGGCCCGCGCATTCGACCGCGTCGCAGTCGCATTCCTTCACGAGCCGCCGCGCGGATTCTCTCCACGCCTCCTCCGCGCTCCAGGACAGCAGGATGCCGTCGGGCGCCGCCGTCTGCGCCGCCGACGCCGCGCGCAGGGCGTCGCCGAGGGCGCAGAGCCGGTCCGCGGAGGCGATGTGCGACGCCATGAGCAGCACGAGCGTCGTCGGCGCGGGCGCCTCCTCGGCGTCGCCGGGGACGACCGTCACGGCCTCGTCGTCGTCCTCGAGCTCGCGCCCCACGGTCGCCTGGCACCGCGCGGCGCCGAAGGCGGCCATCGTCACCAATCAGAGGATTGCCAAGAGAGCGCGGCCATGCGATTAGCGCGTTCCCAATTTGAACTTCAAATTGAAGAAAGGGCCCCGTTGGCACCATCTATTGGCACCCCTTCCCGACTGATCCGATGGAGAGCGTGCGGGAGGAGAGCGCGCGGGAGGATCAAATGGAAAGGGTGCGGGAGGTGGCGGCGGGCGAGGGGGAGAAAGAGACGGAGTGCTCCGTCGCGGAGGGGACGTCGTCGACGTTGATCTTCTGCGGCACGTGGAGCACGGGCGACGACCGCGACGACGGCCTGCCGGAGCGCCAGCGGGAGCCGGGGAGCGCCGCCAAGCGGAAGCGCGGCGTGTCGCCGCTGAGCGACGCGCCGCCGCCGGCGCCGCCGGCGGCGGAGCTCTCGACGACGCCGACGAAGAAGTTGTTGCGCCTGCGGCGGCTGGTGCTGAACCACGTCGACGAGAGGAGCGTCGGCGCCTTCTTCGGCGTGCTCTTCGTCTGCGTTGTCACCTTCGCGACGCTCGGCGTCATCAACATCATGGACTGGCTCCAGCTCGAGCCCCTGACGGCCATGTACCTCCACGGCGTCCTGGGCTGAGACGCGAAAATCGACTCAACTTATGAAATGTAAAGGTACGCGGAAGACGCGACGCACGAGCTCGTCTTCCCCGACTTTGTGATCTGCCACACGTGGCCCGTCGTCTTCAACTTCCGGCCGGCGGACTGGAAGAACGTCTACGTCGCCGTCTGGGACGACGGGCGCCTGTCGGCGGAAATCGACTACGACTTCGTCAACACGTCGTCCATAGACCGCGGCGGCGACGGCGTCTGCCTGCGCGTGCACGCCGCCGACTACGGCAAGGTCCCGGGCGGCGTCCCGCGGCCACGACGCACGTCGAGAGCTTTCGACCGAAGCAAGAGCCTCACCGACGCGTCGTAGGTCCCGGGCCCCGCGACGCACCTCCAGGTCTACTTCTGGAACGAGTTCGCGGCATTTTACAAAAACACGTGCCCGCTCTGGAACGACGCGCTCGACGCGTGCCCCTTCTGGCCGCCGAGCGCGTCGCAGATGCCCGACTCCTTCGAGGTGCTCGTCGACGGCGAGGACGACGCGCACGTCTGGGTGCCGACGAACGCCATCAACAACGTCTTCATCACGCCCACGAAGTACGTGAACCTGCGCGGCGACGTCGACATCGAGTTCCTCTTCTCGCCCGTGACGCAGTCCTACGTCGTCGTGCCCGACGTGACGCTCGGCGACGCGCAGCCGACGTACTTCTGGTACAACTACCCGTCGCGCCACATGATGGTCCACCGCAAGTACGCGCAGCGGAGCCTCTCGGAGCTCTACGCGATCCTCTTCGCGATCCTCTCGACGGTCGCGTCCATCTTCTCCTTCTTCCTCTACACCGAGGGCGACATGAACCCGGGCAAGTTCATCATCCGCAAGGAGTTCCTCAAGGCCCACCGGGCGCAGAGGGCGCTCCGGAACTCCATCAGCCGCGGCCACAGCATCGGCAGGTGCGTCGACGAGGTCTGCGCCGCCACGGGCGCGATCCCCGGCGACGACGGGGACGACGAGGAGGCCGCGGCGTTTCGCGGAGGCCCGTCCGACGCGCGGAGCGACGACGTCGAGGCGCGGAGCGACGACGTCGACGCGGCGTCCATCGAGGCGAGCGCCGCGTAAAGGTTACTCGCGCGCTCCGGGGCCCGCCTGCGCTCGGCGCGCGCTCCGGGCGCTACAAGTCGCGCACCTCGCTGAGGAAGTCGGAGAAGTTGGCCTCGGCGTCGCCCGCCGCCGGCGCGGGCGCGGGCTTCGCGGGCTTGGAGTGGATCTCGACGACCTCGCCCGGGAGCTGCGCGACGGCGCGCGCCTTCGTCGGCCGCGACCGTTTCACGCGGAGGTGCGACGGGAGGAACGACTGGTCGAGGACGACGCGCTGGACGTCGTCGGTCTCCACGGCGCCGAGCTTCGCCGCCGCCGGCGCCTCGTCGGCCGGCGGCGCGCCCGGCATCGCGGGCCCGGCGACGGGGCCGTCGTCGCGCGGCGCCGGCAGCGGCTCGAACGCGTGCGGCGGCGGCGGCCCCGCGGGCAGCGGCGGCCGGACGCGCACGCGGGGCGGCGGGCCCGGCGGGAGCGGCGGCCGGAAGCCGCCGCGCGGCGGCGCCGGCGCGCCCGGCGGCGCCGGCGCGCCCGGCGCCAGCGGCGTCAGCGTCATCGGCGGCGGCATCATCGGCGGCGGCGGCGGCGGCCGGCCCCCCATGGGGTACATGCCCGGCGGCGGCCGCGGCGGCGGCGGCGGCGGGCCGTCCATCAGGCCGGACCAGCCGCGCGCCGGCATGCCCCGCGGCGGCGGCGGCGGCGGCATCATCATCATCCCCCGCGCGAGCATCGCGTGCGGCGGCGGCGGCCCCGGCGGCGGCGGCGGCCGCGGCGCGCCGAGCATGGCGTGGGGCGGCGGCCCGCCGGGCGGCGGCCGCGGCGCGTGGAGCATGGCGTGGGGCGGCGGCGCGCCGGGCGGCGGGCCCGGCGGCGGCCGGGGCGCCGCGGCGTGTCCCGGCGGCGCGCCCGGCGGCGGCCCGCGCGGCTGCTGCTGGCTCGGCGGCCGCGGCGGCGGCGCGTAGGGCGACGGCGCGCCGGCGTAGCCCAGGTCCGCGGGCGGCCGCTTCTCGTCGTTGCGGTGCTTCTTCTCGAGCACCGCCTGGTGCGCGCGCAAGGCTTGCAGCTTCCGCCGCAGCTCGAGGTCCGCGCGGTTCGTCGCCGCCTCGGCCTCGAGCTTCTCGATCTCCTCGCCGAGCTTCGTCGGGTCGCGCAGCAGGGTGCGCGCCTCGACGCGCTCGACCTGCTGCTTCTTCGACTTCTTGATCTCCTTCTTCTTGAGCTGCTTCTTGTAGGCCATCAGCGGGTTCGCGCAGAGCTTCTCCTTCTTGCCCATCGTGGCGGTGGTGGAGGCGGCGCGCCGCAGACGAGAACGAGGAGGCGCGGGGGCGCGCAGACGCGCAGGCCACGGCGCGCGGGCGCTGGTCCTCGCGGGAGCCGGTCCTCGCTGCGGGGCGGGCCCACCTCGTCCTTGCTGGATGGGGGCAAACAAACCGGAGTTGTCCTCGTTGAAGCGCCATCAACGCTCGATGATGAGCAGACAAGCAGCCCCATAAGCGACCGCTCGCGCCCAATCATGGCGTCGCCGGAGCGGAAGAAGAAGAAGAAGGGCGCCAAGGACGCGGCGACGCCCCCCGCGAGCCGCGAGGCGAGCGCCGAGCCCCGCGGGCGGAGCGAGAAGAAGGACAAGAAGGACAAGAAGAAAAAAAAGGACAAGAGCGCGTCCAAGGAGGGCCGGTCGAAGAGCAAGGACAAGAAGAAGGGCAAGAAGGACCGGTCCGCGTCCAAGGGCAAGAAGAAGGGCGTCCAGGAGGAGGAGCCGGCGAAGGAGAACAAGGTCGAGGAGGCGCCGAAGGAGCCGTTGGTCCTGCCCGACCGCTGCGGCGAGGAGGACCGGCTGCGCACGGCGCTCATGGCCGCCTTCGACGGCGACGAGAAGGAGCTGGCCAAGGAGATCGAGACCATGCCCACGTTCGTGAGCCCCTGCGGCGTGACCATCAACTGGATCCCCGCGAACAGCGAGTGGACGACGCCCGTCCCCGTGGCGCGGCCGACGCCCGAGGAGAAGCTGCTCTTGGCGAAGATGCCGCGGACGCGCGGCGACGGCCTGCCGCGCTTCGCGACGGGCGGCCACGACCGCAAGGGCGTCGAGCGGTGCTGGCTGCTGCTGCGGTGCCACTTCGAGCCGTTCACGTCCATACCGGGAGCGCTCGGCGCCGCGCACCACGACCCGCCCCACCACGAGACCGACAAGGACCGCGCCGCCACCAAAATCCACGCGCTCTTCCACCGCGCGACGCGCACGGCCGGCGGCAACCGGCGGGGCATGGTCCGCGCCGTCGCGCGGCAGGCGCACGCCAGGGCAGCAAAAGAGAGCGAAATTCCCAACTTCAAAGGCTCCGATCTCGGCCGTTTTCCACTCGTTTCGGCTGATTTTTGGACGAGCGATCATCTCTCGGAACGGTCTCGAAGCGTGGATGCTTGTTTCGTAACGCGCGCGCGCGGAACACTCACGTTGAAGCGACGTTGAATCACTCTTGTGCTGCCCAGGCGCACGCGCAGCGCGACCCGTCGCAGCTGCTCAAGCCGCGGCGCGTGCCGTTGCACCGCCTCTTCCGGTTCCTCGAGTACTGCGGCGAGACCTTCGAGGGCGGCTTCCCCTACGACAAGACGAAGTGGGCCGCGCTCCAGGAGCTGATCCGCAAGGAGTTCAACGTGTCCGACTCGCAGGTCTCCGCGCTCTGCCGGCCGACGTGCCCCGAGGCGGCCAAGGCCCTCGACGCGGCCTTCTACCCGGCGAACCGCGGCGACTCGCGGGGCCAGTCCCTGGAGCACAAGCGCGCCCACGAGGGCCACCGCCGGGGGCCGCTCGCGGACTCGGCCCCGGACCCGGACGCGGGGCCCGCGTCCCCGCGCGCGGCGGCCCTCATGGCCCACGGCGTCGCCATGGGGCGCCTCTACCTCGTCGCGCATCTGGACGCCCACGCCTGCAACGCGCCCGACGAGCACGGCGACCGGCCCCTGGCCATCGCGGCCATGGGCGAGCGGCCCAAGGCCATCCTGGCGCTGCTGAGCCGCGGCGCGTGGCCGTCGGCGCCGTCCTGCTCGGCGACGTCCGGCGGCGCGACGGCGCTCCACTACGCGGCGGCGACGGGCAACGGCGACGTCGTGCGCCAGCTTTTGGCGGCCGGCGCGGATCCCAACGCGACGACGACGTCGGGCGAGACGCCGCTCCACTACGTGAGCCGCCTGCCGCGGGAGCGCGGGCCCGAGGCCGTCGAGGTCGCGCGCGTCCTCATGGACCACGGCGCGTCGCCCGACGGCTTCGCCGACGAGCGCAACGCCCACGCGGAGCCGCCGCCGCCGCCGCCCGCCGAGGAGAAGGACGACGAGGACAAGGGCAAGAAGGGCAAGAAGAAGGGCTCGTCGTCGAAAAAGGCGAGCAAGGGCTCGTCCAAGAAGGCGAAAAAAGAAGAAAAAAACGACGACGAGCCGCCGCCGCCGCCGCCGCCGGATCCGCGCGTGCCCGACGTCGCGCACCTGGGCCACCGCGCCACCGGCGAGCCCCACGCGGCGCGCTTCACGCCCCTCCAGTGCGCCGCGGCGGCGGGCCACGGCGCCCTGCTCAACGAGCTCCTGCGGCGCGGCGCCAACGCGGGCGTCAAGGCCGCGAACCCGGGCGGCGACTACCACACGGCCGTCACGATCGCGGGGCGCGTCGCGCGCGCGCCCGAGCCGCCGCCCCACGCCTACGACATGCTCCAGGCCCTGCGGACGAACCTGCACCTGCCCGCGCCGACGAAGCCCAAGCCCGAGAAGAAGGGCGGCGGCAAGAAGTCGTCGGGCGGCAAGAAGGGCGGCGCGAAGAAGAAGAAGAAGCGGTAGCGTAAGTGTGTTGTCCCTAGGTTCGACTCCTCGTAAAACGCCGCGCCGCGACTCGACTTACTTCGGCTGGATGCGTAAGTGTGTTGTCTAGGTTCGACGCTTCGGGGCATGTATAAAACGCCGCGCCGCGACTCGACTTACTTCGGCTGGACTCCGAGCGATCGAGAGGAGAGCTGGAGGGGCCGGAGCTTGCGGCGCTTCTCCAGGTCCGCGCGCCAGCCCGCGTGGAGCTCCGACTTCGCCGGCCGCACGTGGAGCGACACGACGCCGCAGAAGGCGTAGTGCGGGTGGGAGAGGATGTCGGCGAAGGTCGCCGCCGGCGACACCTCGAGCCACGCGTCCTGCCACTCGAGGGTCTCGCACTCGGCGCCGTCCGCGGACCGTTGTCGGTAGTCCGCGTAGTCCTTCGCCGACTTGAAGGACGGCGTCTCCGGGAGCCGCGTGTAGACGGACACCTCCGTGGCGCGGTAGACGCGCTTCGCGTCCCAGTCCGGCCCCGCGCCCTCGCCCGGCTCGGGAAATAGCGTCAGGAGCCAGTCGCAGAGCAGGTCCGTCCCCGGCACGCTCTCGAGCAGATCCGGCTGGGCCGCCGGCGCCTCGGGGTAGCAGAAGACGACGGGCCAGCGCAGCCCCTCGCCCTCGAAGTGGGGGTGGCTGTCGTACGCGTGGACGCCCGGCGGCGGCGACGGCGCGAGGCGCACGCCCGCGGCCTCGGCGGCGTCGAAGACGGCGGCGTACTTGGCGAGCTTCGCCGCCTCGATCTTGGCCTTGTTCGCCGCCTGGCGCTTCGCCTCGGCGAGGCCGTCCGTCGCGTGTTTCAAAGTTTGGCGCAGCGGCTTCGAGGCCGGATCGATCTCGAGGCCCCAGTGCGCGGCCTTGGCCGCCGGCTCCCACTTCTTGAGCCCGAGGCAGGCGCGCGCGAGGCGGAAGCAGCACTTGGCGTTTTGGCCGTCGATGGCGAGCGACGCCTTGCAGTCGGCGATCGCGGAGCCGTAGTTTTTGAGCACGAGCGAGCACGCGGCCCGGTTGCTCAGCAGCGTCGCCTTGAGCGGCAGCGGCTCCTCGTCGCCGGCCTCGTGCTTCGCCGCGAGGCAGAGGTGGAACCCCTCCGTGTACGCCTTGGCCGCCTCGCGGTAGAAGAGCTTGTTCTTGACGGCGACGGCCCGTTGGAAGTGCGCGTTGCCGCGGTCCTTCGCCGCGGCCGCCAGCGCCGACGGCGGGTCGTCGCCGTCGCGCAGCTGCATCAGGCCCTCGACGAGCGCCGGGTCCATCTCGTCGAGGCTCTCGGCGAGCAGCGGCATCTCGTTGTCGTCGTCGTCGAGGGACGCGAGGTACTTGGCGCGCTCCTCCTCCGACCACGACGGCATCATGTCGCTGAGGTCGAAGTAGCCGTCGTCGTCGTCGTCGTCGTCGTTGGTTGGCGTCGCGAAGGAGGCCATTGTTGTGGCAGCGCTGTGTCGCTTCCTAGATGTGGCTCATCGCTGGCTACTGCGGCAACGACTTTGAGTTGCAGCTCAAGTTGCATCGGCGCGCGTCGCTGGCGTCTGGACCAGGCCGTTCGCGCGGCCGCGCGCGAAGTATTCGCCGACGGGTGTGCGCGAAGTAGCCGCCGAAGCTCCGAGTCCGCACTGGAGGGGTCTCACCGCGGCCGCGCGCGCCGCGAGTCGCTCGTCCGTAGCGCATGCCAGGAGGACGGCACCGACACACCTATAAGCTCAAGAAGCAGCGTGAGGACTTGACATACAAACGTATCAAGGTCTTCTGCTCGAGCGTGGATCCCAGCTACGATGAGGTCCTGAGCTAGTTCAGCTTGATGAAGGACACCGTCGACCTCCGCCGGCACTCCGGCGCCAGCCGGCGGGCCCCTGATTTTTAAGTTCCCCGGGCCCTCCGCGTAGTCGAGCTTGGACTTCGCCGAGTTGCCGATGTGCGGGAACTTGCCCGCGGCGTAGGCGAGCTTGGCCTTCTCAGACCGCGCCTTCGCGATCTCGCCGAGGATCACCGGCGGCGCGGTCCTGCGTCTCGGCCAGCTGTGGCGCCCGTGTTCACTGGCAAGCACGCGGCGGCCAACTTGGGCCGGTCCAGAGGCGGAGCGGCCTTCTACACTGCGATGAACGATGCGCTCGATTCTTCCGGAAAGGCGTTCCGTGGTGACCCGCGTCGCGCGGAAGCAGCTCCGCGAGCTCCGGCCCGGTCCCGCGAACCCTCGCGCGCGCGCATCATTCCGCAGCCACCACCGCCTCTCCGCGCCCGCCGCGGCCGCGTGGCCCGCAGCAGTCGCTTCCAAGAGGCGCATCGCGCGAGGCGTCGCGCACGCCGTGCCCGCGCGCGCGAAAAGAACGGTCGGGGAAGTCGAAGCGAGGTGACAAACACCCCCGGCGAGCCTGGCGAGGTGCTCGCCGAGCTGATTTGGGGCATCATGGTCGCAGCTCGGCGTCCGCTGACTTTACGCGCCGCGCGCGCTCCCCCTGGCCCTCCCCACCGCCTGCCAACGCGCCCATCGCCTCCGCCGCGCCGCGCCGCGCCGGGCGATCCATCGCCCGCGCCGTGACGCGCCGCGGGGGCGGCGCGCCGCGGCACACCCGCCACCCAGCCCAAACTCGCCCCAAATCGCCGCCCCCGCGCCCCCCCGCGCTCACCCCGTTCCCTCGCCTAGGTCCAGATCTTCCTCTCCGCGGAGGGGGCCACGTCCACCCTCGAGGTGGACCCCGCGCTCACGGTGAGCGAGCTCAAGGACGTCGTCGAGGACGTCGAGTTCATCCCGGCGGAGCTCCAGCGCCTCCAGTTCGGCGCGCGCCAGCTCGCCGCGGGCACGCTCGAGGACAACGGCCTCGCCGCGGGCTGCACGGTCCAGCTCCTCCTCAACGTCGACGGCGGCGGCGAGGCGAGCCGCTACAAGAAGTCGACGTCGAAGATGCGCTGGAAGTGGAAGAAGAAGCGCACGCGCCGCCTCCAGCGCAAGCGCAGGAAGATGCGCCAGCGCGCCAAGTAAGCGGCGGCCTTGCCAAGGTCGCCGCGGCGGCCCCGGCGGCGACGCTTCGACGGAACCGCGCGGGCGTCTGCGACATCGGGGGTCCGGGGCCCGGCTTCTTCGTGAGCCGGGCCCCGGCCGCCGCGGCCGGACGTCCGCGCCCAGTACTCGGCAGCCGGCGGGGGCGGTCTTAGGGGGATGACTTCTAAGGCCACCGCCACCCTCACTCTCTTAGTCTCCGAGGTCGCATCCTGCGACACACTGGCAGGCGCGACACGCGCCGCGAGGAGCTTCCTGAGTCCGAGCAGTGTTTAGAGCGCGGCGCGCGGGATATGTCTGCGGAGGCGGGGGCAGGCGGAAGCGTCGCAGAGCCGCCTAAGCGCACGCCGGCGGGCGCAGGTTCGGGTAGCGGACGAAGGCGAGGGACCAGGGCGGCGCCTCGAAGGCGCCGCCGCCGTCGACGACGCGCGGCGCGAGCGGCGCGTCCACCCCCTCCAGCACCGCGCCGTTGAGGTCGACGCGGCGGCCGTCGCCCGCGTGGGCATCGAGGACCCACTCCTCGCGCGCGCCCTCGTCGCCGCCGAGCCCCACGGAGACCGCGTCGGGCGAAACGTTCGCGAGCGCGAGCGCGAGGGACCCGTCGGCGCCGCACGCGGCCTGGGCCCGGAGCGACCGCCGCGCGTCGACGGAGATGACGGCGCCGCGGCCCGTCCGCAGGTACCGCGTCGCCCCGTCGCCGCTCTCCACGACTTCTCCCCAGAGCCGGGCGACGAAGAAGTCGGGGTTCGGGAGGAAGGTCCGCGAGTCGATCAGCGAGTAGTTGCCGCCGATCAAGGTCTGGCGGCAGGTCGCGACGTGGCCCGAAGACGCCGCGGACATGAGGTGGTCCAGATACCAGAAGCCGCTCTCGAAGGAGTCCGTCACGCCCGGCGCCCCCGAGTTCCAGGCCGCCGCCGTCTCGCTGACGAGCACGGGCAGCGCCGGCGCCCGTTTCCGCGCGGCGGCGGCCGCGAGCTCCACGAGGCTCCGGCTGTCGTCGAGGAACCCCGCGCTCTTCACCTGGGCCGCGATGGACGGCGCGAGGCCGTAGCCCGCGTACAAATGGTAGGAAAAGATGTCGACGGCGTCGCCCGCGGCCGCGACGAAGTCCTCGATCCAGTCGGGGAAGATGTGCGGCGACGGACCCACGACCAGCGGCTTCTCGAAGGCGCCGTAGGCGGCGTCGACCGCGGCGCGCACGGCCCGGACGCGGCGCGCGGCCTCGGTGGCGTTGAGCGTGGCCTGGTTCTCGTTGCCGACCTCAAAGGCCCACGTCGGCCGGCGCCACCGCGGCGGAGTGGCGGAGCAGCGCGCGGATCTGGTCGAGCCCGGCGCCGTCGAAGTCCGTCGAGTTGCCGGGGCCGATGATGTTCAGGTCGAGCATGAGGCGCAGGCCCGTGGTGTCGGCGAAGGCGACGATCGCGTCCCATCGCTCCGGCGTGAGGCAGTAGTAGTAGCCGGGCGGGCACGCCGGGCCCCCGGGGAACCCCGCGTACACGAGCTGCTCGCCGGCCTCGCTGCCGCCGAGACGCAGGATCGCCGGGCTGAGCGAGCGCGCGGCGCTCCGCAGGGCTGGGTTATCGAGGTCGATCTCCAGTATTGACGCGGTCGGGCCCTGGACTCCCGGGTGGAAGTCCATGGTGACCGAGGCGAGGCCGTGGGGCGCCGTCGCCCAGACGTGCTCGCTTGCCACGTTCACAGCGAAACTCGCCGCCGCGTGCACCGACGGCAGCAAGAGCGCGTAGAGGCTGCCCAGACCCATCATGCTCGTCCGCGATTCGGAGATCAGTTCAACGTCGATATTTACGACAAGGAGCATCGACGGTGTCGTGGTGGCATGTGGCAAGCTCTTTAAACTCGCGCGCCGTGCCGCGGTTGCAAGGAGACGAGCCTGCGCGGCAGCAGCTGTAGCATCAGCAGCGGCAGGAGGCGCCGCATCGATGAGCGACGATGAACCGGACGTCGCGGCGGAGTGGACGTGCGCGATCTGCCAGGATGTGTTGCTCGCGCCCGTGGTGACTCCCTGCGGCCACGCGTTCGACGAGCGCTGCCTCCTGTCGTGGACGAAGGACCACGGCACGTGCCCGGTGTGCCGGAGCGAGATCCCGCGGGCCGGCTACGCGGTCTGCGGCGCGCTCCGCGCGGCGGTCGAGCGCTGCGCGGGCGACGCGGTGTCGCGGCGCCGCGCGTTCCGCGCGGGCGCGGAGGACTTCGTGACGCTCGCGCGGTCGACGGCGCCGGAGACGCCGCGGAAGCTGCGCGCGGAGGCGCTGCGGACGCCGCGGCTCGTCGCCGAGCGGCGCGAGAGCGACGGCGCGACGGCGCTCATCGCGGCGGCGCGCGCGGGCGCCGCGGACAACGTCGCGCAGCTCCTCCGCCTCGGCGCCGCGGTCGGCGCGCGCGACGGCGCCGGCCGCGACGCGCTCGCGAGCGCCGGCTCGGCGGCGGTCGTCGCGGTCCTCTACGACCGCTACGACGACGCCGCGCGCCGCGCCGCGGTCGCCGCGGTCGTCGCGCGCGTCGCGCGCCGCCACGACCTCGCGGTGGAGGCCCTCGCGGCGCTGCTCGAGCGCGGCGCGCCGATACCGACGACCGCGTTCGCGTCGCGCGCCGTCTTGCTCGACGTCGACCTGACCGCCGCCTTCCTCGCGCGCCTCGCGTGGCGCGGCGACGGAGCGGAGGGCGCCGGCTTCTACGACGCGCGCGAGCCCGGGCGACGCCACGGCGACGCCGTGCTCGTCACGGCCGTCCAGGAGGGCGCGAGCGCCGAAGTCGTCCGGGCGCTCCTCGACGCGGGAGCGGACCCGCGCGGCCGCGACGACGAGGGCGTGCCGCCGCTCTTCGCCGCGGCGACGTCCGGCTGCGAGCGCAAGCTGCGGGCGATCCTCGATGCGGCGGCGCCGCTCTCGAGCGACGACGTCAACGGCCTCCACTGGAACCAGGACACGGAGCGCGTCGAGAGCGCGCTCGCGGCCGCGGTCGCCGCCGACGACGTCCCCGGCGAGGCGCCGACCGTCGAACTCCTCCTCCAGTCCGGCCTCTGCGATCTCGACGTCGAGGACGACGACGGCGACACGCCACTCCTGCGGGCCGCGGCGCTCAAGCGCGTCGGCGCCGTCGAGGCGCTCCTCGCGGCGCAGCGCTTCGCGAACCTCGACAAGGCGTCCTCGGGCGACGGCTCGACGCCCCTGATACGGGCGCTCCTCCCGCGCGACGGCGACTCGGACGACGACGGCGACGACGACGCCGCCGAGGCCATTGTGAAGGCGCTGCTCGAGGCCGGCGCGGATCCGAATCTGCACCGGTCCTCCGACCTCGCCTACCCCACGGTCCTCGCCGTCGCACACCGCGCGGACGCTCCGGCGATCCTCGAGGCGCTCCTCGAGCACGGCGCGCGGCCCGACGCGCCCTCGGGCCATCTCCTGGCCGACAACCCGGAGCGCGGCAGAGGGTTCCTGTTCGGGGAGCGCAGCCAAAGCGATCCGTACGCGGGCAAGGACCGCTACTATCAGCCGCTCGAGCTCGCCGTCCGACACGAGAAGTGGTCGTCGGCCGCGGCGCTCCTCCGCGCGCAGCATCGCGAGCGCGCGGCGCGCGCGGAATCCGCGGCCGAGGAAGGCCATCGCTTCTTCTATGAGGCTCGCGACGCGCTCGACACGGCTTTAGAGCTGGCCTCTTCTACGAGTGTCACGCTGGCCTTCGCGCAGCAGATCGTCGAGTTCTGCTTGGAACACGAGCCCGCGGCGCTCGAGCTTCCGAGGCCGTTCCGAAGGTGGTACTCCCGGGAGTCGGCGCTCCACGCGGCCGCGGCCGCGGGCGCGGCGCAAATCTGCGGCTTGCTGCTGCGCGCGGACGACGGGCGCTGGCGCGAGGCGCGCGATACCATCTCGGCGAGCCGCGACGTGCCGGCGACGCCCCTCATGCTCGCGATCGTACACGATCACCTGGCCGCAGCCCGCGTCCTTCTGGAACACGGGGCCAAAGTCGATCGCAAGGTCGCGGTCCAGGAATCAGATTGCGGGTACCGTTTTTTTGAGTCCAACACGGCGCTCTTTTGGGCCGCGGCGGACGGGAACCTCTCGGCGGTCGAGCTGCTCCTCGATTTCGGCGCGCGCGCGGACGCCAATGGAGCATGGGCGCTTCGCAGCGGCGACGCTTGGGGAAAGCCGACCGAACCATCACGGGACGCGATCATCTCCGCGGATCCTCTTCGCCTCGCGCTCGCCAACGGCCACGAGACCTGCGCCGCCGCGCTTCTCGCGCGGTGTGAGGACGCGAGCTTTGCCAACCAAAAGTGGCGTATCTCGAAAAAGATCGACGAGAGCCGGCTCTCGGCGGCGGAGCTCGCGGCCGCGCGCGGCTTTGGCGACGTCGTCGAGACCATGGTCGCCCGCGCGCCCGAGGCACGCGCGGCCGCGCTCGTCGTCGCCGCCGCTCGGGGCCAGGCGGCCGTCGTCGCGAAGCTCGACGTCGGAACGAGAGCCGGGTGGGACCGTCCTCTATCGCCGCAAGACGCGGGCGCCTGGCACGATCCTCTCGCGGCGGCCGCGCCGGACCGCCGCGCGGCCACGTGGTACGATCCGCGGCGCCTCGACGGCCCGACTCGGCTGCTCGTCGCGGCGGTCGTCGGCGGCGACGTTGCCGTCCTCCGCACGCTGCTCGACGCGGGCCTCCGCGCCGGGCCCGTCCGACCGCCGCCCGAGCGGGCGGGCCCGTCCGCGGTCGTCGAAGCGCCGCCGCCGAAGCGCCGCCGCGCCGCCGCGGCCGCCGCGGAACTCGCGTCGCCGGGGCCGGGCCCGCGGCTCGCGATGCTCGCGACGCTCCTCGGTCACCACGACTGCCTGCGCGAGCTCCTGGCCCGCGACTGGTGCGCGACCGGCGTCGCGCCCGACGCGCCGCGCCGGCCGGACGGCGCCCCGGGCTTCGGCCCGCTCCACGCGGCCGCGCTCCTCGACGACGCGCGCGCCGCCGACGCGCTCCTCTCGGCCGAGGGCGCGCGCGCCGCCGAGGCCTGCGACGCGCGCGACGCCAAGGGCCTGACGCCGCTGCACTACGCGGCGATCGGAGGCTTCGAGTTCGTCGCCGACGAATGCGGCGGCGCCGACAGTCTGCGGCCTTTGGAATGCTACGACCAGGTCTTCGCCTGGACCGCGCTGCCGGGCGACGACGACGAATGCGACGTCGCGAACTACGGGAGCGTCGCGCCGCGGCGCGAGGACGGCGCGTCGAGTCTCCCGGTCCTCCGAAGGATCCTCGACGCGGGAGCGTCGCCCGCGCTCGTCGTCTCTCCCGTCAATGGCGGCAGGAAGTGGGATGATACGTCGATGCTCGGCTTGACGCCGCTCGAGCTCGCGGTCTACGGCCGCCGCGCGGCGCTCGTCGAGCCGCTCCTCGCGGCCGCGGCGAGCGCCACGAGGCGTCGCGCCCGGCCGCCCGCGGCGTTGACGCGGGCCGTGCGCGCGGTCCGCCGGGAGCGCGGCGGCGGAGACGAGTCCGGCGCCACGGGCGCGCTCGAACTGATCCGCGCGCAGCTCGCCAGCAGCACTGCGCTCACCCTGGAGCCCCTGCGAAGTTTACCCGGGACAAGGAAGCGGCACAAGTGCGTTAGTGTGGAGGCAAGCCGCCCCTTTGGCCCCGCAGATCTGCGCGACGCCCGATCCATCGAGGCCCGCCTTCTCCGCCACGTGGACGGCGCCTGAGTTCCTGCGCCTACTCAAGGCAGCATGCTCGGTGCCATGTCGAAGGATGAGAGATGAAGCGAAACAGTCATAGGTCTTACTTACAGGAACTCCCTCGGGTCCTGGAAGGGCGAGTAGAGCCGGGGCCCGTACTTCTTGTTGGGCTCCGTCTTCGCGTAGCGGTGCTCCGCGGCCTCGAGCGCGCGGCGGATCGCATCGTCGTGGGTCAGCGGCGTCTTCGGCGCGCGGCCGCGGCCCAGCGCCGCGAGGACGCGGCCGTGGCCCGCGAGGGCGTCGCCGATGGCCGCCGTCCAGGCGTCGCGGTCCTCGCGGTCCGCGGCCGCGTAGGACCGCGGGTCGCCGCCCGCGGCGGGCTCCAGATCCCAGCCGCTCGGGTCGCAGGGCCGCGCGACGCGGTCCGCGAGCGGCGTCGCGACGACGCGGCCGCCGCACTCCTCGAGGAGCGCGGGCCCGGCGTAGTCGCCCGCGGCGGTGAACGTCGCCGCCGCCAGCGAGCACGCCGCGCGGCGCCACGTGCCGCCGTCGGCGACGGACAGCGGGCCGCGCCGCGATACCGCGCCCGCGAGGCGCCGCCGCGCGGCCTCGTCGCCGCGGTCCTCGACGGCGCAGACGTCGGCGGCGAGCGCGTCGGCGCTCGCGACGGGGCAGGACCGCTCGTGGAACGCGACGGTCTCGTACGAGCCCCGGAACTCGCAGAACTCGCCTGCGTGGAAATCAAATATTCAACCCGACTTCAATGTGCGCGTAATTGAACGGATTGCGCCGTACTCTTCCGCTGTGCTTCGAGAACTCGACGAGAGCAATCGATTCGTCCAAAAATCAGCCGAATCGACGTCGATTTGATCGAGATAGAGAGTTCTGAAGTTTGGTGGGGACGTCCCAAACCAGTGGTTGATTTCCACACTGGAACTCGCACTGGAACTCGTCCGCGGGGCGGCCGACGCCGAAGCGGAAGAGCGCCGGCGAGTCCGGCGGGCTCGCGGGCTCCGCGAGCGGCTTCGGCGACCGCCGCGGCGTCGCGGGCGACCGGCCGCGCGGCGCCGGCCCGCTCCGCCGCCGTAACGCTTCGACGATGTCGTGGTGCTGGCTCAGCGCCTCCTCGAGCGCGAGCAGCCACTCGCTCCGGTCCTCGGCGGACGCCGCGACCAAGGCGACGGTCCCGTGGTCGTAGCGCAGGTCGAAGCCCGAGCCCTCGCCCGCCTCGACGCGCGCGCCGTCCAAGAGGTACGTCCCCAGGACGACGTCGTCGTCCTCCTCGACCGCGTACTCGAGCCGCGGCCCGACGTAGGCGCCCGCGTCGTCGAAGGCGACGGCGCGCACCTTGAAGTAGCGCCGCTTCTTCCGCTTGTGAATTAAGAAGCCGCCGTGGATGACGACGCCGCAGAGGCCCGTCCGCAGGAAATCCGTGTTGTCGACGTCGCGCTCGACGTCCGCGATGCCCTTGGCGAGCTCGTCCGCCGCCGCGAAGCCCAGGGGCGCGTCGTCGGCCTCGCGCCGCAGCGCCTCGACGGCCGCGTCCCGCGCCTCCTGCCCCGCGGGGTCGAGCACCGCGAGCCGCGCGGCGACGACGTGGTGGCCGCTCAAAGCTTCCCCTACCGCTCCCAGCCAGCGGTCCCGGTCCGCCGCCGTCGGCGCGTAGAGCGACTTGATCGCGCCGGACCGCTCCACGACATCGAAGCGGAACGCGTCGCGCGGCTCCGAGCCCGCCCAGATCGTCGCGGGCTTCTCGAAGCCACGGACGCCGCAGCCGTCGAGCGCGTAGCGGCCCGAGTCCTCGCCCGCGCACGAGAACTCGAGCACGGGCCCCACGTAGACGTTGCGGTCGTCGAAGGCGCGCGCCCGCAAGACAAAGGTCTTCTCCTTCCACGCGTGGCGGTGGAAGATCTTCTTGCCCGTCTTGAGCATGCCGCCGCGCTTGTGGAGCGCGCCGCGGCAGAGCTCGACGTTCTCCAACGACCCGCGCAGCTCCGACGCGCCGCGCTCGACGGCGTGGACCTTGTCCGCGACGGACGCCTCCGACGCGCCCGCGAGCTCCTCGCGCAGCGCCGCCAGCAGCGCCGGGTCCTCGCCGAGCCCCTCGGTGAGGAGCTCCGCGTGCGTCTTCAGCCAGTCCAAATCGTCGGGCGCGCGGCCCGCGCGCCGCCGCGACCGCTCGAGCCGCGACCGCGGCCGCTCGTGGCGCGCGTCGCGGTGGAGCTTCGCCAGCAGGGCTCTGTGGTGCGCCAGGCACTTGGCCAGCGCGTCGAGCCAGCCGTCGCGGTCCGTTTCGGACGCCGCGCCGAAGACCTCGCGGTGGCCGACCTGGAACTCCGTCGCGGACACGGCGCGCGCGCCGGCGTCGTCGCCGAAGAGCGGCGCCTCCAGGACGACGCGGTCGCCCTCGAAGCAGCGCAGGGCCGGGCCCAGGTAGACGCCGTCGTCGTCGAGCGTCGCCGCCGCGAGCGCAGCGCGGCGCGGCGCGCCGCCGACCTCGAGGTCGCCCGCGCGTAGCACGACCGTGGTCAGCGCGAGGCGCAGCGTGTCGTCGCCGCCGAGCTCGGCCCGGGACACGGCCCGCCGGAAGAAGGCGTTCGCGTACTCAAAGTCCTCGGAGTCCGACGCCGGCGCGTTCACCCAGGCGCGGAAAGCGCGGCCCGCGGCCCGGAGCCGCCGCCGCCGGTCGCTCTTGCGGAATGCGGCCTCCGCGGCGGCGACGCGGCGCGCGTGCGCGTTCCATCGCGCGAACGCGCGGCGGAGCGCGACGCGGCGGACGCGCCGCGCGGACGCCAAGAGCCGACTCCGCGCCTCCGTCGCCGTCGCCGTCCGCGCCGCCGCGCGCGCGCGCCACGCGGCGAAGCCGCGGCGCGCGGCGGACGTCGCGACGCGCGCCGCGACGCGCTCGAGCGCGGCCACGGCGGCCGCGCAGCGCGCGGCGTCGCCCGCGCGGCGCGCGAGGCTCCGGAAGGACCGACGGAGCCGGCGCCGCGCCGCGCGCGTCTCCAGCGCTCGCAGCGACGCCGCGCGGAGGCCGTCGACGCAGGCCGCGGCCCACCAGCGGAGGAAGGCCTTCGTCGCGACGCGCGCCGCGGCCCGCTTCAGCGCGGCGCGCGCGAGCGCCGCGCCGCGGCGCGCGCGGCCCTCGGCGAGCGCCGACCGCGTCGCGCGCAGCGCCCAGCGCCGGAAGGCGCCGCGCGCCGCGCGCGCCGCGACCTTGGAAACGCACGTCGCGAAGCCGCGGAGCGCCGCGGTCCGCCGCGCCCAGCGGCGGAACGCGCGGAACCGCCGCGCGACCAGTCGCTTCGAAACGATCAAACCGAACTGTTTCGCCGCGGCGAGGCGCCGCATCTTCCCCGCGGCGTCGACGAGCTTCGTGCGGTGGAGCGCGTAGCGCCAGCGCCGCAGGCCCGCCGCCAGCGCCGCGCGGTTCCGCGACCGGCAGCCCGCGCCGACGCGCCGCAGGACGCGCGCGGCGTCGTCGCGGCGGTCGCGGCGCGCGCGCCAGGCCGCGAAGCCGCGGCGCAGGGCCGCCTGCGCGCCCCGGAGGACGCCGCGGCGGAGCGCGCCCGCGGCCGCCGCCGCCGCGAGGCCCCGGCGCGCGCCGACGGCGCGCCGGACGGCGGCCAGGCAGAGCCAGGACCGGAACGCGGCGCCGAGCTGCGCGCGGCGCCAGCGCCCCGCGTCGCGCTCGAAGCGGACCAGAGCGGCGACCGTCGCCGCGCCGCGGTCGACGGTTCGCCGCCAGCGGACCCAGGCCGCGCCGAGCCGCGCGGCGGCCGCGGCGTCGAGGACCGCCGCCGCGGCGTCCCCGCGGGCGACGTCGAGGCGCGCGCGCGCGGCCCAGGCCCGGAACGCGGCCGCGACGCGCGCGCGCTTCGCGTGGCTCGCGACGCGCCAGGCCGCGCCCGCGCGGCGCGCCCGCGCCAGCGCCGTCGCCGTCGCCGCGCGCCGCCACCGCGAGAAGAAGACCGCGGACGCCGTGCGCCCGCGGCCGCTCCAGAGCGCGGCGGCGACGCGCGCGGCGGCGACGCGCGACGCCGCGACGCCGTCGTCGGCGCGCGCGGCCGCGACGCGCGCCGCCGCGGCCGCCGCGGCGCGGCCCGCGGCGGCGCCGGCGGCCCAGCGGCCGAACGCGAGCCGCCGCCGCCGCCGCGCGGCGCGCCGCGCGAGCCGGCCCGCGCCCGCGTCGCGCCGCCGGCCCGCGTCGCGCGCCGCCGCGAGGCGGCCGAAGCCCGCGGCGAGCGCCGCGCGCCGCTCCGCCGCCGCGACGACCCGCAGCGCCCCGACGGCGCGCGCGAGCTTCGCGGCCTCGAACGCTTCGAGCGCGCCGGAGTCGAACGCCGCTCGGCGCCACCGCTCAAAGGCCCGGAGTACGGCAAAGTCCGTGGGGCCCGAGGCCTCCAGCGTCTTGAGGAAGACGCGGAGGCGCCGCGCGGCCTTGCGGCGGAGCTTCGCCAGCGCGCCGACCTCGGCGACGTCGCGCTTCCAGGCGAGGAAGCGGCGCGCCGCCGCGGCCTTGGCGCGGCGCCGGTAGTTGTAGACGAGGCGGCTCGCGGCGCTCCGCTGGAGCCGCGTCAGCGCCTTCTTCGCGCGGACCTCGCCGCGCCAGCGCTCGACGGCGACGCCGAGGTCGCGGCGCCGCGACGACCGGAGCGCGTTTTCGAGCTTCGAGTAGGCCGCGCGCTTCGCCGCGTGCGCCGCCACGGCCTCCCACATGGCGAGGCGGTCCGCCTCGAGGGCGGACCGCCACGCGGAGAAGCCCGATCCCAGGCGCGCGCGGCGGAGCAGCGCGCAGCGACCGCGCGACGCCGCGGCCGCCGTCCGTCGCGCCGCGACGCGCCGCGACGCCGCCGCGACGTGTGTACGCCACTTCGCGAAGGCTTCGCGGGTCTGAGCGGTCGCGCCGCGGCCGAACCCGGAAGCGAAGGTCGCCAGCGCATTTCGCACGCGGCCGTCGCGGGTGCTCGCGGCGTCGACGGCCGCGCGCAGCCGCCGGAAACCGTCGGCGACGCTCGTCCGGGACCAGTCGCGCGCTGCGATCTCCAGGCGCCGCAGCGCGCCGTCGCGGATCGCCAGCAGGATCGCCGCCCGGTCCGCTTCCGCGCGCCAGGCCTCGGCCGCGCGGCGCCAGGCCGAGAACGCGCGCGCCGCGGACCGGCGCAGCGACGCGTCGAACGCCTCGCGGATCGCGTCGAGCGCGCCCACAGCCCGCGCGCGCGTCGCCGAAAACGCGCGCCACGTCGCCCAGGCGTGCGCGACGCGGCCGCGCCGCCGCAGCGCGCCGAAGCGCCGGAGGCCCGCGCGTCGCGAGCCCTCCCCGAGCGCCCGGAGCGCCGCCGCGTGCGTCGCGTCCGCGCTGGCCCGCTCAGCGCGGAACCGCTCGAGATCGTGGTCGTGCGCGGCCCGAAACCGCGCGACGTCGCGCGCGTGGGCCTCGCGGTGGTGGCGCACGTCGTCGTCGTGCTTTCGCGCCGCGTACGCCATGACGTCGTTCGTCGCGCTCATCTCGACGGCGCGCTCGGCGACGGCCTCGGCGAACGCGGCGTCGTGGCCGTCGACGGCCGTTTCCAGCAGACGCCGGTGGCCGTCGGCCGCGGACGCCAGGGCCGCCGCGCGCTCCGCGGACGCCGCGTCGAGCATGTCGGCCCGCTCGGCGACGGCGAGCGCCAACGCGGCGCGGAGGCCCTCCACGTCCCGGGCGTGGGCGCGGTCGCGCGCGTCGACCTCGTCGCGGAACTGGGCCGCGTCCGCCTCGTAGCCGGCCGACGCGTCCGCGAGCGCCCGGTCCCGCGCGTCGCGCGCGGCCGCGAGCGCCGCCGCGTGCTCCGCGAGCACGTCCGCGAGCGCCCGTTCGTGCGTCTCCGCGGCGGAGCGCGCGCGATGCTCCGCGTCGCGTCGCGTCGCGGCGGCGGACGCCGCGCGCCAGGCCGCGAACGCTCCGGCTACAGACGCGCGCCGGCGCCGGCGCCCGCCGCTCGCGAGCGCGAGGCTTCGAAGCGCGGCGCTCGCGGCGACGTCGGCGGCGGCCGCGCGCCAGCGCCGCAGCCGCGTCGCGAGCGTCCGCCGCCGCGCGCCGGCCGCGAAGGCGTCGAAGAGCCGCGCCGCCGACGCCTTCGCGAACGCGACGACGTCGCGGGACCGGTCGAGGCGCTCGGCCGCGAGGAGCGACGCCGACGCCGCGAGCGTCGCGGCCGCCGCGGCCGCGCGCCACGCGTGGAAGCCGCCGGCGAGCGTCCTGCGGTAGCGCCGGCCGAGCGCCCAGGACAGCGCCTCCGCGGCCCGGCGGCCCCGACCTTCGCGCCGCTTCGCCGCGACCGTCCTCCGCCGCCAGACGGCCAGCGCGCGGGACGCGGCGAGGCGCCGCGCGAGCGCGGCGACGGGCGCCAGGGCGCCCGACGCGGCCCGCGCCGCGGCCGCGCGGCCGCGGAGCGCGGCGAAGCCGCCCGCGAGGCCCGCGCGCCGCCGCCGCCGCAGGACCGTCGCCAGCCCGGAGACCGCGCGCTCGCCGCGATGCCGCGCCGCGCCGGCGCCGCTCGCCCAGGCGCGGAAGCGCGACGCGAGGATCGCCCGCTCCGAGCCACGGAGGACGCGCCCCGTCAGCCTTGCCGCCTCGCCGCGGCTCGCGGCGCCGACGAAGGCGTTCACTTCCGCGTAGGTCCGCAACCTTCCGAACGCGCGGCAGAGCGACGTGGCGGCCGCGCGGCGGCGCGCGGCGACGACGGCGCGCGCCAGCGGCGCCGCGTCGGACGCGCGCGATGCCCAGGTCCGGAACGCGGCCGCGGCGCCGCGGCGCCGCCAGGACCGGACGACGCGCGCCGCCGCGGCCCCGCGGCTCGCCGCGAGCGCCTCGCGCTCGCGCAGGGACGCGGCGGCCCGCGCCCAGGACGAGAACGCGCGCGCCTCGGCGCCGCGACACATGGCGTTGCGCCAGCGCCGCAGCGCGCGCGCGCGGCCCGCGTCCGCGTCGGCGCGCCGCCGTTCGCCCGCGCGCTCCCGCCGCGCGCGGACCCACCACGCGGAAAAGGCGACGAACAGGTGGCGCCGCCGCTTCCGGTTCAGGAGCGCGCGCGCCGCGCGCCGGAGCTCGCCGGTCCGCGCCGCCGCGAGCGTCCCCGCCGCGCGGAGGCGCGGAAACGCGCGGCGCGACCGATCGCGGTCGCGCCGCGCGAGCAGCCCGCCGACGCGGCGCGCGCCGTGCTCCCGGCGCCGCGCCTCGACGACGGCGAGCCGCAGCGCGAGGAGCGCGGACCGCGCCGACCGCAAGTCCCGGCGCCGGAAGAGCCGCGCGAGAACGCGCCCGCGAGCTTCGGCCGCGGCCATCTGGCGACGACGCGCGCCAGGACCCGCGCGTCGCGGCGCCGCCGGCCCGCCGCGTCGCGCCACGCGCGGAAGCGCCGCGACAGCGCGCGGCCGGCCGCCGCTCGGTAGGCGGCGACGAACCCGGCGCAGGAGACGCACGCGCGGACCTCGGACCGGCGCGCGTCGTCGCTCCGCGCCGTCGAAACGGCGCCGCGCCAGGTCCCGAGGGCCGCGGCGAGCGTCCCGCGGCGCCGGCGCGCGAGCGCGCGGCCCGCGGCGACGACGGCGAGCGCCTCGCGCGTCGCCGCCGCGCGCGCGGCGGTCGCCCAGCCGCCGAAGCGCGCGGCGACGATGGCACGTCGTCGCCGCTTCAACGTCGCCGCGAGCCGCCGCGCGGCGAGGTTCCGCCGCGCGTCCGCCGCGTCGCCGGCGGCGCCCGCGAGCGTCGCGGCGGCCGCCGCTTTCCGCGACGCGGCGAGCCAGCGGAAGAAGGCGACGCCCAGGCTCCCGCGGCCTGCCGCGGCGTCCAGGAGCGCGGCGCCGCACGCCGTCAGCGCCCGCACGCCGACCCAGCGCTGGTCGACGGCCTCCTGCGCGGCCGCGCGGCGCCACGTCGCGAACGCCGCGGCCTCGCGCCGCGCGACCCAGCGCGCGAGGAGCCGCCGGGCCGACGCGCACCGGCGGTCCGGCGCGGCGGCCGCGCGCCGCCAGCGCCGGAACGCGGCGCCGCCGCGCCGCGCGACCGCGCGCCGGAGCGCCGCGGCCATGGCGCCGCCAGGGCCCGCGCGCGCGGCTCGTCCAACATGCCCAGCACGTCGCCGACGGCGATGGACACGGTCTGCGGCGACGCCTGGACCGACGACGAGGGCCGCGGCGGCGTCGCGGGCGCCGGCGTCGCCGGCGCGGCCGCCGGCGAGGAGGCGTCCCGCGCGACCGCCGGCGAGGAGGCGTCCCGCGCGACCGCCGGCGAGGAGGCGTCCCGCGCGACCGCCGGCGAGGAGGCGTCCCGCGCGACCGCGGGCTCGTCGTCGACCTCCGCGAAGAGCCGCGGCGCCGCGCGAGGAGTCACCGGCGACGAGTCGACCACGACCGCGGGCGTCGACGGGTCCAGCGCGGCGTCGACCGGCGTCGCCGGCTCGTCGTCGCCCGGCGGCGACGAGAGGTCGAGGCGCGCCGCGGCGTCGTCGAGGTCCTCGGCCGCGCCGCCGTGGACCATGAGGTGCGCGACGTCGTGCCGCCGCAGGCCCGTGGCGATCATGACCTCGTAGATCTTGGGCACGGACGCGACGACGGACGACCGGCGCCGCGGCGGCGGCGTCGCCGCGACGGCGGCCTCGACGGCGGCCTCGTCGTCCGTCGACGTCGCCGCGGTGGCCGTCGACGGCGCGGCCGTACTCGCCGCGGCGGCCGTCGACGGCGGATCCGTCGACGTGGAGGTCGTGGCCGTCGTCGAGGGCGGGTCCGTCGACGTCGCCGCGGCCGTCGTCGAGGGCGGGTCCTTGGCCGCGGAAGAAGTCCGCGGCGGCTCCGTGTTCGTTTCGACGGACGCCGTCGCAACCACCTGGGTCGTCGCGGCGGGCGCGCCCCGCGCCACAACAGCAGCCTCGGCCGGCGGCGCGTCCGTCGGCGCGTCCGTGCCGACGCCGCGGCTGGCCGACGGGGCGTGATCCGCGCCCGTCGCCACGGTCAGCGTCGCCGGCGCCGCGTCGACGGCCGCGTCGCGCGTCTCCAAGGCGTCCGTCTCGACGGCGATGGACGCGTGAGCGCCAGGAATTGAGGGCACGTCAGTAGCGATGGAGCTCGTCTCCGGCGCCGCCGCGGAACCGACGGACGCGTGAGCGCCCGGAATAGACGGCACGTCAGTAGCGCTGGAGCTCGTGTCCGGCGCCGCCGCGGAACCGACGGACGCGTGAGCTCCCGGAATAGACGGCACGTCAGTAGCGCTGGAGCTCGTGTCCGGCGCCGCCGCGGAACCGACGGATCGCGTCGCGACGGCGTCGCCGACGGCGCGCGACCGCGTCGCCGGCGCGTCCGTGCCGCAGGCCCGCGTCCGCGGCGCGTCCGTCGCGGCTTCCTGGTCGCGCGTCGCGGGCCGCGGCGGCGGCGGCAGCGGCCGCGCGTCCGACGCCGCGCTCGCCGTCGGCGGTTTCGCGGACGCGGCCGCGTCGCGGAACGCCCGCGATGCCGGCGCGTCCGTGCCGGCATCCGCGGAGGCGACCGCGGTGCCCGAGGCCGCGTCGGCGACGGCGGGCGCCGCGGTCGTGCCCGCCGACCTCTTCTCGCGCGGGTCGCCCGCGTCGACGCCCGTGGACCGCGTCGCCGGCGCGGCGGCCGACGCGGCGTCGGCGCTCGTCGGCGCCGGCGCGGCGTCGCCGCCGCTGTCGCGCGTCTCCGGCGCCTGGGTCATTGAGGCCGCGGTGACCGGCGCGTCCGTCTCGCAGGCGATGGATGCTTGAGCGCCAGGAATTGAGGGTACGTCTAAAGCGATGGAGCTCGACGAAGCGACCACTTCGACGGCCGCGTCGCGCGTCTCCAAAGCGTCCGTCCCGACGGCGACGGACGCGTGAGCGCCCGGAATTGAGGGCACGTCTAAAGCGATGGAGCTCGACGAAGCGACCACTTCGACGGCGGCGTCGCGTGTCTCCAAAGCGTCCGTCTCGCAAGCGATGGATGCTTGAGCGCCAGGAATTGAGGGCACGTCTAAAGCGATGGAGCTCGATGAAGCAACCACTTCGACGGCCGCGTCGCGCGTCTCCAAAGCGTCCGTCTCGACGGCGACGGACGCGTGAGCGCCCGGAATTGAGGGCACGTCTAAAGCGATGGAGCTCGACGAAGCAACCACTTCGACGGCCGCGTCGCGCGTCTCCAAAGCGTCCGTCTCGCAAGCGATGGATGCTTGAGCGCCAGGAATTGAGGGCACGTCTAAAGCGATGGAGCTCGACGAAGCGACCACTTCGACGGCCGCGTCGCGCGTCTCCAAAGCGTCCGTCTCGACGGCGACGGACGCGTGAGCGCCAGGAATTGAGGGCACGTCTAAAGCGATGGAGCTCGATGAAGCAACCACTTCGACGGCCGCGTCGCGTGTCTCCAAAGCGTCCGTCTCGCAAGCGATGGATGCTTGAGCGCCCGGAATTGAGGGCACGTCTAAAGCGATGGAGCTCGATGAAGCAACCACTTCGACGGCCGCGTCGCGCGTCTCCAAAGCGTCCGTCTCGCAGGCGACGGACATCCGCGCACCGGGGACCAGAAAGTGCGCGCCGGCCTCCGTCGCTACCGAGGCCGCGGCCGGCGCCGCGCTGGAGCCGACGGAACGCGTCGCGACGGCGTCGCCGACCGCGAGCGACCGCGTCGCCGGCGCGTCCGTACCGCAGGCCCGCGTCCGCGGCGCGTCCGTCGCGGCTTCCTGGTCGCGTGTCTCCGGCCGCGGCGGCGGCGGCAGCGGCCGCGCGTCCGACGCCGCGCTCGCCGTCGGCGGTTTCGCGGCCGCGGCCGCGTCGCGGAACGCCCGCGCCGCCGGCGCATCTGTACCCGCGTCCGCAAAGTCGACCGCGGCGCCCGAGGCCGCGTCGGCGACGTCCGGCGCGGCCGTCGCGGCCGCGGACCTCTTCTCGCGCGGGTCGCCCGCGTCGACGCCACAGGAACGCGTCCGCACCGCGGCGCCGACGCCCACGGCCCGCGTCGCCGGCGCGGCGGACGACGCGGCGTCGGCGCGCCCCGGCGCGACGGCGTCGCCGCCGCTCTCGCGCGTCTCCGGCGCCTGGGTCATCGAGGCCGCGGTGACCGGCGCGTCCGTCGCCGCGGAACGCGACGCCGTCGCCGCGAACGCGCCGACGGCCACGGTGCGCGTCTCCCGGCGAGCTCGCGCACGATCGAGGTCGCGGGCGGCCGCCGCGAGGTCGCGGTCCCGCTCCGCCAGCGCGCCCTCGAGCTCGCGGATCGAGGCCCGAAGGTCGTCGGTTTCGACGTCCGGGCCCTCCGGCGCGGCGCTCGCGAGGAAGGCCGCGGCCCTGGCGGGCCCGTCGGCGTCCTCGAGGGCGAAGAAGTCGTCGGCGGCGGCGTCGAGGCGTCCCCGGAGCGCGTCAAAGGCCTCGCCGCCGCCTCGGAACGCGGGCTGGGCCGAAATCACGTCCGAGATGGAGCCCCGCCGCCCGGCCGCGAAGGCGCCGCCGCCGCCCGCGCCGAAAAAGTCCTCGGACCGCGCCGCCTCGGAGCGCCGGCCCCGCTGTCCGCCGCCGAAGAACTCCGCCGCCGCGGCGAGGGCCTGCTCCTTCGCGCCGCTCCCGGCCGCCGCGGGCAGGAGCGCGTCCAGGACCGACGGTCTCCGCCGCGCGCGCGGCAGGCGCCGCCAGCGCCAGAAAGCGCGCGCGGCGGCGAGCGCGTGGACGCGCCGGCGGGCGGCGAGCGCACTTCGGAGCGCGGCGACGCGGGCGCCGCCGGCGTCCTTCGGCGGCGCCCGGCCGCCGTAGCGCCACGCGCTGAAGCGCCGCGCGACGGCCTTGGCCTCGCCGGCGCGCCGCCGCTCGCGGAGCACGCGCGCCGCGAGCGTCGCGCAGCGGAGCGCGTCGTCGCTCGGAGGCGGCGGCTCCAAGGGAGGCGGCGCCGCGTCCGCGTCGCCCGCCGCGGCCGCCGCGTCGACGCGGGGAAACGCGCCGGGGAAGACGGCGCGCCAGGACGCCCGGCAGCGCCGCGCGTGCGCGCGGACGCGGCCGTCGGCCGCCGCGAGCGCGTCCGCGTCGCGCGCCGTCGCGACGGCGGTCCGCTCCGCCGCCGCGAGCCGATCGAGCGCGCGCTCGAGCCTGTCCGCGCCCTCGCGGTTCTCGCGCTCGGCCGCCGCGACCTGCGCGAGGAGCCGCGCCTCGTCGGCCGTCGCGTCGGCGCGGACCTCGTCGAGGAGCCCCGCGTCGTCGGCCTTCTCCGGCGTCGCTCGGGGAGACTTCTTCGGCGACGGCCGCGGAGCTGCGGCGGCCCCGCCGAGCGCCTCGAGGGCCTGGCCGACGAGCGCCGCCGCGCCGCGCGCGTCGAAGGCGCCCTTGGGCGGCGTGGCCTTGGGCGGCGCGGCCTTGGGCGGCGCGGCCTTGGGCGGCGTCGCCCGCGGCGCCGCGGCGGCGTCGTCCTCGCGCGTGCCGCGGCCGCGGTCGTGCAGGTGCGTCGCCAGATCCGCGGCGGCGGCGCGCGCGCTGTGCAGCTGGCGCTCGAGCTGGTAGCGCTCGCGCCGCCACGTCGCGCGCTCCTGCTGGATGCTCGCGCGCGCCGCGCGGTCGCGCGCCGGCGCCGGCGGCGCCGCGACCGCGCCGCCGCTCCGCAGGTCGCGGTTCGCGGCGATCTCCGCCTGGAGCTGCAGCTCGAGCGCCTCGATGCGCCGGTGCAGCGCCCGCTCCCAGGCCCTGTCGCCGCTGCTGTGGCGCGGCGAGAAGTCCGCGGCGCTGCGCGCGCCGCTCGAGACGCGGCCGGCGGTCACCGGGCGCTCCGGCGTCGCCGGCGGGCTCCCGGCCGCGCCGCTGCGAGGCGACCCGGGCGGCGTGCGCCGCCGGGGCGGCGTGCTGCTGCGCATTGGGCTAGTTCATTTGAGTAGAGCGGTGCGAAGCGGCGCCGAAGCGCTCATCACGTCGTAGCTTCAAGGTCTCGAAGGAGCACACGACGGAGCAGTCGTGACCAAATTATTGAAGTGCTCGCGCGTTTGACGTCAGGTCTGCGAGTCGGGGCAGCATTTCACAGCCGCACAGCAGCTACCAGGTCACCAAGCCCACGGCGATGACCGCGGATCCAGCACCCACCCAAAGCAAAGGCGACAGTCCCGTCACCGTCGCCGACGAGCGCGTGGCGCAGGCGCCCGGAGCACCCGAGGCTGGCACACCGGAGACGAAGCAGCGATCCACCCTCCTCACGGGCATCTCCCGATGGAACGCGAAGATCACAGCCAAGAAGCAGAAAAAACGGAAGACGTCGCAGACGGCCGTCGTCCTCGACGCCGTCTACGACGGCCTGCCGGGCCTCACGGCCTCCGAGCTCCGCGCCGCGGGCTTCAGCCTCCGCGACCGTATCCGGCCCGACAAGGACGGCGGCGTCAGCCGCGAGGCCTTCGTCGCGCTCGCGCCGACGATCGCCAAGTGGCCGACGGGCGACCAGGAGCGGTGGACGAAGGAGGCCGTGTCGCTCGTCGCCGCGGTCCGGAGCATGCGCGAGGCCGGCGAGCGCGCCGAGGTCGAGCGCGAGACGAGCCTGCGCGAGGCCGGGCAGATCGTGCGGCGGAGGAGTTCGCCGACGCGGCGGAAGGACGCGGGGAAGGCGCCGGCCCCGGCCGCGGACTGCTGCCTGTGCTGCCCCGGCCACTGCTGCCCGGACGACAAGGGCCCGCGTACTAACTGCTAGATGAGCCGCGCGCCCCAGGCGAGCACGAGCAAAGCGGCCGCGGGGCGGACGATGCGGTTGAGCACGGCGGAGAGCGCGTCGCCCACGGCGCCGACCTTGGACGGCGCGGGCCGGAGCGCGGCCGGCCGCGAGTCGCCGAAGAGCGCGAAGACGCCCAGACTCACGTCGCCGGGCTTCGCGGGGCCCTCGTCGCCCAGCAGGTCGCTGTCTAAAGCCAGCCGGAAGCGCCGCAGGTCCAGGTCCACTCGAATGCTCTTGACCTCCGCGCGCGGGCTGTCGTAGCCGACCGTGAGCAGCGCGGCCGGCGCCGGCGCGCGCGCCAAGACCACGAAGCCGTCGTCCTCCGAGTTCTTCGAGAACTCGACGCGCGGCGGCTCCCAGTCGTCGGACGTGCGCGTCACGGACCAGTTCGCCGCGCCGCCCGCCGCCTCGCGGCGCCGCCGCAGGAGCCAGAGCCGGTCCGGCGTCGTCTCCTCCCGGGGGAACAAGTCGTCGAGGTCGCTCTCCGTCGGGTCGCCCCGTTCGAAATCCAGCGAGCTCACGTCCTCCGCGACCTCCGGCGCCGTCGCGTCCGCCGCGGCGGCCGTCGCGGCGGCGCTCGCCGTCGCCGCCGGGTCGGCCTCGGACGCGTCGCGGTCGTCGAACTTGATCTCCACCTGTGTGGAATTCGACCGCTGGTTTGGGTGGTCCTGACCAAACTTCAGAATTCTCTAGCTCGGTCAAATCGAAGTCGATTCGGCTGACTTTTGGACGAATCGATTGCTCTCGTCGAGTTCTCGAAGCACAGCCGAAGAGATTGCGTCGAAAATGTCGCATACGCTCACATTGAAGTCGGGTTGAAGATTTGAATTGCACACAGATCTCCACGAGCGCCTCGCGCGCGACGACGCGCTTCGCGATGAACGCCGCCGCGGCGTTGGGCGCCGGGTTGTAGGACGCCCAGCAGCGCCGCAGGTCCACGACGGCGGACGCGTTGTCCACGGACCGCGCGTCCACGCCCCGCAGCGTCAGCCGCACCGTCGAATTCCCGCCCCGCGGGAACGGCGCCTCGACGCGCCGCGCGACGCACACGAGCTCGTCGACGAGGAACCGCGCGCCCTCGATGGTCGGGTACTCGTTCATGAAGGCCGCCGGCGCCGGCGCGAGCGCGTCCCACTCGCGCTTCGCCTCGCCGAGCTGGTACTTTGTGGGCTTGCGGGCCCCCTGGTCGAACTCGAACTCGACCTTGTTGATGCGCACCTCGAGGGGGTCGCGGTTCAGCGTGAAGACCGACGTCCAGGCGATGCTCACGCTGTCGCAGACGCAGCGCAGCAGCTGCAGCGGGAAGCCCTCGTCGACCGCGAGCGGGTTGAACAAGCGGTTGAGCGCCGTCGCGTTCAGCCGCAGTCGCCGCAGGCTCGCCTTGCCGCGGCGCGCGGACACGGCGAGCTGCTTCTTCGGCACGAAGCCGGGGAGCAGGATCTCGAACTGGCGCCGGAAGAGCCGGTAGACGAGCGCGTCGTCGAAGTCCGCCGACGTCACGGACCGCCGCCAGGACACCTCGTCCTCGGCGTCCTCCGGTGTTGGTGGGAGCGAGCGCGGAACCCTAGCGATGTGGCGCGGCGCGCGCGGCGCCTGCGGGCGCTGGAACGCCGACGTGAGCGCGCACACGAGCGCCGCAAAGTGGCGGCCGCCCATCGTGCACGAGAACTGCCGCGCCTCGAGGTTGCTGTCCTGACGGTCCAAGAGCCAGCGTGTTTGTGGCGAGAGAATTGCTGTCGAGAGGCCCAGGCGTTGGTCTAGCCACTGATGTCGGCGATGATACCGATGCTTCGGTGGGTCGTGCTGTCTCTGTTGTGGCGGCGCGGGCGTGGCACATGCCGGCGATTCGTGGTGCTGTCCTCGCAGCGTTCTGGGACGGAGCTGCTGGCCTCGCTGCTCCGGGCCGGGGGCGCCGGGATGCGCAGAGTCGAGCCGCTGTGGCACTGTCGGACCAAGAAGCTGAAGAAATCCTCCTTCGCCGCCGAGGCGGCCGCGGCCGCGTGGGGCGGCGCCGCGTCGCCGGCGGTCGCGCGGAGCGGGTGCGAGGGGCTGACGCTCGCGAGCGACGACAACGACGCGTGCGGCCATGAGAACCTGACGGGCTTCACGCTCATGTACTCGCAGCTCGCGCGCGGCGGCGCGGCGCTCGAGGCCGCGGTGCTCGCGCGGCCGCGGCCGGCCGTCGTCCACCTCGTCCGCAACGACTCGCTCGCGCGCCACGTCTCGGTCCTCGCCAACAAGCACGCGAAACACGGCGCCGAGCGGGCGCGCGCCGACGCGCACCGCGCGCCGCCGTCGCCGGTCGCCGTGCGCGTCCCAGTGAGCGGCGTGCTCGCGGCGCTCGAGGCGCAGGAGCGCGACGTCCGTAGCCGCGCGGCGCGCGCTGCGGCGGCTGCGGCTCGCGAGTCTCGAGCTCTCGTACGAGGCGCTCGCCGCGGCGCCCGGCGCGGCCGCGGCCGCCGCGTGGCGGCAGCTCGTCGGCGGGGCGTACGCGGCGCGGCCGGGCGCGGAGCCGACGCCCGCGCGGCTGCACGCGGGCGCGGTCTGCGAGCACGTCGCCAACTGGCCCGACGTCGTCGGCGCGCTCCGAGGCACGCGGTTCGAGTGGATGCTCCGCTGCGGCGCCGGCTGCGACTGCGCGCCGCCGCGAACCGCGCGCGACGCCGCCGCGCCGGCGGCGCCGCCGGCCGCGGCGGGCGCGCGCGAGCCGGCCGCGGCGACGCGCGGCGTCCTGCTCTTCGCGGTCGGCGCGCCGCTCGGCGAAACGGACGGCGCGCCGGCGATCGGCGAGGCGCTGCGGCTCGCGCGGACGATCCGGCGCTTCCACGCGAGCGCGCGCGACCTGGGGGTCTGCCTCGACTACCACGTCGTCGCCGCGGACGATCAGGCCCGGGGCGCGGCCGAGGCCGAGCTGCGGCGTCGCGCCGAGCCGCTCGGCGTCGAGCTGCGCGCCGTCGCGTTCGACCGCGCGCCGGCGCTCGCGCGCGCGACGCTCGCGCGCGGGTGCAAGTGGCAGGACGGGTGCGACGAGCGCGCGCTCGTGGAGCTGCGGCTGCGGCGCATGGAGCGGCTCGCGGCGTCGCCGTTCGAGCGCACGCTCTACCTCGACTCGGACGCGCTCGCGTGCGCGCGGCTCGACGGCTTCTTCGCGGCGCTCGGCGAGTCGGACGTCGCGTACGTCTCGACGACGACGATCGGCAAGTATGTCCGCAGGAAGACGGGGCTCGACGCGATCTTCGACGCGAGCGCGGCGCCGCCCGGCGCGGCGCCCGTCGCCGAGTCGGCGTACCTCAACGCGGGCGTGCTCGCGTTCCGCAACTCGACGGGCGCGCGGCGGCTGCTCGCCGCGTGGCGGCGCGTCTTCGTCGACGAGTACCTCCCGCGGCGCGTGCCCGGCGCGCACTCGATGCAGGACCAGCCGGCGCTGTGGTGGGCCGCGCGCACGACGCCGGGCGTCGCGCTCGAGCGGCTGCCCGACGAGTACCACTGCAAGACGCACACGACCGGCGCGACGTGCGCGCGGCCCGGACCGCTCGACGTCGCCGACGGCGCGCGCGGGCCGTCGCGCGGCGCGCGGCGGCACTCGCGCGACGCCGGCGGGCGGTGCGTCGTGCTCCACGGACACGGGCTCGTCGACGCGGGGCCGCCCGACGGGGGGGGCGCCGACGCGCCGCGCCCGAGCGCCGCGGAACTGGCGCGCGCGCGAGCCAGAAGGCGGCGGCTCAGTGACTTTGGGAAAGCCGACAAGAAATGCACGACGCTCCTGAAAAAGAAGAAGCTCGACTGGCTCCTCGAGCCGTTCACGTGCACGAAATCCGTCAAGACGTCGAACGTCGCGCTCGTGCTCGGCACGGGCCTCGGCGACACGGGCACGCGGTCCGTCGCCAAGGCCGTCGACGCGCTCGGCGTGCCGACGTGCCACCGCACGACCGCGACGCTCGAAGCGCTCGGGGCGTCGAACCGGCGCGACATGACGCCCTTCGCGTCGTCGGGGGCGTGGTTCGACACGCCCCTGGCGTCCGTCTGGCGCCGCGTCGCGTGCTCGTTCCCCAACTACAAGGTCGTGCACACGACGCGCGCCGGCGACCGCCCGCGTCTCTCGTCGACCGGGAACCGCATGAACGCGCGCCGTAGGGTACCACCGCGACTACAGCCAGGGCAAGAGCAAGTGCGGCGCGGACACGAAGGAGCACTACCTCATCTCGCGCTGCCTCGAGTACGGCACGACGTGCCCGACGCTCGCGGACGCGCTCGTCGCCTTCGACGGCGTCGCGGCGAGCCTCGACCGCTACGCGCCGCGGGACAAGGTCCACGTCATGAACATGTCGACGGGCTTCCGCCTCGTCCCCCTCGCGGCGTTCCTCGGCAAGCCCGTGCCGCGCGGCATGCGGGGCGTGCCGCGGAGCAAGGAGTTCTTCTGCAGGACCCGGGCCGTCGCCGAGAAGAAGAAGAAGCCGCGCGTCGTCACGCGGCACCGCTCCGGGAAGAAGAAGAAGAAGAAGCCCCACGTCTAATCGCGTTATTTCCACTTCGTGTCCGCGCCGTGGCGCGCGGGATCCGACGGAGCCCCCTAGTTCCGGTATCTAGAAGGCGAGGAGCCCCGGGGAGCGCGCCGCGGAGTCCAGGTCAGCTTTGGCCTCATCCAACCTTGATCGCGCAGTCTGGGGCTGCCTCAAGCGCCGACCGCCGCGCCGTCACCGCACGATGGGCCGCAGGCAGCCACCGCCTGTCACCCCGGAGCCGGCGCTCATCCCCGAGGAGGCCATGCTGCTCGGCGGCGCGCTGCTGGCCGCCTCCGTGGTCCACGTCCTCACGAAGCGCCTGTCGTCGAGCAAGCGGCTCGTGGTGCGCGTCGGCGCGACCTTCGGCATCAGCTACGTCCTCGGCGTGCGCTTCCTCGCGGGCATCAAGGCCGGGCTCGGCGTCGACGCGCTCGGCGACCTCGACGCGTTCGGCCCGCTGTGGACGCTGAGCGGGTTGCTGTTTTCCGTCATGCTCGGGCAGACGTACCAGTACTACTTCGACCGCCAGGGCGCGATCCAGGACGCGGCCTTCGAGGAGACCCTGGCGCTCTGGCGCCTGAGCCAGTTGGTCACGACGACCATCAACGACCTGCACGCGCGGCGGTCCGCGTACGTGTTGGTAAAAAGCTACGCGGAGCAGCTGTCGGCCGCGGGCGCGCGCCGGCGCCCCGCGGCCGCGACGACTTTCGAGAGCTCTTGGACACGTCGTCACCGACGCGCGCCGTAGGTCTGAGCGCGGCCGCGGACCTGCTCGTGGAGTTCGACCTCGGCAACGACGAGCCGAGCCAGCTCGGCGACGTCTGCGGCCTCGCGGCGGGCGCGGAGTCGGCCGCGGGCGTCCAGTGCATCCACGACACGGTCCGCGACATCCACCGCTGCGCGGCGAAGCGCGTGTCGAACATCAACGCGGACCTGCCGCCGCTCCAGTGGCACGCGCTGTCGGCGTTCGGCGTGCTGCTCGTGGGGAGCTTCGGGCTGCTGGACCTGGGATCGGCGAAATTGGAGGCCGCGGTGCTCGCGATCGGGCTCGCGTCGTCGGCGCTCTTTTATCTCGTGCTCAGCGACCTCCAGAACCCCTTCGAGGGCTCCTGGGCCGTGAGCCCGGCGGCGGGGTCGTTGGAGAAGTTCGTGGCCCACATGCTCGAGAAGCACGCGACGCTCGTGCGCGCGCACTCGAAGCGGGCCGTGACGCAGGTCCGCGCGAGCCTCCGCCTCGCGGGCACGGGCAACGGCGTCGCGAGCCTGCGCAAGAGCGCGGACGAGGCGAGCTTCTCGGAGAAGGGGGGCATGTAGGGGGCTCGTGTTACGACCGCGTCATTTGCCGAGCGCCGCGCGGCACCGGTCCGCCTGCTCCTGGAGGCCCCCGTCCTGCGGCACGCCCAGCGCGTCGCACGCGGCCGCGAGGGTCTGTTGTATCGGCGCTTGCGCGAGGCCGAGCTGGGCACGAAGAAGGTCGCAGGTCTCATAGAGCGTCAGCGGCGATGGCATGCCGATGACCTCCGCTTGCACCATCGCCTGTACGTCGAAGGCTGGTGCCTCGCTTTCGACCTTCAAGACCGTCCCGAGTCCAAAGCACGTTCCCGCTCTGAGCATCGCGCCGAACTCTTCATAATCCACGTAGCCATCGCGATTCGCGTCGGCGGCTTTAAACACGTCGAGAGACTCCTTCACCCCGAGCATCGGAAGGGCACGCGTGTAATCCTCCCAATTGATCTTCCCCCTTTGGCTGCGGTCGAAAAGCTTGAACAATTCCAGGTGATCGGCGCAATTTCCCGCGTAGTACCGCTGCAGCAGTTCATTGAGTGCGGGACCCTCCGGCACCCCGTTCGGCGCGGACGCCGGCGCCGGCCATGCTCTGCCGTGCTTTAGAGCTAGCGGCGCAGCCCATAAGAATGCTCCAACGCTGCAGCTCACTAGTAGGTCAGTGTTTGACCGATGGTGCCGTCCCGCCAAACGAGGACCGCTCCCCGACCGGCAGGAGCATTCGAACCAACACGCTCCGCGACCTGGCACACAACATGGACGACTTCGACGACTTCATGCTGTCGCCCGAGGCGGAGGCCGCCCTCGCCGCGGCGGAAGCGACCCTCGACGCCGCGCCGGCCCCGAAGGTTCCCGCGAGGGCGGCGGCGCCGCGCCCCCCCGTCGACGTGCGAGCCCTGCGGGCGACGCTCAAGGAGACGTGGGGCTACGACGACTTCCGCGAGGGCCAGGAGGCGGCCGTCGCCGCCGTCTGCGGCGGGAGGGACTGCGCGGTCTACTGGGCCACGGGCTCGGGCAAGTCGATCGTCTACCAGCTCGCGGCGCTGCACCGGGCCCGGGGCGTCGTCCTCGTCATCTCGCCCCTCGTGTCCCTCATGATGGACCAGGTGAAGACGCTGAACATGACCTGCGGCCGCGACGTCGCGTGCTTCCTCGGGAGCGCGCAGACGGACCGGTCCGTCGAGGACCGCGCGCTCCGCGGCGACTACCGGCTGGTCTACGCGACGCCGGAGAAGACGGCGAACCAGGACCTCGCCGGCGCGCTGGACCGCAACTGCCCCGGGGGCCTGGCGCTCATCGCCGTCGACGAGGCCCACTGCGTGTCCGAGTGGGGCCACGACTTCCGGCCCGAGTACCGGCGCCTCGGGTCCGTCCGCGACGCGTGCCCGGGCACGCCGCTCGTCGCCCTGACGGCGACGGCGGCGCCGCGCGTGCGCGGCGACATCGAGAGCAACCTGCGCCTGCGCCCGGGCTTCCACGTCGCCGCGAAGACCTTCGACCGGCCGAATCTGGCGCTGCGGTGCAAGCGCTTGGCCGGCGAGGGCCCCGCGGCCGCGCTCAAGTCGACCGCGGAGGCGCTGCGCGACGGCGGCGCGACCATCGTCTACTGCTCGACGCGCGGCGAGGTCGAGACGGCGACGGCGGCGCTCAACGCCCTGGACCCGGCGGCCAAGGTCGCGGGCTACCACGCGGGCATGCCGCCGGGCGACCGCCGCGACGCGCACTACGGCTTCCTGAGCGGCAAGCTCCACTGCGTCGTCGCGACCGTGGCCTTCGGCATGGGCATCGACAAGCCCGACATCCGCCGCGTCGTCCACTACTCGCCGCCCAAGTCCATGGAGGAGTACTACCAGCAGGTCGGCCGCGCGGGCCGCGACGGGCTGCCCGCGGAGTGCCTGCTGCTCTTCAAGGAGAGCCAGCTCGTCAAGTACAACTCCGACTTCTACACGAAGGGGCTGACGGGCGACGGCCTCGCGAACTTCCAGGCGTCGCTGGAGTCGATGCGGAGATTCGCGGGCCTCACGGACGGCTGCCGCCGCGCGGCGATCCTCGACCACTTCAAGGAGCCCTACGCCAAGGGCTGGCGCTGCGGCAGCTGCGACCTCTGCCGGCGCGCGAGCGACCCGGGCACGCGCGACCGCGACTACACGAAGCCCGCGCGTTTGCTGTTGGCCGCGTCGCACGAGTGCGCCGGCGCCACGGAAACGGACCTCGTGGACCTCGCGCTCGGCACCTTCAAGGGCAAGGGCGCGTCCAAGTACGTGCCGCCGCAGCACGCGCGGGCCCAGGCCGCCGTCGAGCCGCTCCTCGCGGAAATCCGCCGCGAGGCCGCGTGGCGCAGGTTCGTGACCAAGGATTCCATGAAATCGTTCCTCGGCGAGCTCGCGGCGCGCGCCTACCTCGACCAGCGCAGCGTCAAGGGCGCCTACGCCGCCTACGCCGTCTACGACATCTCCGAGCGGGGGTCGGCCGTCGTGCGCGGCCGCGCGAACGTGCTGCTGCCGCCGCCGCAGTTCGTCGTGGACGAGGAGGCCCGGGAGGCCGCGCGGGCCGCGAAGCGCAAGGCCGAGCTCGAGACGGCCGGCGTCGACGTGTCCAAGATCCCCAAGGCGGAGCTCGACGCGGGCAAGGGCCCCGCGCTCACCGCGGAGCTCGACTGGCTCCGCCGCGTCAAGGCCTGGCGCGACGGCGGCCAGGAGGCCAAGGCCCTCGCCTACGAGCAGCTGCTCGCGGTCATCCTCAAATGGCGCCAGGACATGGCCGAGGCCCACGAGGTCGCGCCGTGCACCGTGCTGCCCGACCATTTGGCCAAAACGGTCGCGTATTCCATGCCGACGACGGAGCAAGCGCTGCGCGACGCGGGCGTGCGCTTCGGCGCCGGCGCCAAGGACCTCGCCGCGCTCATCGAGCAGGCCGTCGTCGACCTGGGCGTCGGCGGCGCCGTCGAGAAGGACGACGCGACTCCCGTCGCGCTGCCCGCGGGCGCGCGGGCGTTCCCCAAGTGGAAGTTCGCGCTGGAGAAGCCGAACAAGAACGGCAAGCCCAAGCCCTGGGAGCTCAGCCACGCGCGCTTCGCCGGCGGCGACTCCTGCGCCGCCATCGCCTGCGACCAGCCGAACGGCAAGCCCATCATGACGCGGACCGTCGTCGGCCACCTGCTCAAGGCGCTCATCATGGGCCAGCCCGTGGACCTGCGGCGGCTCCACCTCGACGGCGCCGCCGCGCGGCCCCTGCCCTGCGGCGCGCCGACGGCGGCGGCCTGGGACGCGCTCGACGAGGCCGCGGCGGCCGCGGACGTCGACGTCGTCGGCGCCGAGTCCTACAAGGCCGCGGACCTCGCGGCCGGCGTGGGCGGCGACATCGCCGCGCTCGCGGAGATCGACTACAAGGAGAAGACCGAGGCCCAGGTCCGCGACTGGAACGCGTGGAACAGCGACCGCTCCTGGTGGGAGGCGCTGAAGCGCGCGGGCTACGCGCCGTCGCCCGAGCCGCCGGCAAAGAAGGCGCGATGCGGGTCGTAAACAGGTGTGTGACGAGCCGGGGGATGTGGGCTCCCGGGTCTCGTACGCGGGGGGGCGGGGGATGTCTCTCCCGCATGTCTCTCCCGGGGGTTGGGGCGCTCAGGGCCGCGCGGGCGGGATGAGCGCGTAGAAGTGGAGGCTCGAGCCCGCGGAGTGGAGGAACTCCTCGTTGCCGGGCTCGAGCACGACGAGCGGCTGGTACTCGGCGTAGTACTTGGTGAAGACGATGCCCGCGCGGAGCATGCGCAGGAGCATGAGCCGGAGGCACGCGAGGTAGCGCAGCGTCCGCGCCGCGGGGTCGACCTCCGACGGAGGCGGCCGCGCCGCGCCGGGGCGGTGCTTCAGGGCCTGCAGGTTCCGGCGCATCTCGCCCATGATCTCCGCGCGGCTGTCGAGGTAGTCGAAGGCCAGCCCCAGGATCTGGTACACCTCGAGGTGGCGGTTCCTAGCGACGCCCCCGAACGGCGCGAGATCCGTCAGCAGCCGGCCGCTCAGGCCCTCGCTGAAGCAGAAGCAGTACGTGGGCAGGTCCGCCTCGCCGAGCTTCGCCGTCGGGCCGTGCCGGCGGAGCACGACGCCCACGGGCGCGTCGCAGCCCTCGAAGGGCGGCGGGTTCGCGCAGCCGAAGAGCGCGAGCGGGCTACACCGGGGCTGCGACGCCTCGTCCGCGAAGTGCGCCACCGTGTAGCGCGCCGCCGACGCCACGAGCGCGTCGAAGGTCTCGAGCTTCGCGAAGCGGCCGTCGACGGCGTGCCGGAACGCGCGGTTCGCGCAGCGCAGCTCCAGGAGGTCGAGGGGGTCCGACAGGGCGAGGATGCCCGCGCCGTCGAAGGGCTCCAGGAGCCGCGCCGCCGCGAACGTTTCGCGCCGCGGCGCGCTCCGCGGCAGCCAGGCGGCTGCCGCGTCCGCGGTCGCGTCGCTCCGCGCGTCGTCGGCGCCCGCCATCAGGAATGCCGGCTGACTTGCGGGCTGCCCCTTCAATCCGAAAGGATTTCTGACGAACGTTCGGTAAGTAACCTTGAGGTCGTCGTTGACCTTTGATGGCCGCTTGATCATGAAGCTCCCCTTAGAACAGCTCGAAGTCGCGCGCCCAGAGCACGCCCGGCTCGGGCAGGCCGTCCTTCGCGGCGGCGGCCGTGGCCGCGAGCTTCGCGCGCTCGCGGTCCGCGGCCCACGCGTAGAGCTCGAGGTCCCAGCGGTTCGCGCGCCGGAGCCGCTCCTGCGCGTCCGCCGGCGGTGCCCAGCCCGGCGGCCGCTCGTCGCTCCGGCCGCCGGGCGCGCGCTTCGCGAGGAACGACGGCTGGAGGATCGAATCGTCCGCCGCGCGCGCGTTCGGCCGCTTCGACCGGGGGAAGGGCCGCCGCGCGTCCGGGTCGTAGCAGAGCGGCGCCGCGAGCCGCTCGAAGGTGCCCGGGTGGCTGAGCCACTCCGAGACGAGCACGTCGTCGAAGGCCGTCTCGAGGAAGATCTTCGCCGCCTCGAAGTCGTCGCGCGACACGCCGCCGTTGCAGTCGTCCGTCTCGCCCGCGCAGCGCGGGTCGCGCTCGCTGTACGCGCGGCCGGAGAAGGTCCGCACGTAGTAGTTGTCGAGGCACCGGTTGCCGAGGCCCCGCCCGTAGCAGGCGGACCGGTCGAGCCACTCGCGCTCCGATCGGACCGCGCCTTTCGCGCCGTAGCGGCCCTCGTACCAGTAGCGGCTCCAGACGCGATCGAGCGGCTCGCGGAGGGCCGTCACGAACCAGGCGCCGCGGCGCGCGTAGTCCAGCGCCTTGTCGCGCCACTGGCGGTCGTGGAACGCGCCGCCCTCGAGCTGCGCCGTCCGCGCTGGGCCCTTGGGCGCGTGGCGGCCCGCGCCGCCCCTGGGCGCCTCGGACGACCCCCAGAGGTGCATGAGCACGCCCTCGCGCTGCGTCGCGCCCGCCGCGCCGTAGAGCTTGACGCTCAGGGCCGCGCAGGGGCGCGCGCAGTGCGGAAGGAGCGGCGCGCAGGGCACGCCGTTGTTCTGGTGCACGCAGGCGCCCGCCGCGACGGCGTCGCCGCAGGGCGCGGCCTTCGCCTTGGCGAGCGCGACCTCGAGCGCGAACTTCTCCATGGCCTCGGCGCTCGAGGCGGCGCGGTCCCGCACCCAGGACGCGACGTCCTGCGCGTGGAAGCTCCGCAGCGCCTCCGCCGGGCCGTGGAGGCGCCGGCCGCGGTGGCGCGAAGTCGTGTTGGTTTTGGCAGCGCAGGACGCGACGAGGAGCGCGAGGAGCGCTGGCATCCTGACGATCATGCTCTTGCTTGTGGCTAGAGGAGCTAGAGGAGCGCTGGCCTAAGCTCCATGCCTTCGCCTGGTGCTGTGGCAATTCTAAGCGCTGGCCTAAGCTCCATGCCTATATTTCGCCTGGTGCTGTGGCAATTCTAAAGATTTCTGCGAGGACGATGTTGACGATGTTGACGAGGAAGCATGGTGCACACGTGCGAGAGCTGAAGTAGCGCAATGATGGCCGGCAGAGCAGCCCTAAGGCGCGTCGTCGCTGCAAATGTTCGTGTGCGTCCGCTTGCAAACGCTCCGCGCCGCGCGATCGTCACGCGCGCCTCCGTCGGCACACTCCAGCCGACACACGCTCCAGCCGCGGCGGCAGGCCTACAGCACGGCGCTCACGCGCGCCTCCGTCGGCGCCTGGAGCACGCTCCAGCCGCGGCGGCAGGCCTACAGCACGGCGCCCACAGCCAGCAGCCACGCAACGACGAAAGCGCCGAAGGCCGCGCTCGAGGAGACGGCGACGGCGCTCCTCGACGACGACGACGGCGACGCGCGCGCGGCGCCCGCGACCGTCGAGCGGCTCCTCGCGCTCGCGGAGCCCGAGCGGCGGCGCCTCGCCGCGGGCCTCGGCCTCCAGTCCGCGAGCTCGGGCCTGTCGCTGTTCCTGCCCTTCGCCATCGGCAAGATCGTCGACGGCTGCGCGGGCTCGTGGCGCGCGGGCGACGCCGCGGCCGTCGCCGCCGCCGCGTGGAGCCCGACGTCCGCGGCGACGGCGCTGCTCGGCGTCTTCGGCGTCCAGGCACTGGTCATGACCGCGCGCCAGCACGTGCTGAACGTCGCCGGCGAGAACGTCGCGGCGAGCGCGCGGACGGCGGCGTTGGCGAATTTGGTGGAGCAGGAGATCGCGTTCTACGACGAGAAGGACAGCGGCGAGCTCGTGAACCGTTTGAGCGCGGACGCGGCGAACTTGCAAAAGGCGCTGACGACGCACCTCGCCTCCGCCGCGTCGTCGACGTTTTCGGCCATCGGCGCCGTCGCCATGCTGTTTTCCATCAGCCCGTCGTTGGCGCTGCTGTCCCTAGCGGTGTTCCCGCCGGTGTTTCTGTTCGCGTCGTGGCGCGGGCGGCGCATGCGTAAAGCGCAAAAGAAGGTCCAGGAATCGCTCGCATCGGCCAACGGCGTCGCGCAGCGCACGCTCGGGAACCTGCGGACGTTGCGGGCGCTGGGCTGCGAGGACTCGATGGAGGCGCGCTACCGCGGCGCCGTCGGCGCCGCGCGGCGCGAGGCGATCTCCGTCGGCGACGAGTCCGCGGTCTTCGGCGCCGTCGTGCACTTCGCGGCGAACGTCTCAATTCTCGTCGTCCTCGCCGTCGGCGGCGAGCAGGTCATGAGCGGCGCGCTGAGCCCCGGGAGCCTGTCGTCCTTTCTGATGTACTCGCTGTACCTCGGCTTCGCGTCGTCCGGCCTCTCCTCCTCGTTCGCGGAGTTCCAGCGCGCCTCCGGCGCCACGGAGCGCCTCCTCGCGCTCAGCGACCGCGAGTCGTTGATGCCGCCGAGCACGGGCGTGCTGCCGGAAGGGTCGGGCCCCCACGCCGTCGAGTTCCGAAACGTCACCTTCTCGTACCCGACGCGGCGCGGCGCGGCGCCGGCGCTCGACGGCTTCGACCTGCGCGTCGCGCCCGGAGAGCGCGTCGCCGTGAAGGGGGCCTCGGGCTGCGGGAAGTCGACGCTGCTGCGGCTGATTTCCCGTTTGTACGACGTCGACGGCGGGCGGGTGACCGTCGGCGGCGTCGACGTGCGCGCCCTCGACGCTTCGTTCCGCGGCGGTCTCGTCGGCGTCGTGCCCCAGGAGCCCGTGCTCCTGAGCGGGACCATCGCCGAGAACATCCGGCTGGGCTGCGCGCGGCAGACCGCCACCGACGCCGACGTGGCCGAGGCCGCGCGGCGCGCGGGCCTCGGCTCGCTCTTGGCGCGGCTCCCGGGCGGGCTCGCGACCGCGGTCGGCGAGGCGGGCGTCCAGCTCTCGGGCGGCGAGAAGCAGCGCGTCGCCATCGCGCGGCTCTTCCTCAACGACCCGCCCGTCGTGCTGCTCGACGAGTTCTCGAGCGCGCTCGACGAGCGGACGATGCTCGAGGTCGCCGCGAACCTGTCGGACGCGCTCGCGGGGAAGACAGTCCTCGCCGTCGCGCACCACGACCAAGTGCTCGCGGCCATCGGCGTGGACCGCGTCGTGGACCTGACGAAGGGCGGCGGCGGGTAAAGGAGGGAGTTGTGGTCGTTTGTGCATTAACTACCACAGCACGAGCGCCTCGCGGAGGAGGACGTCGACGGGGCTTTTACGCTGGCGAATCGCAACCTCCTTAGCACGCTCCGCGCGGTCCGATCTACGGGGACGTGCACTCCTTGACGGGCTCGGGCTTGGGCTCGACCGCGGCGGCGAATTTCGTCTTGACGAGGACGGCCAGCAGCGCCAGCGAGATCAGCAGCTCGAAGAAGACGCCCGCGGCGACGGTGTTCGCGCGGTCGTTCGGGCCCTGGACCTCCTTCTTCGTGTCCTTGTTGTGCTCGCCGATGCGCTCCTGGTACCGCACGGCGTTCCAGCAGTCGACGGTCGCGAAGAGGAGCAGGGTCGTGAGCGCGACCGCGGCGGCGAGGCGGCGCTCGGCGCAGATCTCGACGTTGGCCGCGCGGCCCACGAAGTACGTCATGTTCGTGCCCAGCGCGAGCACGAGCGCGAGCGTCATCGTCGACGTTAAGGACCCGGGCGCTGCCATCACGGGACGCATGCGGTCCGTCATCACGAAGATGGAGTAGACGAGCACGACGACGCCGGAAGAGATGACGTGCAGGGCGGGCTCGATGATCTCCATGACAGCCATGCTTGGATGTGTAGGTGTGGCGAAAGCTTGTGTGTTGTTGCGAAGTCCGAGGCGAGGCCTGGTTGCTTGGGATTGTGCACGAGCTCCATCTTGGAGCACTCGGGCTGCCAGGAAATGCGCGCGGCAACGTGGACACGGACCGTGCACCATCTACCCTGTCACAGTCCTTGAGCTCGCGATCTGTCGAATCAACCGCCGCAATGAGCCAGCGTGGCGCCCTCTTGGGCGTGCTCCTCGCGCTCCTGAGCCCGGTCTTGCAGTCCTTCACGGCCCCCGGCGTCGCGAGCGCGCCGAGCCGGAGGCGGGCATTGGCGCGCGGCGCCGCGGAGGTCGACGACGGCGGCGACGGCGCCTTCGACCGGCGCACGGCGCTCGTCGGCGGCGCGCTGCTCGCCGGCAGCGCCGTCGCGTCGGCGGAGAACCCGCAGCGGCCGAGCGAGTACGGCCTCTGGGGCGTGCTGCCCGTCGGGCCCTACAAGTCGAAGCGCACCGCGCCCGCCGAGGCCGTCGTCCCGGGGCGGATCTGGACCTTCGACCAAAAGTTCGGCATCCTCAACGTGCAGGTGCCGAGCCGCATGGTCGTCGTCAAGCTCTCGGAGAAGTCCGGCGGCGGCCTCTTCGTCTACAACCCCATCGCGGCGACGCGGGAATTGGTCAGTATGGTCCGCGACCTGGAAAAGCAGCACGGCCCGGTCCGCCACGTCGTCCTCGGCACGGTGGCCATCGAGCACAAGACCTACTGCGGCGTCTTCGCGTCCAAGTTCCCCAAGGCGACGGTCTGGGTCCAGCCGGGCCAGTACGCCGTGCCCGTGAACCTGCCGAACCCGCTGCTCGGGTTCCCCCTCGGCCGGACGAAGACGCTGCCGGCGTCCGCGGAAGAAACACCCTGGGTCGCGGACCTGGACATGAAGACGCTGGGCCCCTTCATCTCGCGCGACGGCGCCTTCGGCGAGACGGCCTTCCTCCACCGGGCGTCGAAGACGCTCCTCGTGACGGACACGGTCGTCCGGGTCTCGGAGGAGATCCCGCCCATCTTCCTCCTCGACGACGAGGCGAAGAGGCCCCTGCTCTACCACGCGCGCGACACGATCCTCCAGCCCGTCGACAAGAACAACGTCGACGAGCTCAGACGCGGCTGGCGCCGCGTGCAGCTCTTCGGGTTGTACTTCATGCCGGCGGCCATCGCGGTCCACTCCGTGAACCAGGCCGTCGAGGAGCGGCGGCCGGACGTGAACCCGGACTTCGCGGGCATCTACCCCTGGGACTGGGTCGGCGACGACGGGCGGGCCTTCGCGGCGCTCAGAGGCTCGCGGAAGGACGGGCTGCTCGTGGCCCCGATCCTCCAGACGCTCATCCTGAACCGGAACCCCGTGGAGACCCTGGACTGGGCCGACGCCGTGGCGACGTGGGACTTCAAGCGCGTCATCCCCGCGCACCTGAAGAACGACGTAGCGGCCGACGGCGCCGCGTTCCGCCGCGCGTTCGGCTTCCTCGAGGAGGCCGGCGAGGCGCCGGGGCAGCCCAAGCCCCGCGACGACGACCTCGCGACGCTCCGGGGCGCCGAGGTGAACTTGCTCGCCATGGGCGCCATCTCGCCCGTGCCGGGCAAGCTCGCCAAGAACGGCGCGAACCGCGCCGCGCTCGTCGCGAAGACGCGCAACGGCTGCCGCGGCGGCCTCTGCGGGCCCCTCGCGCCGGCGAAGAAGGCGTAAGTCGTTATGCTAACGGGCAGCCCGGCGCCCGCTAGGTGACCCCCCGGTCGTAGAAGAACTTCGCGGGCCGCGCCTTCTCGACGCCCTCCCGGAGCCAGGACGTCACGATCTTCTTCGTGCCGTTCTTGATGAGGCAGCCGACGTGCTCCGTGGCCTCGCCGAGCATGTTGCCGTCGCTGCCCTTGTAGGCGAAGAAGAGCGCGGACTTGGGCACGGCGTCGATCTTCACGTCGAGGTTCGGAAAGACCGTCGCGCCGCCGCTCGACGGCGCGGCGCAGTAGTGGACGACGGACGCGACGCGGCCGCCCGCCACGTAGGCGCCGGACGCCGCGCCGTCGGCGTGGGCCGCGTACTCGGAGCCGGCGTCGTACTCGACGAACGCGAGCGGCTCCTGGAACGCCGCGGAGCCCCGGAGCTCGTAGCCGACGATCTTCTCGCCGACGGCCGCCGCGCGCTCGACGAGGCGCGACGACAGCGCGCCCCGGGGGATCGTCGCCTGCTTCGCGCGGCGCTCGCCCGCGACGCCGCCGCCCGCGCCCGCGCCGTCGAGCACCGTCGCGGACTTGAGGCCCGCCTTCGTCGCCTCGCCCTCGAGCTGCTTGCAGGCCTCGAGGGAGAGGTAGTCGCGGAGCACGGCGACGTAGGGCTCGTCGCTGTAGACCTCGAGGGACACGCGGCGGCCGTCGACGGGGTCCTTGTACCGGTCGACGCGCTTCGGCGCCTGGGCGGGAAAAGAGTGCGACATTCCCAACTTTGGAGGCTCCTATCTCGGTCGTTTTCCACTCGTTTCGGCTAATTTCTGGACGAGCGATCATCTCTCGGAGCGCTCTCGACGCGTGGATGCTTTTTCCGGAACGATCGCGCGCGGAACACTAGTGTTGAAGCGATCTTGAATCACCCTTTTCCTGCCCGGTTCGGCGCGGACGGCGGCGTCTCGTCGCGGCACAGCTCCCAGGTCTTCGTCTTCTCGAAGCGCAGCGGCTCGCCGGGGTAGGTCACGGCGGACCGCGCGTGGAGCTCGCCCGTGGCCTGGCACTTCCAGTCGAGGAAGTCGCCGGGCGTCGCGAGCGCGGTGCCGTTCTCCAACGGCCCGAGCTCCAGGAGCAGCGCCTCGCCGCGGTAGACGGCCAGCGCGTGGTCCGGCGACAGGTTCGCCAGGTCGTGGGGCTTCGGCGCCTCGGAGCCGAGCACGAACGTCGGCCGCAGCTCCTTCGTGACCGCGACGCTCTCCTCCTTGGCTTTGCCGGAGCTGCCGGTCTTGGTCACGCGGCGCCAGCCGAAGACCATGCCGTCGTCGGCGTGGGCCTGGAACGTGCCGCCGCCGCCGCCCAGGATGCCCAGGATCTTCTTCTTCTTCCGGCCGTCGCCGCCGTCGACGATCTTGAAGAGCTCGCGCTTGTTCGGGTAGTTGTTCACAAACGTCAGCGGCGTCCGCTTGAACCAGTCGAAGCCCGTGCGCTGGACGACCTGCTGGCCGACGGCGACGACGATGCAGAGCACGGACATGGCCAGCGGGCCCTTGCCACGCGCATCACCACCCGCAGCGCCCATCGCGCCCGATTCGCGAGCCGGTTCCGCTTTACGCATGCACTGTGCCGCAAAATTGAAGGTTGACCCGGTAAAAATAGATAAATTTACGCCTTGACGGTCCGGAAGGCGAGCGTGGGGACGACCTCGGCCGCGAGGCTCGCGAGCGCCGCCGGGGCGTCGTCCTCGCGGGGCCGCGCCTCGCGGAACAGGTCCTCGGCGCTCGCCGCGCGCGCGTCGACCTTCTCGAAGAACGTCGCCGCGAGCTCGCGGAGCCGGAGCCGCGCGGCCTTGCCCGCGGCCGCGTCGTCGGCGGCGGCGCGGCCGTTGGACGCGCTCGCCTCGGCGAGCTCGATGCGCCTTCGCCGCGTCGCGAGCTCCGCGCACTGCATCGGCGACAGCCGCGCGTCGACCTGAGAAGTTCGACGGTGAATCGTGCCATGTTTCCGACGAGCGCGCGCTCGACCGATGCGGCGCGACGAAACCATCCGGCGCGGGCGTCGGCGAGCTCGACGCGCAGCCTCTGGCCCGCGGACGTCGCCTCGTGGTTGAAGAACTTGACGAGGTCCTCGAGCCCGGGCACGACGAGGTCGTCCCACTCGGCGCGCCGCGCCTTGGCGAAGGCGGCCTTGCCGGCGGACACGGCGACGTCGCCCGCGATCTTCGCGGGGACCGGGACGGCGAGCTTCGACGCGTGCTCGACGCCCGCGCCCACGGCCGCCTTGAGCAGCTTGGCCGACGTCGCCTCGGCGCAGGTCGGGTCGCGCCATTTCTTCGCGTACTGGCCGAGCAGGTTGCAATTGATGTTGAGCATGGCCTCGCTCCAGACGCCGTCCGGCACCCAGTCGCTCACGCTCGGCGGCATGGCGACGTCGAATTGGCAGCGCGCCCAGTCGAAGACGATGCGCGCCTGCTCGGCCGCGCCGGGGTCCAGGTCGCGCTGCTCCGTCGCCGCGCCGGCCGAGGCGCCGGCGCCCATGTTCCAAACGAAGCTCGCGACGGTCGGGCTGCGCGACGGTTGAGAACGGCCCCGGGCAGGCTCGCGCCAGTTCTGTCAGGCTAATGGTGATCCTCTTGCAGTCCACGCAATATATTTTTGACGATGGTCGTGTCTGCGAGCTGAGTCGAGGCTGCCCGTCGTCGTCCGCCGCAACACGACAGCATCGCACCCATGGCACTGCGCGCCCTCATCTTCAGCGTCCTCGTCGCGGCCGGCGCAGCGCTGCTCGGCGGCGACGAGCGGGCCGAGGTGCGCCGGCGGCTCCCGGCGGCAGACTCGCTCTCGGCGCGGCGCGCCCGGCTGCGGCGCCAAATCAACGCGACGAGCTTCCGGCGCCCCTTCGACGCGACGCGCTGCGGCGGCGGCCACGTCGCGGCGACGCGGCGCCTCAAGCTGTGCGTCGTCGAATCCGAGTGGACGCAGGTAATTTTTTAATTCAGCATGAGCTCCTGAAACATTCGTTTTTCCACCTAGGAATTCGTCATGCGCGTGAACTCGACGGTGGGCTGGGAGCCGCGCACGCGGGCCCTGCTCCGGCGCCTGCTCCAGCAGACGACGGGTACGGTCTTCGAGGCCGGCGCGCACGTCGGCGACCATCTGCTGCCCCTCGCGGCCGCGTTCCCGAACCTGCGGTTCGTCGGCCTGGACCCGGACCCCTCGAAGGTCGCCTTCGTCGAGCGCATGGTCGCGGCGAACGCGCTCGCGAACGTCCGCGTCATCACCGCGGCGCTCGACGCGGCGCCGCGCGACGACTGCGGTCTGGACCGGAGCGACGCCAACGCGGGCGCGTGGCGCGTGGGCGGCAACGGCACGGGCGCGTGCACGACCATCGACGCCGTGCTCGCGTCGGCCGACGACGTCGGGCTCGTGCACCTCGACCTCGAGGGCTTCGAGTACCGCGCGCTTCTGGGCGGGAACGCGACGCTCGGCCGCGCGCCGAACGTGCTCTTCGAGAACGACCACCTCGACGAGGGGGGGCGGATCTACGACCACCTCGAGGCCATGGGCTTCGCGAAGTTCGACGAGGTCGAGCACAACGAGCTGTGGCGCTGGGCGTCGCTCGTCCCGGACGAGGAGGACGACTACCGGTAAGGTCCGGCTTTTGAATCCCACGCGGGTAGTACCTCCATTCTGCTGCCGAGTAACCTTGACTCACACCGCGCCGTGACTCGGCGACGACATCACGCCGAGTCGAGGCCATCTCGCTCCCGGACGGCCCGGGACGCCTGCGGCTCCTGCGGACACTTGCGGACGAGCACTCGAGCCCGTGAAACGTCGACAGGGGTCCGCCCAGGGGTCCGCAGGGGTCCGCCCGGGGTCCGCCCTGGTGTGTGAAATCGTCGGCGTAACGTCGCTCGCGCCGACTTGGCCTCGTCGCGCGAACGTCGAGGCGGGCGACGCCTTTGTAACATGGGCGGCGCCACGAGTACCCTGGACCACTCGCGCAAGCGCAGTCTGCCCGACGTCGGGGCTTTGATCTGGGGGCGCCCGAAGCGGCCGTGTTTAGCCGATGGCGTCTCGATCGCGAAGATCGCCAAGTCGTCCACGAGCGTGTCGTGCGTGCTCGCGTACGCGGGCTTCGAGACCCTGCTCGATCTCGAGGCGCTCGATTTGACGACGCGGCGCATCCTCCGGCGCGGGTCCTTTGATCTCCGGCTCCAGCTGGCGCTCGGCGCCTACGAGCGCAACCACGCGTTCCGGCGCGCGGCGATCGTCGCGAACCGCGAGGACCTGCTCGCGGCGCGGCGCGCGGGCCTGCTGCCCGAAAGGCTCGTGGTCTATTATTGGACGTCCCTGAGCGCCTCGCGCACGATGCCCAGCTGCGACGTGAACTACGACGGCGACGACCTGCGAGGCATCACGTTCAAGAGCCGGCGGCTGCCACGGACGCTCGCGCGGCGCGAGGCCGTCCGCGACGCGGACGCGTCGCAGTCGATCGCGTCGCTCGCGGCGTTCGAGCGCGAGCGCCTCGGCATGATCGCGCTCGGCTACGTGGTGGTCAACCTCGCGCCGCCCGCGGACGACCCCGCCGCCGCGCGGGCCTACCGCCGCCTGTTTCACTTTCTCAATCGGAGCAACGACACCTACGACGACAGCAAGCCGCGCGCGGCGGCCCCGGCGGACGCGGCGCTCCTCGTGCGCGCCATGGGCGGGCCGCTGGCGACGCCGCGGCGGCTCTGCGACGCCGCCGCGCGGCGCGCGAAGCCGTCAACTCTCGACCGCGCGTCCCTCGACCGCTGCATGCGCCGATCCGCGGCGCGGTCGGCCTTCGTCGACGTCGAAGCGCTCGAACGCCTCGTCGTCGCGCTCGCGTGGCGAATTTACCTCGACGCCGGCGTGAACGCCGTGTACCACGTCGGGCGCGCGGCGTTTGGCGAGCTTTGCGTTTCGGCGAATGTCGATAACGCGGACGCGGTCTGGGCCGAGGTCGTCGGCGGCCATCTGCTGCCGCTGAGCACGTGCTACGTTCCGCGCGACGCGCTGGGCACGCCGTCGTTTGAGAGCCTGGCGTGGCGCGACCCGGGAGACGTTCGCGTCGGTGACGTCGCGACCGTCAGGATCTACGACGAGCTGATCCCCTCCGTCTTGGGCTTCGCCGTGACTTCAAAGGCGCGCGGCGACGCGGTCGCGTCCTTCGCGTCGACCCTGGTGGGGGTGTCGCCGTGGTTCCTGAAAGTCTACCAGCCGCTGCACTGCGCCATCCTGGACGACCTCGCGGCGCGGCGCCCCGGCGAGGCCGACGGCGAGGCGGGCGCGGCGCGCGCCGCGGCCGCGCTCGCGAGCCTCCTGGAGGAGGAGCACGCCCCGCGGCCGCTCGCCGCGGGCGACGCCATCGAGGTCTACGACAAGACGGCCGACACGTGGCGGGCGGGCGCGCTCGTCGCGGCGTCGATCGACGATTCCGTCTCGCCGCAGCTCGTCGAGGGCGGCGCGGCGCTCTTCGGGAGCGCGGTGTCGGTCGTGGTCCAGCTCGACGGGACCCACGCGACGCGCGAGTGGAAGCGCTCGTTCGTGCGGCGTCCGCTCGTGGACGCGCTCGCCCTCCCGCGGGCGATCGTGGTCCTCGGCGACGCGCTCCGCGAGCACCGGAACGTCTTCGCGGCGAGGCTGCTGGCGTCGCCGCTGCTGGCCGACGCGCTCGCCTACCGCACTTCCGGCGACGGCAACTCGCCGCTCGACCACGCCATACAGGGCGGCAACGGGGTGGGCGTCCGCATGCTGCTGGCTCGCTACGGAAGGGGTCTCGACAGCATCGAGGCGTTCGTCAGTTCTCCTTCGAATGACGGAGAACAGCTGTGGCGCGCGAACCTGTCGCCGGCGCGCCGCGTGGACCTCTACTGCGCGATGGAGCCCCTGGATTTCAATCACGACGTTTTGCCCCCAGCTCCCTCTTCCGTCGCGGCGGCGGCCGCGCGAGGCGACTTTTTCTTTCCGCACAAGTTCGCTGCTACGGAGATGTCCCTCGTGTCACGATGCACCATCTTGTATGCCAGAATTCTTTGGAAAAAGTTCCGTGGCGTCGAGCTTGTTGATATTGTGGAAGTCGCGGAGGCCTCAGCATTGTCCGCGACTATCGACCGGAATTGGGGCTTTTCTTTGTTCTGGGCTTCAAGAATGGGAAATCTGAACATCGTGAAGTTTCTTGTTCAGAGGATTAACAAGGCGAGAGATGAGATGCGCGGCTATATCAACGACGCTTTGGTTATCGCGGTCCTCGAGAACCGCGCCGCGTGCCTCGAGGCCATCCTGCGAAAGGCGCACCTCTCGGAGATGCAGCGTTCAGTTCTCGTGCGGTCGGCGAGCGAGTTCGGCAACGTCGCGGCGCTCGACGCTCTGAGAAACGTAGGCGTCTCGCTCTATTACGAGCAGACTGCACTGCGCGCAAGCTCGCTCGGTGATGCTGTTCGATTGGGGCAGCCAGAATCGGTGCGGGCGCTCCTGCGCGACAAGGACTGTCTCGCGGCGCTCCGCGAGCATCGCTCCGACGCGCTGCACCTCGCGTGCAATTATGGCCACTTCGAGGTGCTGGGTGTGCTTCTCGAAGCCGGGGGCTTCCCCCTCGGCGCCGAGCACAGCTGGCGCCCGCAGCTGCATGGACGGATGGAGCCGCAAATAGTCGACGGCGAATCCCCTCTCTCGCTCGCGGCGGGGCAGGGGCGAAGCGAGTGCGTGGTCATGCTCCTCAACCTGGGCGCATGCGTCGACGGGATATCATCGAATGGTCGAACCGCGCTCCAGTCCGCCGTGATGGGCGGCTGGATCTCAATCGCGGAAATTCTCCTGGAAGCCGGCGCGTCCGTCGCCATGCGCGACTTAGGCGACTACCCGGGCTTCTCGGCCTTCCAGTACGCGCTGCGCACGTGCGACTCGGAACAGGAAAAAATGCTTCGCTTGCTCTTGCGAGAGCGCCCCGACGAGTGCGATCTCGAGGGCTCGCTCCGGCACCTCGTCGCGTCCCTTCCCGAGGCCGCGGCGGCCAAGCTGCTCATTTCACTCGGCGCCGATCCCAACGACGAGTCGTTGCACCTCGCGGTTTTCCACCTTGCTCTGCTCAACGACGAGGCGGCGCGGAAAAAGCTCGCGGAGCTGATCGGCATCCTCGTCTCAAGCGGCGCCAGCGCGGCCGCGCGGAGCACGCTCGCGTGCAATCCCCCGGAGCGCGATTCGGGACACGCCATCGCGCCGCCGGGCCTGACGCCGCGCGAGCTCGCAGAGTGCGGCCTGTCGCTCGAGGCGCGCGAGGCCGCAATTTCCGCGCTCGAGGACGCGCTCGCCAAGAAGCGGCGCTTCTAAGATTGCACCTTATCTCCTAAGCCGCCGGTCCCACGGGCTCCGCCGTTGCGAGCTCAGCCGCCGCCGGTCCCACGGGCTCCGCCGTTGCGAGCTCAGCCGCCGCCGGTTCCGCGGGCGGCTCCACCGCCGCCGTCGGTTCCGCTTCCGCCGCCTCCGCCGGCGGCGCCTCCCGCGCCGGCGGTGGCGGCAGGTCCAACCCCAGCGCCTCGAGCAGCGCCGCCATGACGCCGTCGACGCGCGCGCGGATGACCAACCCCGCCTTGTCGTCGTAGGGCGTCGGCTGCAGGTTCACGATGACGAAATTCTTCGACGTCAGCGGCAGCTCGCCCGCGGGCACGATGCGCAGCGACGTGCCCAGCGTGATCGCGAGGTCCGCGTCCTCGAAGTGCCGCGTCGCCGGGAGCCACTCCGAATCGGGCAGGCCGTCGTCCCAGTCCAGCACCGTGTCGAGCAGCCGCCCCCCGCAGGCGCACTGTCGCCCCGTGGGCTGGAAGGAGATGCCGCCCAGGTCGTAGTCCCGGAAGTACTCGCGGCCGCAGGTCTCGCACTTCTCCGTGAAGACGCAGCCGTGGAGCACGCCGAGCTTCTCGCGCGGGAAGCCGCTGCGCACGTGCAGCCCGTCGACGTTCTGCGTCGCCAGGTACGCAAACGTGTCGAGGCGGGACAGGGCCACGAGGGCCATGTGCGTCGGCGTCGGCACCGCGGACTCGAAGCTCGCGCCGGCCGTGCCCTCGTCCACCGTCTCGCGAAGCTTCCGCGGCGGCTTCCGCCGCTTCGTCCGCTTCTTCTCCTCGTCCTCCAGCGTCCAGATGCCCTTGGGGCCCCGGAAGTCGGGGATGCCCGCCGACGTCGAGATGCCCGCGCCCGTCAGGACGGCGATCTTCTTCGCGTTTTTCACCAGGTCGGCCAGCTTCGAGAGCTTCGACGTCAGCACGCGCTTGCTGTCCTCGGCCTCGGGCAGGCCCGTGACGCCCTTGTTCGCGTACTCGCTGAGGCGCGCCGCGTAGCCGCCCACCGTGTTCACGGGCGCGTCGGCCGCCGCGGGCGGCGGCGGCGCGGCCGCGGCGGCGTCGCGCGGGCGCTTCCGGTGCTTGCGGCACATCTCGCAGCTGACGCGCGACGCCTTCGTGTTGAGGAAGGTGCAGAATTCGCAGGTCCAGGCGCCGGTCGGAGGCTCGGGGACCTCGGCCATCTTGTTTGGTGTTGGTTTGGCAGTCTCAGACGCCGGGACCGAGCACCATCGGCGGCCCCAAGTGTGCTCGTTGCCACAAGTAGGGCCAGTTCGAGACACCGGGGGTCCGCGGCGCGACGCCATCGACGTCGTTTTTGCTCCGGAAAAGCACACCACCGTCGGAAGGGTCTCTATGAGGGACGCCTCGTTAGTTCAAACGTCCGAATCGGCGCCAATCTCGTCGCGGGACGACGTTTTACAGCCCGCACACACCAAAATACGCGCGTGATGGGCCACTGTCGCAGCGACTGGCGTCCCATTCGCTCCAGTCTTCGCGGATTTCGGCGCCAGGGGGCTCGAGGGGAGCCGTGGGCGTCCCCAATTGGTCGCCATCGCCCTCGTCGTGGCTGTTGAGCTCCGTGAGGCGCTGCACGCGGTTCGTCGGGCACGTAGACGATGGTCTGCGGGCGTTTCCGGAGGATTTCTGGCCGCATGGGTCCCTCTCGCTGCGGCTGCCGGTCTGCAGCGGTCCGTAGACGTCCTCCGAGGGACTGGGGGCCGTCGGGCATGTTCTGCCGGCCTGTAGCGGCTCCCGAACCTCCGAAACACGACCAAACGGTACCACTCGGAGTGCGCGGACGAGCGCCTGCAGCACGAAATCGGCGTCCAGGCCGCCGAGACTCGTCTCCAGCGACTCCGTCTGCGTGCGTGTAGCGGCCGCCGTCGCCCCGGGCATCGCTCTCGCCCTTGTCGGCCGCGGTGCGCCTCGCAGGCGTCGAAAAAGTCGACCTCGAACCCCAGCAGGTCGACGCTCCACAGCACCTGGTCGAGGCTCTTTGCGCGGCCGGTCGCTGCGTGTGCGCGCTCCATCGGTCTGCGCGACTCAGCACGGCGTGCCCGAGCGTCGAGGGCTCGGAAAGAGGGCGCCTCGGCAGATTCGCGGGCTGCCCATCAATCGGCGCACCTAAACTTCAAGTAACACTTCAATATCATATGTTGCATTTATCAACAAAATCGGCGCCGCCGATGACCGCTGCTGCCCGCGCCTCTGCTCACGTCGCTGCCAAGCGTGACAGGTAGATAAACGCGCCGGCGGCTGGTGCACACGCAGCGGCTGCTCGTCCTCAGCTTCGTCGTGAGCTCCTTGGGGCTGCTGGAATATCAGCGTTTGATCACTGTTTATCGCATTCCCTGGCTCAAAATGACGCATGGAGCGCCTCTAGCCGCCGCGCCGCCGCAGCGGTAGAGTCATCGCACCTCGGGACGACAGATAGACACTCGTTGGGCGTCGCCGCCGCGCCCCACGACGGACTCGGAGGCGCAGAGCATTTGGCGCGAGCGCACGGCGCAGGGCTGGCCGTGACCGCCTGCACCGCGGTGGCGTTGCTCGTCGCTGCAGAGCGACCTCGAGCCGCGCAGGCATGTCTGGGTGCGCGCTCGGGCCTTTGGGCTACGTCGACAGCACCGTAGGCGGCCGTTTCAGCGCCTGGACAGCACGTCGACGTGCTCTCGACGCCCAGCCCCGAGCCTCCAACGCGCCCCGCAGCGCGTGCCCCGTGGCCACGTGCCAGACCGTGCGGTTCTGGATGCCCGAGGCAGACACTAAGGAAGCTAACGCAGGCCCTACGACGCCCCTGGCGCGGTAGCACGACGTGCACCCGTCGTACTAGGCGTGTGCAAGGCGAGTACTAGTCTGAGGGCGCCCCTGAATGGACGCCTAGGAGCTCGAAAGGACTCGTTTCGAGCGCTCTCAGCGGCTGAGATCGATAGGGCATCTCTCACGGCCACTCTGACCACGGCGCGCGCGTCGTCGTCATCATCATCGGCGGCGGCGGCGGCGGCGGCGGCGGCGGCGGCGGCGGCGGCGTCGTCGTCGTCGTCGTCGTCGTCGCGCGCGCGTGGGGGGAGTTAGGCGTCGGGGATCGCGGTGTCCATCATGGAGATGGCCTCGGACCACCGTAGTGGTCCTGAGGACGCCCAGGAGCGCCGGCGCGACCGCTTGTTCCTCGAGCTCGATTCTCGGATTCGATGTGCGGTCCTTCGACCGATTGTCGTCGTCGGCTGCGAGGCTGCGCTGGCCCAGGCGCGGGTCCCGGGTGGGGCTCGGGCTCGGGAAGGTCTCCGCGACTCCCGAGCACCTCAGGCGCCCGCACGCCGACCCACGCGCTCGCGCCGCGTTCAGCGTCGAAATCGCAACCGTCGCGCCGCTCGCGGCCCCCAGAGGACGCAGTGATCGCTCGCCCGAGGTCGTAGGACACCATGGAGGCGCGCGAGGCCGTGGAAGCGGTGGCTCGGGCCGCGTAGGGCGCTCGGGGCGGCGGCCGAGCGCTCACGCACAGACGCCGGCGCACAAATATTTGTGCGCCGCGGGTTCAACCAAACCTGCGATCTTTTGTCCGGTTACCCTAGCTAAGCTATTCGAGCCGGCCCTACCACAAGCTTTGGCCTCATGAGGCCTCAGCCAGCGACGACGATGATGACGAGGCCTGCGATCGCACGCGCCATGCGCGCCACCGCAGCGACCCGCCGCCTCTCCGGCGACACGACCCACTTCGGCGAGAAGACCGTGCCAAAAGAGGCCAAGGAGGGCCTCGTGCGCGGCGTTTTTAGTTCCGTCGCGTCGAACTACGACGTCATGAACGACTTCATGTCCGGCGGGCTGCACCGCTTCTGGAAGGACGACTTCGTGGGGCGGCTCGGCCTCGGCGCCGTCGCGCGGGCCTCCGGCGAGGCGCCGCGGTGCCTCGACGTCGCCGGCGGCACGGGCGACGTCGCGTTCCGCGTCGCCGAGGAACTTTCCGCGTGGCTGCCGCCGCTCGCCGGCGGCGCGCCGCCGCCGCTCGTCGTGTCGGATCCTAACTCGGAGATGCTCGCCGTGGGCCGCCAGCGCGCGGCGGAGCGGGGCATCGCCGAGGCGTGCATGGTCTTCGAGGAGGGCAACGCGCAGTCCTTGCCGTACGCCGACGACAGCTTCGACTTCGTGACCATCAGCTTCGGCCTGCGCAACGTCACGGACATCGACGCGGCCCTCGTGGAGATGCGCCGCGTGCTCAAGCCCGGGGGCCGCTTCGAGTGCCTCGAGTTTTCCCGGGTCCAGCACTCGTCGCTCCGGGCCGTCTACGATCTCTACAGCCGCGTCGTCATCCCCGAGCTCGGCCACCGCGTCGCCGACGACCGCGCGTCCTACGAGTACCTCGTCGAGTCCATCCGCAAGCACCCGGCCCAGCTCGAGCTGCTGAGCCGCGTCGCCGCGGCGGGCTTCACGTCCGCGGCGGTCCGCGACATGACGTTCGGCGTCGTCGCGGTCCACAGCGGCTACAAGCTGTAATGGCTTAGTAGCTCGTCGCGACGGGCGGCTTCGCGAGGGCCCGGACGCCGCGGACGGTCGTCGCGAGCTCGAAGGGCGGCGCCCACTTGAGCGCGTGGGCCGGGAGCGCGTACTGCTCGAGGACGACGACGAGCCGCGTTTGCGGCTCGCCGAAGCCGTCCTCGTCGGCGGGTCCACTGGCCGGGGGCGGGGTCCGGTGGAAGGCCGTCGGGAAGGTCAGGATCCCGTTCGCGGCCGGCGTCGCGCGGCCGAGCTCCGCGGCCGTCGCGACGCCGTCGCGCCGCATGACGGCCGCGCGGCGCCGCGCGGCGCCGTCGACCTCCCAGGCGCCGGGGCCCTCGGCCTCGGCGCTCAGCGCCGCGAGCGCCTCGAGCGCCGCGGGCTTGTCCGACGCGTGCTGCCTCGACCACGCCTCGTCGAAGCGCGCGACCTCGACGTCGCCGCCGCCGGCGTCGACGTAGTAGGCGCTCGTCGCCAGGGCCGCGTAGCGCGTGTCCATCCTCGTCGTCGCCGCCTCGTCGAAGTGCCAGGACGTCGCCGCAAAGTCGCTTCGGAGCACGTGCAGGCGGAACGCGTTCGCCGCCGGCAGCCGCGCCGCCCTCAACACGGGCGCGAAGCACGCCGTCGCCGCGTGGGCGCGGAACGCGGCCTCGTCGCTGAAGAGCGCGACGACGCGGGCCTGTTTTCGCGTCGCGGCGTCGGCGCAGGACGCCAGCGAGTGCGCGACGGCGGGGCCGAAGACGTCGGCGCGCGCGTCGAGGAGAGGCAAATCCGCGGCCTCCGCGGGCCGCACGAGGGGCGCGTAGCGGGCGTAGAACTTGCGCAGCGTGCGCACGGCGACGGCGGCGATGCAGAGCACGAAGACCATCTCCTTGATCGTCTGCGTCGCCCACTTCTTCCGCGACAGGTGGTGCTTCTGCTTCGCGACCTCCACGGCCTGCGCCTGGGCCTTCTGCTTCGCCTGCTTCTCGCGCTTCTCCGCGCCCTTGCGCTGCTTCTGGCCCATGGTTGCGTTGCGGCGCGGTGCGCGGCGTGCGCTGCCGGTGTCGACGGCGCGCGCAGCGATGCGCGGCGTGCGCTGCCGGTGTCGGCGCGCGGCGCGCGCAGCGACGCGTGCGGTGTTCGCGCGCGAGCGTGCACGCTTTTGCGACGCGAGCACTGTCGGCTCGCGGACGCGATGCGCGTGTGCGGCGACGGCGCGCGGTGGCGCTAGCAGCGTGCCAAGTGGATCGAGCCGCTCGCCGATCCAGCGCCACTTCCAGCGACTCCAGCGCCAGTCCAGCGCCTCGCACCGACGAGCTCCGCCGTAGGCCTCGCCGTGACGCGCGTGGCTTAGGAAGCTACCTCCACGCACGTCGCCCGGAGTCCCCGGGGCGCCGCGTCGCAGACGTCGCCGCGGGACGCGTTCGCGAGGAAGAGCGCGCCGGCGGCCCGGAGCGCGCGGCACTTGGCGCGCCAGCCCTCGTGGTGGTTCGCGTGGTAGAAGAGCGCGCCGCTGCCGTTGAGCCGGTCGTTGGCGAAGAGGGCGTCGGGCACGATGGTCAGCGGCCGCGGCGCGTCGAAGACGCCGTCGCCGTCGCCGTCGCGCGCGTACGCGCAGCGGAAGCCCTTGTGCTCGTACATGGCGTCCTTGAGCGCCGCGACGAGGAAGGGCTGGTTCTCCGTCTTGTTCGACCCCGAGGGCCGCCCCTGCGTGGGCTTGTGGACGTTCGGGGACACCATGTTCGCGCACGCGCCGAACCAGTCGCGGAGCGCCCGCCGCGCGTTCCCGTCGGCCGACGCGTAGATGAAGCCGCCGTTGACCTGGTTCGGGCAGGCGTGGGACGGCGCGTTGTGCGTGAGGAGCATGGCCGGCGACACGTTGAAGCTCCGGTCGACCCAGCCTAGGACGTCGCCGCGCCAGGCGACGTCCGCGTCGTGCGTCAAAGCTTCGCGGCCGAGCTGCGCGACCGCGTAGGGCATCCAGGCCTTGAGCGCCGAGAAGCGCGCGTACACGTCCCGCGTCGACGGGCCCGCGGCGTCCTCGACGGCGCCGGGGGCCGCGCGCCGCGCGCCCGCGCCCGCGGCGAACCACCCGGCCGCGTCGATCGTGACGACCCGCGGCCAGCTCCGGGCGAGCGCGGCGGCGGCGCAGGCGTCGGCGGTCCAGACGACGACGTGGTCGAGGCGCCGCGGGCTCGCCGCGCGCACGCTGCAGAGCCAGTTGCCCAGCAGGCCGCGCGCCGCGCACGACGATAGGACGTGGACCGACGGCGCGGCCGCGCGCCGCAGCGCGGCCTCGAGCCGCTGCCAGAGCCGGTGCTCGTAGACGGCGGCCACGAGGGCGCCGCAGAGGGCGCGCGAGCTGTTCGGCGGACTCACGAAGCGGTAGCAGTTCGGCCGCTGGTTCCGCCCGACGCCGTGCATCTTCGCGTAGCAGGACTCGTGGCGCCGGCCGCCGCGCACGCCGCGCTCGACGAGCTGCTGGAGCTCCGGCTCCTTGGGGGCGCGGGCCGGCAGCCAGCCGCGATTCGCGTGCTTCTTGTGCCTCGCGTGCGTGATCGTGCAGAGCAATAACAAGGCTCTCATGCCATCGTCAATAAGTGGGCTGCGCATGTTGTAGGGAATCATCACTGTAATTTGGTCCGGTCGCGAAATTATACTGTGAATGAACGGTTTGAGCGGACCAAGATTGAGCGGACCGTATAAGATTAACTGCGAGCCATCCAATCGTGAACGGTCGGACCAAATTGCATCGGCGGACCAAATTACAGTGATGATTCCCTACTTCTAATACTTCAATAAATTTTACGCGCTCGCCTCGCGCCACGCGTCGGCGAGGGCGAGGTGCTCCGTCGTCGCGCTCGAGGCCGCGGCGCCGCCGCCGGGCGGCTCGTCGTTGCGCTCGAGGACGACGAGCGTCCGCGCGTAGCCGCCGGCCATGCCCTGGCTCGCGGCGGCGACGACGCCGAGGCCCGGCGGCCGCGGGAGCGCCGCCGCGACGCCCGCGGCGGCGTCGCGCGGCGTCGCGACCCAGAAGACGAGGCGGCCCCGCGGGCGGAGGCGCGTTTCCGCGAGCGCGAGTAGATGGGGCAGCCAGTCGAGGTCCTCGGCGCCGCGCGCGCCGACGCGCTCCCGCTTGCCGTAGGGCGGGTCCGTCACGATCGCGTCGAAGAAGCGGGGCGCCGCCGCGCCGCCGACGTCGTCGAAGTAGTAGCGCTCGTCGTCGAGACGCTCGTCCAAATCCGCGACGTCGCTGACGACCAGGCGCGGCGCCGGCAGGCCGCGGTCGGCGAAGTTGCCGGCGATGGAGCAGACGCGGTCCGAGACCTCGCCGCGCCGCGGCTCGCGCCGGCCGTCCTTGGCGAGCTGCGACGCCAGAGCGTGCCGGAGCCGGTCGTTCTCCCGCAGCGGCAGCCGCCCGCTGGCCTCGTCCCAGTGCGACGTGCCCCGGAGCAGCACCCGAGCGTCGCAGTCCGCGCCGAAACCGCGGGCGCCGCCGTAGGCCGCGCACGCCAATAAGCAGCCGCCCGTGCCGCAGAAGGGGTCCAGCACGGCGTCGCCCTCTCGCACGTTCGCCAGCCGCGCCATGATGAAAGCGAGCTCCGCGTCCATCGTCGTCGAGCCCCGGTACCGTCTGTCCGCCACCCGGAAGCCCTCGAGCCGCGCGGACGCGGACCCCTCGGCGACGACGCGGCCGACGTCGCAGGAGGGTTCGTCGGCGTCGTAGACGACGGCGACGTCGTGGGCCGCGGCGGCGCTCAGGTCCACGGGGCCCGGGAGCGCGTCGAGGGTCGGACCGAGCGCGGCGAAGAGCTTCGGCGACCGCGCGCCGCGGAGGCCCGTGTGGCCCCGGCCCGCGCCGAGGTGCATGACGCGCAGGCGCCAGGAGTCCGGGTTTGTCGTCAAAGAGGAGGGCGGCGCCGTGCATCGCGCCGCGGCCTCGTCGAGCGTCGCGGCCGACGCCCAGCGCTCGAGCACGAAGCGCACGAGGATCGATCGCTCCGCGAGCTTTTTTGCTGCTGCTTCGTCGTGTAGGTTTACGTGGCGTATGCGGCCGGTTTTGGTCTCGTCCGTGCCGAGACCTTGCAGCGCGCAGCTGAACTCGTGGTCTCTAAACTTGTGCTGCGTATCGCGTAGGACGACTGTGTATTTTGGCGTTGTGAGCGCAAGTGCTTGCGCGATGAGATAGATGATTGGTAACTTCATTTTTGGCAGCACCGGCGGCGTTTTAGGCTGCGCTAGACTAGCGCTGCGCCTCGGGGGGAGCAGCCATACGCTCTCCCACTTTCGCCGGGGGTCCTGCTCGCCGGGGGTGCTCTCGCAAAAAGGCGAGCTCCTCAGCTCGACGACTTTGAGCGAGCTCTAAGGTGCGCGATGGACGCCCAATCCCGCCGCGCAGACGCCCCTCTGCCGAATCGCCGCCGCCGCCGAGGTCGTCAGCAGTTGCCCGCACCGCCTGACGAAGCGCTGGACGCGAAGGGCCCTCGCGAGGGGCCCTCGCGCTGACGCAATCGCTGAGCTGTGCGGCGGCGCGGCGACGACCGGGCGACGGCCGGACGGCGGCGCGGGGGGCGCCGAGCGGCCCCGCCCCGCCCCGTTCCGACCCCCGTGACGCGCGCGACACGACCCGCCGCCGCTCCCGGGCGATACCTTCGCCGACCGCCGACCGCGCCGCCCCCCTCCGCAGGAACCATGCCGCCCAAGGTGCAGCAGAAGAGTAAGGAGGCCAAGATGGCCGCGGCCATGGCCGGCGGCAAGTCGAAGAAGAAGAAGTGGTCCAAGGGCAAGGTCCGCGAGAAGATGGCAAACAAGGTCCTCTTCGACGAGGACACGTACGCGCGCCTCCTCGCCGAGATCCCGAAGATGAAGCTCATCACGCCCAGCGCCCTCGTCGAGCGCCTCAAGGTCAACGGCGCCCTCGCGCGCGCGGCCATCAAGGAGCTCCAGGAGAAGGGCCTCATCAAGCAGGTCTCCTACCACCACACGCAGTGGATCTTCACGCGCGACGTCGGCTCCGACTAGGCAGCGCGCCGCCTCGAAGCCCGCCGTGCTAAACTCGACCATCTCGACTTATACGTGTGTGCCTGGGGGGTTTCGGTTCTCGGAGTTGCGGGCGCCCGGCGGCCGGGCTGGGACCCGAGAAGTGATCCGAGTCGCGCCCCGCGAGGCAGGATGTCACCGGCGTCGCGGGCGGACAGAATCGACGCACGTGGCGGCGCCGCGCGAGCCAGACACGTTGCCCCGTGCGCGTGGGCGGGCGGACTCGTGGCGGCGCGAGGCGACGAGCCGCTTCAACACCTCGCCCAGATACTTCAACTTCCCGAGCAACGACGGCGCTAGCGCTACGAGGTGGAAGAACGATGAGCAGCCCCAACCGCGGGTCCTGGAAGGGCGCGCGCGTCTCCGCGCGCCTCGCGGCGCGCCAGAGCATGAAGGTGAAGAAGTGGCCCGACTCGCTGCCGGTGGAGATGGCCCGCGTCGGCCTCGACCTCTGCGCGCCCTTTAGCACGAAATGGTACAACGACGCGATCGCCGAGGAGCACCTCAAGATGGCGCCCATCCCGAACTTCGGGCGCAAGGAGCAGGGCGCGCTGGCTTATGTTGTTGGTGGCACGCGGGGCTTCTGGCAGCGGTTCCTGCGGCACTATAATCCGAAATCCGCGTTCGTCGACCGGCCGGGCAACGCGTGCGGTTTGACGGCCTTCGACGCCTTCGTCGAGGAGATGATTATCGAGGGCCTCGACCGGGCGCAGCCGCCGCCGCACGTGAAGCAGCACGTCTACGTGGCGCGGCCGCTCGACGCGGACAAGGACCGCGTCCAGCTTCAGCGGTGCGCGGGCCTCGCGGGCCTGTGCGACATCGACCCGCTCACGGGCCTCGCGGTCCACCCGACCTACGGCGCCTGGGTGTCGCTGCGCGCCGTCGTCGTCTTCGATCTGGACGGGCCGGAGCACCGGCCGCGGCCCTGCACGGCGACGCTCGCGGACGAGGACCTCGACAAGGCGAAGGGCTACCTCGAGAAGTACGAGGAGCAGGGCGCGACGGACTACGAGGACTGGCACAAGGTGCGCTGCTGCTTGCAGCGCGGCGAGGACCACGCCTTCACGGACAGCCAGCTCCTCTACTACTTCGTCGGCGACGACCCGGACCGGTCCAAGTCGCTCACGAAGGCGCTGCGCTTCCAGATCACGTAAGACTCGCCGCGTCGCTTCCAGATCACGTAAGCCTAGCGCGACGCGAGCTCGCGCTCGAAGCGGATCTTGTCCGCGTTCGCGCGCGCGAGCTGCTTCTTCAAAGCGAAGCGCTTCGCCTGGCTCAGCGCGCCGTCCTGGTGGCGGAGCATGGAGTTGAGGTCGTTGACCTTGGACTGGAGCACGAGCAGGGCCTCCTGGTCCGCGGCGTCGCGCGCGGCCCGCGGCTTGGGCAGGGGCTTCCGGAGGCGGCGCGCGGCGTTCGGCGACGGGTCCCCCAGACCCAGGTTGTGGTCCGAGCCGCCGAGGCGCGGCGAGACCCGGGGGATGGGCTTGGCGAAGGGCGCGGACGGGCCCAGGTCCAGGTTCCGCCGCGGCGGCCGCTGGGCCTTGTCGCGCGGGTCCGGGCCTGGGCAGGACAAGAGTGCGAAATTCCCAACTTCAAAGGCTCCGATCTCGGCCGATTTCCACTCGTTTCGGCTGATTTTTGGACGAGCGATCATCTCTCGGAACGGTCTCGACGCGTGGATGCTTTTTCTAGAACGCGCGCGCGCGGAACACTCACGTTGAAGCGATGTTGAATCACCCTTGTCCTGCCCTGGTCCGGGCTCCAGGCCATCGCGCGGTCGCGGAACTCGCGCTTCGCGGTGGAGATGTTCACGGGCCGCCCGAGCACGGGCTGCGTCTCGTCGTCGGCCTCGCCCTCCCAGGCGCCGACGACGACGTCGCCCCGCGCGCCGCCGCCCAGATCCAGCGGGCTCGGCGGCGCGTTCAGATCCCGGCCGCGCGGGCTGCCGTACTTCAAGACCGCCGGCGCGACGCGCGCGTCGCCGAAGTCCGGGCTCCAGGCCATGTCGCGGTTCGGCACGAGGCCCCGGAGCCGCGACCCGAAGGAGCTCCCCGGCGGCGGCGGCGGCGAGTCGAGCGGCGGCGGCGGCGAGTCCAAGGGCGGCGGCGGCGAGTCCAAGGGCGGCGGCGGCGTGTCCGGCTCGCCCACGGGGCACTTGAGCCGGGCGACGCGCGGGTGCCGCACGTGCTCGACGACGTCGGACGACCCGGGCCGGCTCCGCTGCGCCGGCGGCGACCCCGGCGGCCTGTCGTCGACGAGCGCGCGGGGGCTGTGGCCCTCGTGGAGCCGCGGGCTCCGCGTGTCGTAGGCGTCGCGCCAGCGCGGCGACGCCTCCGGGCCGAGGGGGTCCTTGGGCTGGCCCCGGCGGCCGCGGCCCGACGGCTCCAAGGGCGACGGCGCGCGGTCGCCGACGTTCGCCGGCAGGCGGTCGCGGAGCTTCGCGAGGACCTTGGGCGTGTCCCGCGGGAGGTCCGCGGCCCTGACGCTCCGCTGCGGGTTGCCGTGGAGCACGAGCGTGCGCAGCTCGGGGCAGAGGCCGAGCTCCGGGGGCACGTTGCGGATCGAATTGTTCGCCAGGTCCAGCACCTGGGCAGCACAAGGGTGATTCAACGTCGCTTCAACGTGAGTGTTCCGCGCGCGCGCGTCCCGGAAAAAGCATTCACGCGTCGAGACCGTTCCAAGAGATGATCGCTCGTCCAAAAGTCAGCCGAAACGAGTGGAAATCGGCCGAGATATGAGCCTTTGAAGTTGGGAATTTCGCTCTCTTGTCCTGCCCTGTCCAGCACCCGGAGCCGCGGCGCCGCGTGGACGTCGCCCAGGGACGTGAGGCGGTTGTCCGCGACGTCCAGCGTCTCCAGGCTCACGAGCGCGCCCCAGCCTCTTTGCAAGTCGCCCGCGATGGCGTTCCGCGGCAGGCGGAGGCTCCGCAGCGCGACGCACGCGAAGACGGACCGCGGCACGGCCCGCAGCCGGTTCGACGACGCGTCGAGCTCCGTGAGGTGCGCGCCCAGCGGCGACACGGCGTCCAGGAATTCGTCGCGGTCGATGGCGTTCTCGCGGCAGTCCAGCCGCTTCAGGGGCACGCGCGCGAGCGCCGCGAGGGGCAGCGCCGAGAGCTTGTTGCGGCAGAGCTTGAGCTCCGACAGCGCGGGCCCCAGCTCCAAGAGCACCGCGGCCTCGGGCGGCTGCGCGAGGTCGTTGTTGCTCGCGTCGACGACCTGGACCTTGGCCACCAAGGCCCGTTTCCGCGGGTCCGCGACGTACTCGTCGAGGCCGTCGTCCGCCGCCAGGTCGTCGCGGATCGTCCGCGCGTCGTCGCGGCTCAGCGGGCAGCGCTCGAGCTTGCGGCCCTTGAGGTCGAGCACGCCGCGCGACTCGGGGTCGCGGACGCCGTTCGCGAGAAAACGCAAATCGAGGCGGTCGTCGCCCGACGACGACGGCCGCGCGAGCTCCGCCTCCTCGGGGAGCAGCGACGGGCCCCGGGTCCGTAGATAGGCCTTGAGCCGGTCGCAGCCCTGCGTCAGCAGGTCGCGCCGCAGCGTCCGCAGCGGGTTGCCCTCCAGCGACAACCGATGGAGCTTCGGCAGGTAGCCCAGCGCCGCGGGCACCTCCCCCAGGTCGTTGTTCGACGCGTCGATGGACTGCAGCCCGCCGCAGGCGCCGAGCGCCGGCGGGAGGTGGCGGAGCCGGTTCGCGCCGAGGTCGACGTGCGCGAGCGCGTCCGACGGCTTTTCCAGCGCCACGTCGCCCAAACCGTTGTGCCCCAGAAAGACGTGGCTCAGGTTCGGGAGGTCGGGGATGGCGTAGGTCGCCATGCCGTTGCTCCGCAGGTCCAGGTACGTGAGCCAGCGGCAGTGGCGCACGTCGACGCCCTCGGAGAGCCGGTTCTTGGACAGGCAGAGCGTCCTAGCCTCCTCCGGGAGCCGGTCCACAACTGTCAAACCGCAGTTCTCCGCGTCGACCTTCTGGAGCCGCTCCGGCAGCCGCGGGAGGCACTTGAGGTCGACGTTGCCGCCCACGTCCAGCGCCTCCAGCGCCGCGAGACCGAGGACGCCCGCGTCGAGCGCCTGCAGCCGATTCCGCGGCGCGAGGAGCGTCTTCAGGGACGCGCCGCAGCCCTGGAAGCCGGGGAGGTGCCGGATCTGGTTGTCGCCGCAGTCGAGCACCTCCAGATTCGGCAGGTCGGCGAAGATGCCCTCGGGCAGCGCGCAGAGCCGGTTCTTGCCCACGCGCAGCTGGCGCAGCGTGCCCACGGACCGCCAGTCGCCCGGCAGCTCGTCGAAGAGGTTGCCCGTGGCGTCGAGGCTCCGCAGCTCCACGATCTCCCAGAACTTCTCGTCGGGATCCAGGTCCTCGGGCGTCGGCGCGTAGGCCTCGACGGGCAGCGCCCGCAGGCGCCGGTCGCTCAGCTCGAGGAAGCCCGACGCCCGCGCCCGCCGCAGCACGACGCCCAGCGACTGGGACGTCTTCGCGAACATGACGTTGGTATCCGTGTTCTGGTGGGCATGCTGCTGGAAGACGGGGTTGGCCTGCCGCCTTGCCATTGCGACAACCGCGGCGGGCAGCGCAAGCGGGGCAGCGGTGATACTGCCGCGGATTTGACCTCTCTCTCTCTCTCTCCTCCAGTTTTGCACGCGATCATCAGCCGCAGCCAACTTCGAGGTGAGAGGGTGGCCTCGTCTTTCGCCGGTCGCTGTGGCCCCGACAGCGCCGGCTTCCCTCCCACCCGTCGCAACACGCCCAGCCATCGACGGCAAAGTCGACGCCGGGCGCTGAAGCGTCGTCGCGTCCCGTGGTTCGCGCCCGGGACGACGCGCTCCAAAATCCCGCCATCGCGCGATCCAATGCGTGCGCGCGCAGTAACGCTCACGCAACAACCTCCCAGGTACATCATGAAGCTCATCCTCGCCCTCGCCGCCAGCAGCGTCACCGCCTACGTCGCGCCCGTCGCGCCGCGCGCGGCGACGCGCGTGTCCGAGACCAAGGCGGACCTCGAAGCGCTCGCGACGAACCTCAACCCCATCGTCGGCTACTGGGACCCGCTCAACGTCGCGGACACGGTCGACGGCGCGTTCTACGGCTTCGACAACGCGGGCGCCATCGCCTGGTGGCGGCAGGCGGAGATCAAGCACGGCCGCGTCGCGATGGCCGCGTTCGTCGGCTACTGCGTGCAGGCCAACGGCTACCACTGGGGCACGAAGATGACCCTCGGCGGCGCGGACTGGCCCACGGGCAGCCCGGCCGAGCAGTGGGACGCGCTCCCCGCCGCGTCCAAGTGGCAGATCATCCTCTTCGTCGGCATCATGGAGCTCTTCGCGGAATCCGTGCCGCCGCACTACATGAAGGGCGGCCAGCCGGGCAAGTTCCCGTCCTTCGCCGAGGCCTACAAGGAGGGCCGCGGCTTCCCCCACCCCGTGCCCTTCGACCTCTACGACCCCTTCGGGTTCTCGAAGAACCGGTCGCCCGAGGCCAAGGCCCGCGGCCTCCTCGTCGAGATCAACAACGGCCGCGCGGCCATGCTCGGCATCTTCGGCTTCCTCGCCGAGTCCAAGGTGTCCGGCTCCGTGCCCGTCCTCACGGGCCTCGGCATCCCCCACTACGACGGCGACTACATGGCGCCCTTCGCCGCCAACTTCCACATCGGCGCCTAGGCGCGCGCGGATGTGCGTCGCTGCGCTCCCGGGCGGGGACGGCTGCGCGACCCCCGCACATAAAAAAACAACTCGATGTCGCGACCCGGCCCGAGTTCCTAGTACGGTACCTTTATCGCCCGTAGAGCGGCTTGTAGGCCGCGGGGAGGTACTCGGACTCGCCGCCGGCGCCCGTCTCCAAGACGAGCACCTCAAGCATTCCCGCCTTGTCGACCTCCGCGACGTCGGCCGGGTCGTAGAGCGCGTCGGCGAGCGCGACGGTGAGCGTGTCCCCGGCTTCTGGCTCATCCAGCGGCGGCGCGCCTTCCACCACGACGTGCACGACGTGCGACCCGGCGCCGAGCGCGTCCGGCGGGTCGTCGGCGAGCGCCTCGACGACGCGCGCGAGCGCCGGCCCGCAGTCGTAGGACGCGTCGCCGTGCCAGACGCGGAGCTCGCTCGGCAAGTTCGCCCCCACCCCGAGCCACGTGTGCGCGCGCGGTAGCGTCCGCATGCCCCGGTTCCGCCACGATGCGCCGCCCGCGTCGACGGCGAGGTCCACGGCGGGCATGACGTGGCGGAGCGTGCCGCCGCGCACGTGGACGCCCAGGCAGAGCCGCGCGGCCGGCGGCGGGAGGTCCGGCGCGAGCCACAGGTCGTCGCAGCTGCTCGGGTTCACCCAGCCCTCCGCCCTTTCGGCGTCGTCGACGCCGTCGGGCACCTTGGCGAAGCCGTCGCCGTCGAGGACCCAGGTCGGCCAGTCGCTCACCATGCCCGCCGGCAGCATGTCCGCGCGGCTGCTCACGCCGTCGAGGAGCCGCAGGAAGGGCCGCGGCTCCGACGGCGCCGTGCCCACGACGTCCGCGCCCGGCGGCGGCGTGCTCGGCGGCGTCGCCCACAGCGCGGTTGCGCACGGCGTACGTGGCGGCGTCGCCGACAGCGCGTTGGCGCTTACAGCGAGCAGCAGCAGCGATGACATGGCGACCATCGTGCCAGGGTCAAGCAGAGTCAGACTTCACCTTGCAGGAAACGAGCCGCTCCAGGGCACGCGCGAGACAAACACCAACCTCCATGGCACCCCTTACGAGACGGCGGGTTTTGCCCGCTCCCCCCTGGTCGCCGGGTCAGCCCCCCTTGATGAGGTCCGCGGCCTTCTCCGCGAGCGCGACGGTCGACGCGGCCGTCTGGCCGCCCGGCAGCGTCGGCATCACCGACGCGTCCACCACCCGCAGGTTCGAGACGCCGATGACCTTGAGGTGGTTGTCGACGACGGCGAGGGCGTCGCTGGACTCGCCCATCTTGCAGGTCCCGACGACCGCGTTCGCGGTATGAGCGGTGTTCCGCACGTAGGCCGCCAGTTGGCGCTCGTCCGCGACGTCCTCCCCCGGGAACTCCTCGTGTCCCGCGTAGGCGCTCAACGGCGCCCGGCTCGCGATGGACCGCGCCTTCTGGAGCGCCTTGACCATGGTCATGACGTCGGCCTCGTCGGAGAGGTACGCGTTCTCGATGACGGGCTTCGCCGCCGGGTCCCGGGACGCGAGTTTCACCTCGCCCGCGCGGCTCTTGGGCCGGGCGACGATGGTCTGGATCGTCAAGCCGTCGGGGTGGTCCACGGCGGCCTCGTAGGAGTCGGAGATGGTAGACATGCCGTCGGGCGTGATCGACTTCGTCGCGAGGAACCGGAACTGGACGTCGCAGTCGCCGTCGCCGGCGCCGACCTTGGCGAAGCCGCCGTGGTCGCAGCCCGGCGAGGCCAAGGGGCCCCGGCCGAGGAAGAGCCACTGGAGGAGCGCCTTGGGCGAGGTCTTCGTCGTCCCGGGGATCCGGAGCTGCGTCGAGTGGCTCTTGCCCTGGGCCTTGGCCGACCCGCGCCAGGACACGAGGCAGGCCGGGTGGTCCTGCAAATTCTTGCCCACGCCCGGCCGGTCCGCGACGACGGGGATGCCGAACTCCTCGAGCTGCGCTTTCGCGCCGACGCCGGAGAGCATGAGCATCTGCGGCGAGTGGACCGCGCCGCCGGAGAGGATCACCTCGCCGCCGCAGGCGATGCCCGAGACGCCGCCGAAGGCGAACTCGACGCCCGTGGCCTTGTTCGCGTTCCACGTGACGCCGGAGAGCGCCGCGCCGCGGACCACGTCCAAGTTCGCGCGCCGCCGGACCTTCCGCGGGAGGTAGGCCGTCGCCGCGTCCACCCTTGCCCCCTTGCGCTGGCTCACGGCGAAGCGGCCGAAGCCGACCTGGGACGTGGACCAGTCGTTGAAGTCGCCGTTGCGCACGCCGCCGTCCTCGACGGCGGCCTCGACGAACGCCGTCGACATCTCGTTCGTGTAGGGCACGTGGCTCGACGCGTAGGGCCCGCCGACGCCGTGGTAGTGGTTCGCTCGGTGCGCCGGCACGAGGCAGTCCTCGGCCTTCTTGAAGTAGCCGAGCATCTCTTCCGCCCCCCACGAGTCGTCGCCGCACGCGGCCGCCCACGCGTCGTAGTCGTTGGCCGAGCCCCGGTTGTAGAGCATGACGTTCGTCAGGGAGCTGCCGCCCAGGCCCTTGCCCCGGCAGACGTAGAGGCTCCGGTCCGCGACGGCCTCGGACGGCCTCGTCGCGAAGTTCCAATCGTACGCGGACTTGAAGAGCTTGAGGATGGCCACGGGGATCTTCACGAGCGGCGAGTTCGGGCCCCGGTCGCCGGCCTCGAGCACGAGCACCTTCTTGCTCGGGTCCTCGCTGAGGCGGTTCGCGAGCACGCACCCCGCCGTCCCGCCGCCCGCGATGATGTAGTCGTAACTCGTCGTCGCGACCTTCTTCGCGACGGCCGCCGGCGACGGCGACAACATTCCCATACGCGGCGCCGCGCGGAGCCCCGCGGGGGCGCGCAGCGCGCCCGCGAGGGCCGCCACAGCAACTAGGACGAGGGTGCGTCCCATGCTTCTCGGCCTCAACCTGGCGGATTTGGCTCGCCTCGGCGCCGCACGAGCGCGAGCGCTGAGCGCGGCTCCAAGCCTCGTCCAAGTCCTCGTCGACGCGTCCGCCGATGCCTCCCCCCGCGCCGCCGGTCGCCCCACGCGTTACACGTCCGGCCCCGGCGCGAGGCGGCCGTAGGCGTCGTCCTCGCGGCGCGCGACGCGCCGGTCGCGGCAGCGGAGCAGCGCGCGCGCGGCGAAGACCGCGGCGGAGAGGACGACGGCGCAGCCCGGGACGATCACGGCCGTCTGCGCGTCGCGGAAGGTCACCATCTGATAGTCCGGCGCGTGGCCCGTGTAGACCCAGGCGATCTGCGACACCGTCCAGAGCGCCGCGTAGCCCAGGGAGACGAAATAGTGCGGCTTGAAGTCGATCGTGAGCCGGTTCAGCGCGGCGTCGACGCACAACAGGCAGAAGCACAGGCCGTGCATCGTGAGGCAAGAGAAGGAGCAGTAGGAGCCCTCCTCGCTGTAGACCAGGGTCCAGAAGCCCAGCACGATCAGCGGCTCGACGACGATCGCGGTCGCGAAGACGGCGCGCGCGAGCGCTTTCGCCCGCGGGTAGTCCTCCTCGTCCTTGGTCCGCCGGAGCGCGAAAACGAGGCCGACGCAGGAAATGATGAAGTGGACCGTCGACACGAAGAAGCCCCAGTTCGTCAGGAAGACCACCGGCGGCCGCCGCATGGACCAGGGGAACCAGTCCAGCGCGAAGCCGCAGCCCAACAGCCAGCCGAGGGCGAAGACGCGCACGGCGAGGAACGCTTTCGGGGGCAGCGTCGCCGACGTGAAGATGGACCGCAGGGTCGAAGAGGCGTCGTCCTCCATCGCGATTGGGCAGCAGCAGGACTGCACGGTAGAGGCGTCTTCCTGCGCCATCGACGATTGGGCAGAAGACGACACGGCATCGTCAAGGGGTGCACTGCTCGACCAACACGAATCCAGCTCCTTCGATCGCATGGCCGCCGATCGCATGGCCAGGTAGCAGAGGTTGAAGCGTAGCAGAAGAGGCTGAACACCCATGATGCCGCGCAACCCCATGGTGCGGCTCCCCCAGGACGAGGGCAGCGAGTCCGGCGTGGAGCTGCTCGACGTCAACGACGACGAGCCCGAGGGCGGCGCGAACGGCTTCCACCACGCCGCCGGCGTGCACAAGCCGCCGGCGCCGCGGGGCAAGCGCCACGCCTTCGTCGGCGGCGTCATCGCGCTCACCGTCGTCGCCGTCATCTTCTTCACGGCCATCGGCGCGCGCCACGGCCCGCCGGACGGCGACGACGGGCTCGCGGCGACGCTCGACCGCGTCGGCGCGGCGCTCGAACGGCTCGCCGCCGCGGGCGGCGACGACGACTTCCTCGGCGCGCTCCTCGCGGGCATGGAGAGCGCGTCCGACGCCTGCGACGACAAGTACTACCCCAACGGCACGGCGCCGCCGGCGGACAAATTCGGCGTCTACGCCGACTACGACGCCGACGAGCTCGTGCTCGCGGTGCCCGACGCCCTGCTCGGCAAGCCGTTCACGGTCATCGCGACGACGACGCGCGTCACGGGCGAGGACGCGGGCCTCATGCACTACGGCGTCGGGACCGACGACTCCTTCTTCGCGTTCCGCCGCGCCGCGCACGCGAAGGAGGTCCACGTCACGCGGCCGGAGCTCTCGGTGCGGGAAGCCACCGCGCGCTACGACGCGGGCGCGCGCGACGGCCTCGGGGACGTCGGCTGGTCGTCGTCGCTGCCTCTGGCCGTGGAGGGCGGCTGCGGCAACGCGACGATGTTGTCGGTGTTCGACTGGGTCGTGCTCGAAGGTCTGTCGGTCGTCGACGTCTTCAGCTACTGCCTCAGCGGCGAGCTCCGGCTCAAGCGCGCGGCGGCCTTCGAGCGCAACGTCCAGTTCGTCGTCGCCTGCTCGAACTGGGACAACTACGACGTCTACGAGGAGGACGCGAACGCCGTCGAGATCGCGTATTCCTTGGCGCTGCTCCCGGACGAGCCGATGCCGATCCGCCGCGGCGACGACCGCGTGGGCTTCTTCGGCTCGACGTACACGCAGCTCGGCCCCCTGCCGAAAGCGCTCTTGGACGACGACGGGACGGCGTCGCGCGTGCTCGAGGACGACGCGGACACGCGGATAAATTTCATCCACAAGCGGCGGCTGGACAAGTCCGACGACTGCGCGAAGGATCTGTGCAAGCCCCGGGTCCCCATCACCTACCACCTGGACCCGTCGATCCCCGCGCCCCTCTGGGACGTCATCGCCGACGGCGTGCTCGCGTGGAACCCGGCCTTCGAGGCGCTCGGCTTCGCGGACGCGATCGTCGTGAAGCGGCCGACGGACGCGGACTGGCCGGACGACTACGACCCCGGCGACGTGCGCTTCAGCTCCGTGTCCTGGCTGCCCTACCCGTCGCTGGGTTTGGCGATCGGGCCGTCCGTCGTCGACGCTCGCTCCGGCGAGATCCTCTACGCGAACATCGTCTTCGGCGAGGGGTGGGTCCGCGCGTTCTCCGGGAGCTGGCTCGACGCCGCGGAGCTCGCGCCGAAGAGCGGCCGCCGGCGGCGCGCCGTCGACGACCGCGACCACGGCCACGGCCGCCGGCAGCGCGCCTTCGACGACCACGATCACCACGACCACGGCCGCCGGCGGCGCGCCGTCGACGACCGCGGCCACGACCGCGGCCGCCGGCAGCGCGCCTTCGACGACCACGATCACCACGACCACGGCGACGGCCGCTGCAGCTGCCACCAGTCCGCGAGCGCGGCGCTCGGCGGCTTGGACCTGGCGACGATGGGACGGGACCTCAAGGACGCGACCGTGTCGTCCGTCGAGTTCTTGGAGGCGGGGCTCCGGGACGTCGTCGCCCACGAGGTGGGCCACACGCTCGGCCTGCGCCACAACTTCAAGGCGTCGGCGCTCTACAGCAACGCGGAGATCCACGCGGCGTCGGCCGAGAGCCGGCGCGTCGCGTCGTCGGTGACAGGGCAGCACAAGAGAGCGACATTCCCAACTTCAAAGGCTCATATCTCGGGCCGTTTTCCACTCGTTTCGGCTGATTTTTGGACGGACGATCATCTCTCGGAACGGTCTCGAAGCGTGGATGCTTTTCCCGGAACGCGCGCGCGCGGAACACTCACGTTGAAGCGACGTTGAATCACCCTTGTGCTGCCCAGGTCGGTCATGGACTACATCGGCCCGTCCGTCGCCCTGGACGCGAGGAGCCAGGGCGCCTACTTCATGGAGGGCGTCGGCGTCTACGACGCCTTCTGCATGGCCTACGGCTACACGGTCCTCGAGGGCACGCCCGACGAGCAGCACGCGCAATTATTGGCGATCGCGGCGCGCGCGGACGGCGACCGGACGCTCGCGCGGCTCGACGACGGCGACGCGGACGTGTCCAACGACCCCCTGGCCCGGCGCTACGACCTGACGAGCGACGCGACGGAGTGGTGCGAGACCCAGGCGTCGCTGACGACCAACCTGCTCCGGCGGCTCGACGACGACGACGCCTTGCCGCCCGCTAGAGAAGCCCAGCTCTCGACGGCCTGGAGCCGGCGCTACGAGTACTACTACGCCGCCGCGGGGCGGGCGCTGCGGGTCTGGTGGTCCCAGTGCGGCAGCCACCTGCCGAACTACGTGCGGGGCTTGACCCTCGACCGCACGGATCGGGACGAACTGTCGAAGCCCGTCGATCGCGGGACGCGCGAGCGCGCGCTCCACCTGCTATCCACGGCGCTCCGGTCGCCGGACCTCGCCGTGCCGCCGCGGCGCTTGCTCGCGCGGGCGGCGACCTTCGCCGACGCGTCCTACAAGTGGGGGCTCGCCTCGGACTACGACGCGTGGCTCCAGGTCGCGCACGACCGCCGCGTGGCCGTCATCGACGAGCTCCTCGACTTCGAGTCGCTCCGCTGGTACGACACGCTCGGCTGGCTCGAGGAGGGCGCGGCGCGGCGCGCGCCGCGCTTCGACTCGGCGTACGTGCTCGCGAACCTGACGGACGCGTTGCTCGCGACGGCCGCGGCGGACGAGGGTCTCCTGCCGGAGGCGCTCGCCGCGGCCTGGCTCGAGAAGCTCCGCATCCTCCACGCGGACACGGCGAACGCGACGACGTTGATGAAGGCGATCGCCGAGCGCGCGGGCGACCCGTCCTACGAGAGAGACCCGCCGCCCGTGAACCACGTCCGCGTCCGCGCGGCCGCGCGCGGCGCGCTGGCGCGGGCGCTGGCGCTCATCGGCGGCTCCGAGCGGCTGTTCCTGGCCGAGGAGGCCGACAAGATCCGCGCGGTGCTGTAATCAAGTCTGTATTGGGCGGGGCCTTTGTTGAAGATATGATGAAGCCTTGTTGAACAGCTCCTCTCGCCGGGAGGGGCCGAGAACGCAGACCACTATCCTCGTCTTACGACGTGCTACACGCCACCTGCGCGGCAACAATAGAAATTGCATCCGCGCGCAGCTCCGGGCCTAGCAGCAGCCCTGCAACACATCCACGCGCAGCACCGGCCCCAAAAGCGGCACCGGCAAGGCAAGCAGCGGGACATCCGCACTTAGCACCAGCTCCACAAAGCACACCATGGGCGCCATACCGCCGGACATCCAGGCCGTCATCACCGTCGCCATCGGCGCGTCGCAGGTCGTCGCGGCCTTCGTCGTCGTCTTCGGCGCCGTCGTCGTCGGCAAGTACCCCGCGGTCGTCGCGCCGCTGAACCCGTCCGGCCCGCTGGGCCGGGCCACGGGCGTCGTCGAGTACTTCGCGGCCGTCTACGACTTGCGAGAGGCCGACGTCCGCGCGGCGGGCGGCGTCGACGCCGCGCTCAACGTGCGGCGCCTCGCGATGCGCGTCGATCTCTGCGCGCTCTGGACGCTCGCGTCGATCCCCATCTGCGTCTGGTACGCGGTCAACGAGGAGGGCAACACGGCGGGCGGCTTCGCGCGCGTCTCGCTGGCCAACGCGGAGCCGCGCCGCGGGCCCTACGACTTCTCCAAGCTCTGGGCGATGACGGCGGGCATGTACCTCATGGTCTTGACGGCGTGGAAGGTCGTCGGCGACTACGACGAAAAGGCCGAGGCGTTGATCGAGGAGGCGGCGGCGGAGCCGCGGCCGGCGGACTTTGTGGTCGTCGCGACGGCCGTGCCGTCGGGCGACGACGCGGCCAAGGTCGGCGAGGCGCTCGGCGGCGGGACGGCGGCGCTCGTGCCGGACCTCTCGCGCGCCGTCGAGACGGACGAGGAGACGCGGGCCGTCGCCGAGGAGGCCGCGGAGGCCGAGAAGAAGCTCGCCGCGCTCGGGGGCAAGGTGGGTAGCGTCGCGGCCAAGGCCAAGGCGAAAGCGCTCGCGGCGGCGTTCCAGCCCGGCGGCGTCCGCGAGCGCACGCGGCGTTTGGTGGCGGCCTACCGCGCCTGCGGCAAGGCGGAGACGGCCGCGGCGGCGCACGCGGCGAAGAAGCCGCCGAGCGACCCCGTCCGCGCCAAGGCGCACGCGCTCCAGGGCGAGCTGGCAGTCAAGGCCCGGACCGCGGCGCGCGAGGCCTGCGACAAGGCGCGCGCGTCCTACACGCGGGCCGCGGCGGCGCCCGTCGAGAACTCCGCGGCCGCGGTCGTCGAGTTCCGATCGGGCGCCGAGGCGGCGGCCGCGACGTCGTCGACGGCCTACGACGCGACGCCGGCGCCGGAGGCCCGCGACATCCACTGGGCGCGCCTCGAGAAGTGCGGCGTCGATCCCAAGAGCGACAAGCTCAAGGCCGCGCAGGCGCTTGTCGTCAAGGGCTCAATATACCTCTTTTATTCGATCATCTTGACGGCGCTCGAGGTCCTCATCCTGTACCTCATGCGCCTGGCCGCGGGGCTCGGCGGGCCCGTGGCGACGGTGCTTGCCGCGGCGGCGCTCATCGTGCCGACGTTCCTCAAGTCGTTCATGCTGAGCTTCATGGCGACGATCCTGCGCGCGGTCGACGAGAAGCTCAAGACGACGCTGTGGACGGAGTCGGCGCTCCAGCGGTCCTGTGTCGAGTCCTACGTCTTCTTCCTCGCGCTGATCGGCTTTTTAGCGCCGTTGTTGGGCGGCAATCTGTTGGCGGCGGCGTACGGGCGCGACGCGGATCCGGCGGCGATCCCCCACACGGCGGCGCTGTCCATGGGCGGCGCGGCCTACGCGAACGCGACGCTCATCCTCTTGAAGTGCGGCGGTCTCGTGTCCGGTCTCACGCGCGTCGTGCCCTTCTTTGTCTACCGCGCGAAGCTCGCCTTTCTTGCAAAGACGGACGAGGAGGTGCGAGCGCTGACGAAGCCGCAAACCGTGAACGTGGCGCCGCTCGCGGGCTGGGAGTCCTTCGCGTTTCTCTTGGCGGCTGTGTATATGCCGGTGGCGCCTTATGTGGTGGTGATCTGCCTCGCGTATTTGGCGCTCATGCTCCCCGCGATCAAGGTCGAGGTCTGCGCGGTGAACTCGTACCCGTACGACACGCGGGGCGCGCTCCACTCCCTCGGCGTGAACCAGACCTGGGCGATCCTCGCCTTCGCGCTCGCGCTCCAATTTCTCGTCGTCCTCGTCGGCGGCGACTGGGTGCCGGCCGTCGCGGCGTTGCCGGCGTTCGGCGTGCTCGTCGACGGCTACCGGCGGAGCTTGGCGCGGCGCGCGGCGACGACAGCCGCGCTCGCGGCGATCCAGGAGGGCAAGGGCGCCGAGGACGCCGAGGCCGCCGCGCCGCCGGCCTGCGAGTGGCTCGCGCCCGAGGCGCTGCCGGCCGCCGGGTCGGCCGTCGCCGAGGCCGCGCTCCCGGGCCCGCCGCGCGAGGACGACGAGGACCTCGCGGCCCGCGTCGCCGCGGCGGTCGCGTACCTCGAGCGCAACGAGGCGTCGACGTCGACGGCGGCCGACGGCGCCGCGGCGAAGGACGTCCTGCTGAAGAACGTCGCGGTCGACGTCGCCGCGGACCATGCTTTTGCCGATTAAGACCCTTACCAGATGCTCGTGTCGAAGGATAGGCGGTCCCGGGCGAGCCCGAGCGCCGCGTCGAGGGCCCGCGCGTCGGCGTCGGGCGCGTCCGGGTCCGCGACGACGAGGCACGCGGCGGCGGCGTCGGCCGCGCCGTCCGGGACGAGCCACGTGCGCGCGAAGCGGCTGACCTTGCGGTTCGTCGTGTCGAGGGCGACGGCGGGCCGCCCGAGGAGCGTCGCGATGATGACGCCGTGGAGCCGGTCCGTGATGACGACGTCGCCCGCGCCGACGGCGTTCGACGCGCGCTGGCTCCGCTCCGCGGCGAGGAGGTGCGGCGCGCCCTGGTGCGCCTCGAGGACGCAGTGGCCGTTGGTCGCGCAGAAGACCTCGACGTCCATGGGGCCCTCGTGGGGCTGGAGGTCGTCGAAGACGAGCTTCACGCCGTTCCGGAGCGCGAACGCCTTCAGCGCGGCCCGGTCCCGCGCGCCGGAGCCGCGCTTCTCGGAGTCGCCGCGCGCGATCCACGCCACGGTGGCGTTGTTCGACGCGCGCACGCGGTGGTGCTGCTGGAAGCTCGACCGCTTCGTGGGGTTGGCGATGGACACCTGGTCCGTCGTCTCGACGAACTTGGACCGCGCCAGCGGAGGCTTCGATTGACCCGTCGCCGCGGCGAGCGTGTCCGCGAGCGCGAAGGCGCTGTCCGGCGCGAGCCTCGCGGCGCAGGCGCCGCCGCAGGCCTTTTCGAGGTGGCCGTGGGAGACGGCGTCGCGCGCGAAGAGCGTGAGGTTGCCGTGGCGCCGGTAGGTCTCGAGCTTCGAGAGGTTCGCGTCGTCGTAGATGACCGTGTTCGGCAGCACCACGAGGCGGTAGTCCGGCAGGGCCTCGAGGGCCGCCCAGCGGAAGTGCTCGTAGCCCGCGTAGAGGTCGCCCATGTTGCCGCCGCCGTGGAAGAGCACCGCGCGCCGCGGCTTCGGCGGGAACTGGTCCCGCAATCGCTCGAAGTCGCAAAAGGGCACGGCCTGGATCGACTGGGCCTCCGTCGCCGCGCAGACGAATTCGACGCGCACGTCGATGTGGAGCGCCTCGAGGAGCTTGAGCTCGCCCTGGAAGATGAGCGTGTCGCCGAGGTTGCCGTGCGTCGGGAAGTCGAGGAGCGCGATTTCGTCGACGCCTTCGAGCGCGGCCCCGACCCGCTCGAGGAGCACCCGCTCCAGCGCGACGGCGCGGTCGTGGAGCGCCGCCCCGCACTCCGTGAGCCAGTCCGTGGAGCGCTTCTTCGCCTGGCGGTCCAGCAACCGGTCCGAGAGCCCCGCGAGCCGCTTCCGCCGCCGCTGGGCCTTCTCGCGCTGCGCGTCGCACGCGCGGTCGCCGTCGTCCTCGAGGAGCTCGCAGGCCTTCCACATGGGTCTATTGGTGTACTCGCCCGTCTGCGGGTCCGTCGTCCCGAGCCACATCAAGGGCTCCGCGCCCGGCGGCCGCTCGACCTCGGCCGCCGGCGGCGGCCGCGACCGCTCCGCGGCGTCCCACAAAAAGTCGAAGATGGCGCCGTCGAAGTCGCGGTCGCCGTAGCCCAGCAGGCAGGGCGGGTCGTCGTCGCAGGACGACACGTCGAAGTGCTGGTTGCTGAACGCGTCCGCGAAGTCGAACATGGACTTGCAGTCGACTTCGACGAGAAACCCCGTGTCGCAGAGCATGGCGCAGAGCGCCGCGTTCGAGTAGTGGCGCTCGTCGCAGTCCCGCGCGACCGTGATGTCGTAGGCCTGGTCGTTGTAGTGCATGCGCCAGCCCACGTAGCGGCCCATCTTGTCGTAGACGTCGAACTCCGACGGCTGGAACGACGACACCTGGGCAGGAAACAAAAATATTCGACACGACTTCAATATACAAGTATTCGCACGGTTTTGACATAGTGTTTCTACTGTCTACAAAGAACCCGCCGAGAGAACACGATCCATCCAAAAATCAGTCGAATCGACTTCGATATGACCGAGATAGAGACGTTTGAAGTTTTGCCGGACAGGGCCGTTCCACTGGTCGTTTCCCACACTGGACGACACGTCCGCGTTGACCCCAAAGTAGTCGCCCTTGAAGGTCTTCTCGAACTCGCCGGCGGACGCCACGAGGCCGTTGACGATGATGGAGTCGGGGCCGATGCCCCGCGGCGACGCGCGGCCGTCGCGGCCCGCGATCCAGTGGAACTTGTCGTCGTGGAGCCTGGGCAGGAAAAGAGAGATTCAAGGTCGCTTCAACGTGAGTGTTCCGCGCGCGCGCGTTCCGGAAAAAGAATCCACGCTTCGAGACCGTTCCGAGAGATGGTCGCTCGTCCAAAAATCAGCCGAAACGAGTGGAAAACGGCCGAGATAGGAGCCTTTGAAGTTGGGAATTTCGCTCTCTTTTCCTGCCCTGCGTGGAGCCGCGCGTGCTTCAGCGGCCAGAGGACCATGCCCAGGAAGATGTCGTCGTCCCAGAAGCGCTCCATGAAGCAGCCGCCCGTGCGCCGCGTGTCGACGCCGACGTCGTTCGCCTCGCCGATGTCGCAGCCGTCGTCGCGGTTATGGGCGACGAGGTCGCCGCGGCGCCCGAAGCCGAAATCGAGCGACGCGGCCGCGAGGTGGCGCGCGAGGCCCGCCGTCATGATGGACCCGAAGCCCACGGCGAAGGGCGCCGCGTGGAAGTCGCTCCGCTCCATGAAGAAGCTCCAGACGAACTCGTCGGCCGAGAACGCGTCGTCCTTCGTGTCGGGGGCCAATTTGATGCGCTCCGGCGCAAGCAGCCCCGCGGCGACGCGGTCCACGAACGCGTAGCTGTCGTCGTCGATGCGCCCCCAGTGCGTCGGCCCGCTCGCGTGGGCCGCGAAGAACTCGACGGCGCGCAGCAGTTTCAGGAGCACCGTGTACCGCGTGTCGTCGAAGTCGTCCAAAAACTCCACATCGTCCCTCCGCTCGCGCTCGCTCGCGAGCGCCGCCGCGGCGGCGCCGTCCGTCGCCCGGGCGACGAAGAAGCGCACGGCGACGGCCGCGGCGCCCCGCGACCGCGTGACGGTCGCGGCGGCCGTCGTGCACCAGGTGCCGCGGATGGCGTCGCGGTTCGCGACGTTCTTCGGGCCGCTCGTCGTCGTCACGAGCAGCCGCACGCGCGCCGAGGCGGGGAGCGCCTGGGGGCAGCTCTCGAGCGCCGCGACGCTGCAGAGCGCTGCAACGAGACAGCTCAAAGAGCGCTGCAGGCAGCCCATCGTCGCTGCGCGCCCGTGAAGCCGAACGTGCGAACCGTGAAGCTAACGTTGCTTCTCGAGCTGGGCTTTGTTGTGGCAGAGCACACCCAAACCTTTGGGTGGTGAACACCCGATTAGCCCTCGATGGGCCTCAAAGCGGCGCGTAGGCCGCGGTAGCCGAAGGAAAAACGGCCCCGGCCGCGGCGCATGTACCCCACGAGGGCGCGGAGCCGTTCCAACCGTTCGTGATGGCGACTTCGCGGCTCAAAACGGTCGCGTGACAGCGGTAGGCGGCCCACGCTCTCAGAGGCCCGAGTGCGGACTCGTCGGAAACGCTGCTTCTGGCTCGTTTGGGGCGTGTGCGGGTCCTTAGTGATGGTATAAGAGATTCCGCGTGCTTGGTTCGATGCGTGCGGGCCCAAAACGTGACTGCGCGCGCGGCCGAAGCTCGGCGCCGACGACATTCCCGACGCGTTGACCGCGGGCATCCGGAGCGCCACACGTGCGAGGCGCTGGCCACATCCCTCCGGTGGGTCATATACTCGGTCCGGAAGCGTCGTGTGACCTCGGAAAACGTGTTGAAGTCGTGGATCGCGGACCCCATACACTGCAGCCCTACCGAATGATCTCTGCCGCTGCGATTCTCGTCACCAACGTCCACGGCGACGAGCCCGAGCACACCATCGTCGTCGTATGAGATCTACGTGGCCTCCGGCTAGAAATTTCCAGCGACAACGACATTTTTGACCCGTTCGCGAATCTGGTGCTCGAGCGCATACAGCCTCATCTCGGGCGGAGCACCTACCTCTTAATCCGAGCTTCTAGTGGGCGCCTCTCGGTCGAGCTTCGACGCCGGACTCTGGCGCCTCTAGGGAC